TGTCACACACGGTGACTCATTACCACTTCGACTGTTCCAAAGTTTACTCCACAAAATGGAGCCCACAGCGCAGCGCGTGTGAACCCGGCTGACCTACATGTACATGGCATTGTACTCTGTGGCCTGGGCTTTGCACTGTGTTGTGGGCAGGCAAATGCAATGGTTCCTTGCGTCCACCGTGATTATCCCGTGATATAATAAATTATTGCAATCAGCATCATCGAAAGGAGTTGGGAGAAAAATATGATGTCTTTTGATATTATGAGAAATCAGCAAAAGCTTGATGAACAGGTCCCGTTAGTTGAAAGTATCTTTCTAATATGTGCGTCTGCAACCACAAATGCATGTATGGCAGATAGTTGAGCATCATCAGCGCATGGGTGGACGTGCCCTTCTTGATGCCCCGGGGATTCCACGGCGCAGCACCGTGTTGGAATGCACAGCTACAAGAATGATTACTATAATCAATATGTCTGTATTAGAGAAAGAAAATGTTGAGCGGTCTTTGCTGGGATGACAGCTACACCATAGCTCAGTGGTTAGAGCATCGCTTGCCTCGAGCGAAGGTTCGAGGTTCGAGTTCTGATGGTGACAGCCAGTTTTCCCGTTTGCATCTTTCCCCCAAACCAATGAATACTAGTATGCAATACTGTGTAACTCAACGCAAAGTTGTTACAATCGAGATTTCTGGCCTTTCCTTTCCACCCACCATGTCAGCGACCACGGTGGTGCCGGTGCGGTGAGCCTTCAAAATGTGGGTACAACAATGGACAAAGAACTCAACGGATTGATTCAAATCAGGGCTTGTTGTACATGTACTACTGAACTGACTATGATTACTCCTCTCGCTATTATTATCACACCTCTCTCCACTTAGATATACCAGCGCTGCCTCCTATTCCATTATCGTTGTCTGATGATTGGTTCAGCCATGAAACTCGGAGTCACAACGGAATAAATTTGCCAAGGTTTTCATTGTGTGCCTTTGTGAACTGACTATAATAATTATTATAACTATAATTGCACATTGTAATACTGTGTAACTACTGACTATCACCATATCAACACAGTGTGTCAAGACATATCCTGCTCTACATCATGGTACATGCAGGAGCCGCCCTACTATCTTCACTGCTGCAATGCCAATGAGCTGCGTTCCAAAGGTGGGCCTGTCCCATCCAATCGGTCAGCGAACCCACCGGATTGTCTACGGGAACTGACTCATGCAGCAAATATCCGATTGGGGTACAGTATTCCATTCTGCTCTTTGGTACATGGTGCGACCAACAGTCCATGGACTTGATGAAGGCATCACCCTAGCCTAGGGTTATGACTAGGGAGTAGTACAATACCCCCGGCCCGGTATTGTACAACTCCCTGGTTATGACTGTACGTTTGGTACATGGTCCCATGGAGCATACCGGTATGCATTGATTTGGCTAGTGAGGCTGTGAATAATGTTGGAGCGGCGTTAATATTAGGCCACTGGCTATGCAACTCTGTTGTTGTTTGCTGTGTTGTACGGGCGCCGGGCGGAGCACAAAAACTGTACTTTTGCTTAGTTTTGGTACATGGAACACATGCATTGCTTTGGCTAGGGAGGCTGTGAATAACGTCAGAGCGACGTTGTCGATATCGACAAATGGTGGACAGGCAGTACACATCCGCGGCTCTTATCCGGTTATCTACAATGTGACATCCTCGCGGTGGCTTTTGAACTGTTACCTCTACTTCTCCTGCTGAGCCGCCCGGCCGCACCGTGAGCGTTGGTACGAAAAAAGAACTACTATTGTATATGCAGCTGGCCAAGCTTCACACTCACATCTACACGAAAGCAGGCAGTGGAGCAGCATTGTACTATGCTACGCAAGTGCTGCTCTAATAAGGGTGTATGCAAATACAGTCAGACCTCGCTTATCCGGTCCTCTTTTATCCGGATCCCTCGCCATCTGGAAGAAAATCGCTGGTTACCGATTTACAGCATATGTCATGCATACATACAGTATGTGTGTTCGATTATCCGGTTCCCTCGACTATCCGGATATATTTGTGGAAAGCGGATGTGTGCGGTTATGCGAGGTCTGACTGTACTTTGGTTTTCCGGAACAACCTTTTGCCGATATTCCCGACAGAGGAAGTGGAGGTTTTAAACGCCACAGTGACATACAGATACGCGCCCCCGAAACACAGCTTATAACACCGGCGCTCAGCAACAGCTAGTACCTTATCAAATCACCATACTGTACCTGTATGGACACTGAGTCAGTCCCCTTCTGACACAAGTAATAATAATTATTATTAGTTTTCCCACTCTGGAGTGTGTTGGACACCCCCGGATAGTAGACTGGGGAACAATGAGTGGCCAAAGTGTGGAGTCTTTGCATTTTGAGAAACACCGAGTCAATGTTTACGTAACGTCGTTAACATGACTATGTTTCAATCTCATCTATCCCGTTGTTTCTGTGCTCGCAAGGAAAAGTAAATAAAATAGAACAAACTACAGTGTTGCGCCTGTTGTCCGGAGATTGCATCATTGTTTGTTCGTTCGTTCGTTCGTGTGTTTGTGTGCTAATGATTCAGCTTCGCATATTCAACAGGAACTGAGCCCAGTAACAGAAAGTCGAATATGGGAGGAAAAGAAGCAAAGGAGGACAGGGGAGGCAGGAGTTTTAGAAAGTATTCTGTCATTGCCTGATCATGTTTCTGTCCTGAGTAAGGTGCACACTGACCGTGTACAGTTAGCACACCGCTATCACGGAGTAGGAGGCCCTGCAGTAGGGCAGTAGTGCAGTAGAACTTTACTGAAAAATCCATGATTATGCGGAAAGACGAGTAGAAGAATCCAAAGTCAACGCATGCTTACAGGGAATTATTAGTAGTCCCTGCTAGACTAAACAGATCCTCTAATAACCGAAGAGGCACAATATCTGATTATTCACCAGTATAATATGTGCTAATGCTCGATCGTACTACGACATCGACATAGTCATTGCTTGCCACTGGCGATTGTGGTTCTCACAAGGAGATGGTCATGACTCATGGGCTTGTGATCTGGGGACGGAATGTTTCCTGATTCTGTGTGGCCGCCCCCTGGCACGCTCAGGTGTGAAACTGAGCCCATATGGAGAAGAGTGCTCGCTGCTGCGAGCACATTTACCGCTGAATTACGTGCTGTAGAGTGTAGTGCTATTGTGCTCACTACTTTATATACACGTAGATGTACAGTGATTGATAACAGCTCAATGATAATTTACAAGTATGAGATACCGTGTGCTACGTAGGTCTATGTCATGGCAACTTGTGTGCAGCCTACAGGGCAGGCCAAGCGACTGCATCGCCTTTGACGACATCCATCAACCAAGCTCCTCATCTGAAATGGTCATGACCCATGACATGAGGCAAAGACGTCGCCCTTTAAAGAGTGAATTCCCACGATGAAGAATCTTTGCAGTGTAGTACATACAGCACCAATACATGTATCCAAAAGTTTGTCCTCCAGTCTACACCCTGCCATTTGCTTTTAGGATGGTTACAACCAACTTGTAAGTGGAAGGCCTTGAGTTGTTTTGACACGCACGCTAGCCACAGGCCTTGCATTTCTGCGCCAGGGGCTCAAGTTGATGCTGAGAGCTCCGGTGGTCGTGCCCAACCGCGAGATCTCCAATGTGATTCGAGCTAGCTGCATGCCGCAGAGTCTGGCCAACGAATCTCTTGCATCGAGACACAATGATACTGTTTTCATGTCATAGTGATCGCTGACAAAGGCCTGGAGCTGGGACTATGCAAATAAGAGCCGTGGTTACGTATTAGTTAATGTTATACGCACTCCGATTCCAGTCAATAATAGAAATTGGGTAGTGCAGGGTGTAGTATTGTACTGGTGTCTGGCGATGTAGTGTTATGTGAGGAGTGTGGCGTGCTGTGGCTAATGAACCACTGCCACTGGGCCATGGGGTAGGGGGTTGACCTCGACGTCCATGTCCAAGGAAGCCAGGTGTTCAGGCCATCACAAGATCACTCTTCGCTCAACAATGGGAAGTGCTAGCCGCACTAATCCTCATCGGGCCCACTGCTCTAGAAGCGATCAAACACAACTTAGACATCATAACTTGACTCTAAGCAGCGATGCGTTGTGATTACCGTCTCGCACGGGCTCTGGTATGTAACCTGTTTGGCGGGAGAGTGTGCATCGCTGCACTCACTGTGCAGTACAATGTATTGCATGTATCTGGAAGTACTTCGACCACGGTTACGGACTACGGTATTATCCCTACGTAGCACGATTCCTACTTTAGTACAGTGGGTTCCTTCAGATATCGATTCGTTTAGTATATTAATTGCACCTCTTCGCGTCTGAAGCATGTGAGTGTGAAAGCCATGGCCGGACACTTCGCTTCTTGAAACGATCTAGGATTTTCTCTCACTTAGGACACGCACCAGGGGACAAGTACAAATCAACTTAACGCTCGTTCTTGCCGGAACTGCCAGGACATGGCCTTTTCGGTCACGTTTTGCTTTCCGCTTTCCAGATCACCCAGCGTATGAGATGATGCCAGTGAGGCGAGCAAAACAAAACCCGCCTTCCCCCAAAGTGGGTTAGTTCTCAGCTAGCTAGCTGACGTCTCACACTACTACCACTAGTGACACGAAGAGTACATTACGTACTCTTGGTGTCACGAACACCACAGCTAGGCGACAGGGTTTCAGATGCCTGCCTATCACATACTGGAAGGATGATAACATGTGCTTTTATGGCCAAGACGACCTCCTTTCGCATATGGCTAACGACTCCGGGCACCTCCCCAGATGTTTCGTAGCGAGAGCGGACAACAGATGGTGGCTCGTGACTGGCGGAGACCAAGATCAGCAATCGATGGTCACGTGAGACCCTAGGATCAAACATCGCGACCCCGACATAACCATATTTCATAAGGCATAACGGCATAAGGCATACAACTATGTTGCCAACAGTTACATAGTGACATTGGTCGCATTGATCGGATTTAGCTGCAGAGGTGCGCCACATATTTTACCCGGTATTTCAGTTTCTCTACAGCATCTCATCGGTCTATTTTCCCTGGCGGTGTCGGTCGAATAGCTTACAGCTACGTTCAGTAATAGATACACGAGCGCAGGCTTCTGAACTTTCTCAGTTTCCTCCTTTCCTGGAGCATCATTGTGCTCTGACTGCATATTCAAGTCCTACAACTGACTGTTACTTCAGCCCTGTGTGTAATGGCCGATCTTTCGCGCTACCACAGTTGCGAATTTCACTTGGACGGCGGCCTCGCCCGCACTAACAGTGTTGCGACTTCAATGTATTTATACTAACCACTACCGGCAAATACTCAGAGTCTTATTACGAGATTAAAGACGCTGTGACGTCACCTCCGGAAAACGCCGTATTGCCCGTGCCGTTGAGATCTGAGAGTGCCTCGCCGAGTGGGAGTGCATTTGCCTAGATCTGGTGCTGCGCGGTTTGCACAAGCTAGGTGGACGCAGAGCTCCAGGTACGAGGCGTTGGCTGCGGCCCGACTGGTTCTGAGCGGCACGGAAAGCAACAACTTAGTTTGTGCCGAGTGCGGTAGTGCGTGTGGTGACCGGTGTTTTGCTTGCAGTGTTCGCGCACACCTCGACGGCTTGAACTTGGTGGTGGCCACAGTGGAGATGATACTGGAATTCCGCGAACACTCACGATTCGGAATTGCTATAAACCACTCCGGGCAGACGACCTTTGCCTTCGTTTGAGCGTTGGTGATCTACTTCTTGGATTCTTAGTTCTGTCGTGATGCGTCCGACTCGAGAAAGACTCCTCACCAATTGTGAAGTGCAGCACGTTTTTGTTATCCAACAACACTTGATAAGCGCCCGAGGCACTTGTGGGGGTGAACAGTTACTATCTCTTGTGCGAAGATATGAGTATTCTGAGTATTCACGATCCCATCTCCACGCTATCACCTCGCTCCCGCAGGACGTGGACAGATGGTGCCTGTCGAGCCTTATCAGGAGAGCGACGGAGAGGTGTGAACGATGACAGTGTAACATCGAAAGTGTCACCCAGGGTGGTGGGTGTTACACGCGCCGGTCCTGTCGGCTGGACGCTGCACTGCCTGGTCGCCATCTTGATGTGCGGTATGATGAAGGTGTTACCCTTGGGTACGCCTGCTGAGGCATCTGCCGCCTGGCACCAGTCCAACCGAGCCTCCGGGACATCAACAACAAGCTCCCGCTCGAATTATGAATATGAGGAGGGCCTGTCGAAAGCCTATGACGAACTGCCCAGGACCGGACAGCACGCCATGTTCCCAGAAGTGGAGGAAGATCGCCGATCCGCCATTGTTCCCCCCGAGGAGCTGAGCTACATGAAGGACATTTACAGTCAAAGAAATGAGCAACTGCATGCGGCCAGGATGGTGAGCGGCGAGGGGAAATGCCAAAGTCCCTCTTCGACAGTTGTACATTCCTACCCGTACAGAGGTAAGGCAGAGAAAGATCAGGCACACTGTTCATACTAGTAGTACAATGTAGTTGAAGAAAGACAGCTGGACATTGACTTCACACCACTCCAAATCAATGTCTCTGTCAGGCGCTTGGAAACTGCTCAACTGGACTTGGTAACACGGTTTGGAGTGGTGTTACAAAGTGTCGCACGCTGAAACCATGTCTGCGACGAAGTCTTGATTGGTCTAATGCGAGCTGTGTTGCCAGAGGATAGTCAAAACTATTAATTCTAATCTGAACACGGCCATTGCGCACGCGAATACAAATTACAATGTCAGGGGGACCTTACTCACGAGGAATTGCGAAGTAAAACCTCATATCCTTTGCGCGAGCATGGTGAAACGAAAGCTTATAATGAATGCAAACCGTACAGTAGTACAAACGTTCCTCGGATCGGAGTCACCTATCCGTAGCACCAAGAGTACATAACCGTACTCTTGGTAGCACACATGTTTCCTAGGAGCCCTACTGCATGCCAGTCCACTTAGAGCCGATGGGACTGAGTTTGTAACCCGATCTCATGGGGGAGTAGCAAGCATGGCAGTCTATTTAGACTACTGGTGTAGATCCACTGACAAGGAGTCCTCAGTGAGACCAGGATGGATGGGAAAGACCTATCTGTCACGCCATGATTCGAAGTTTCCAAGTGTTGTCCGCCAAACCCTAACAGCCTAATGATGTATCTCCAAAGAAAATCCAAACTTACAAGTATGACGTTGACAAAAGTGATAGGAATCTACCGTATTGACTATTGTCTCTGGAGACTCCAAAAGATGTTAATACAAACAGGGCCCTGAGGAGCCCAAGGATATACTTCGAAGTAGTCGAGAAACCTCACAAGTTCAACATTCACTCGAACAAAAATAGAAAACGCCGTGTACTAAAGCAATCAGCCCTGTCGAAAGCCCCTCGAATTCCAAAGCCAAGGCCCAAAACTAAAGTCAACACAGTTGCTTCTACATGTACCGGTACATGTACTTCCATAGTACTGTAGCACACCTTCATGCGACCTAGTGTTCCGATGATGTGAATCATGCGCTGCAAGATCTTATGCCACTGGTCGGGGGTGCTGATAGAAAACAGAATATCACCAGAGAGTCGTACAGGACTTGCACGATCCACTCACTGCATGGTATCCACATCCAATATTGGTCTACCTTACCAATCCGGGAACAGTATACTTCGAAGAAGGAGCATTGGAGATGCGACCTTGTCCATGAGCCACGAGCGACTCGAGTGCACGCAGGCCTGGGCTGCGTATTCTAAAGGCAAAGGAAAGGTAGGAATCTCTGAGGGTTAGAGTGGTACGAGTACATGTATATGTACTGGCTATATAGAACTCACTATAGCCTTGAATAACCAGTACCCTGGAAAGAATGTCTCGCCGAGTGATGGGCACGATAAACCCAGTGATTAAGCGAACGCTGAAAAACAGAAGAAGGAAGAGTCGATCTTTGACAACCCTGCTTTCTCTTCTTCATCACAGTGAGAAGGAGAGAGGCCGAAGGATACTTGGTAGGCTGTGACGTCATGCATGGGAAAACTGGGTACAGTACCATGTACTAGTATGTTCGTGTAGCATGGCGGTAGTCAGGGAATAGTGAAGTACCAGTACGGCAGTAGTACAGTGTACCGAATACTCCCTAGCACTAGTACTTCCCTAGCACTAGTGTTTTTGCCCCTAGCCTAGGTGCCGGAGGGGAGGGGGGCAGCTAGGGGTCATGTTCTTCTCGTGAACTCGCCCCTAAAACCAAATCGTGAGAGCTAGGCGTGCTGCAAGAGGATTTCCTCAAGAGCCTGCCATAAAGACCACGTGGACGAGCATTGTACGATACAGTAAAAACTGTACCATCCATCTAGAACACAAGTTTCATTCAGAAAGCTTGAAAAGCAGTGACGTTTGGTATACCTACGCAGTGATACATGCAGCATGGGGGACAGAAGACGGGACACAACTTAGACAAGCTGAAGGGCTGGGATAAAATGAAGCAGTAGGGCCCAGTGACCTGATCAAAGAGTAAGGTACTGTAGATAAGATACCGGTACGCGGAAAGGGCGAGGACCCGGTATGGCAGAAAGAACCTCTCGCATGGAAGCCAAGTCAGGACAGTAGATAACTAGAGAGTGGTTTCACATCCCTGTCACGAGGCTAAAACATTTATTTTTTGTAGAAAGTGATTACGGCATGTGGGCAGTTGAACAAGCATGCCGACATCATTTGACCCATGCTATCATAGAGTGCAGGGGCGGAGTTGGAGCCGATATGTCTACCCTGTATGGTAATGAGATAAATGTGCAACAGCTATAATATGCCATGTCACGTGGACTCCCATGATCAGAACCATTAGATCATGTTCTGTGGCGCTAATCGACTCCTCGATCCTCGCCAAACCTATCATTCCATGTCTTCCACCTGCAGCATGCAAGTAGCAGTGTTTATTGTGATTCCTTGTCGGCCCTAACTATTAAAGTGGGTTTAATTAACGGCTTACAGTCCTAGCCTCCATTGGATCATTCTTCACACAGGAGCGTATACTAATAGGTTCGTATAGGTTGCTGGACGCTCAGCCCTTACACCATCGTTCATTGCCAGCGAAGTGAATACTGTAGTAGTCATACTGGCCGAAGTTAAAAAAATCCCCTCAGCATAAACTAGTATCAAGAGTATTTATACATGTTTAGTTTACTCTTGCTACTATTTTGACCGTCTACGACTTAAAAAAACACATCTATCGCTACATGTATTGAGACTCATCTGGCGTTCAAGTTCGAACTTGAATCCTGGAGCCATGGTTAGTAAACATATTAGGTTTTCAAGAGTTCCAACAGAGCAGACACAAGTGGCTGTTTACGTTGCGCTGAGAATCCATGAAGAGAACGCCTACACAATACATGTACAGACACCGGGCTGAGTTCCTTTTGACAACCTCTGCAACATTTAAAAATTAATAGTGTATTGCGTTTCAGAGGGACTTGAGAGTGAAGAACATGTTGCTCCTCTGAGACTTACCATCCCGGATCCTAGAGAGTCGCCGGACTCCCTGAATCATTTCCAAACTGTGGAATTAGATTAGGGCACATGTAATGATACTTCCAAGGCAAAATTAGGAGCTCTGTGCCCAAGAGTGAAGTTATAGTAACCCAGGGCATTTTCTATCCCCGTGTTCCTATGCATGTAGCTGAAGATTTACGAGAAGGTGTGGGGTTCTCAGGGATATTCTTTGACTCCTGTAGGTTCGTCAATTCTGGTTGGTTCATAACGCATTAGTGCGATCATTTTCTTCTCTTTCCTGGTCGCTTCTCTTCCCATCTCCATTGTAGGACTTCAGGACCGCCACCTGCATTTCAGAGTTCACAGGACCGCCGACAGTGAGGACCTCTGTCACGCAGCGCTGCGCATCCACCTGGTCTCCTCGGGAAACCTCCAGTCCACAGCTGGATACCTGCGGAGACTGAGAGGCAGTTTGCTAATCAGGTTGGACATATTCGCTCTCCGACCCTACAGCAATGCCACCATGCTAATCACCTCGCAAACAAGAACCCTTCCGTCCATCGACTCCAGTGGCTGGTTCAGTCTGGACGTCATGGACGCACTGAGCATGCACAGTCGGCACTCAAAGGGCGACTTCAACCTGTTCCTCATGCCCTACGTGCAGATGTACAGTAGTGGTGCAAGGGTGAGGATAACGACGGGTCGTCGCCATGACAATCACCCCCAGCTAGTGGCGTACAACTACGTGGATCCGGATGCGGAAGATGAGGAGTTTCTGGCGGCTTTGCAGAGGGTTCGGGAGTTACAAGACAGTGCAGAGCAGGGTACGGAGCAGCAACATCAAGAACAGGAAGCGAGCAAGGAGAACAGTCTGTACGCCCGTCGGAGAAAACGAGCCTTCTTCTTTCACACTCAGCACTGCAAAGTGCATCGGAGGATCGTCCCCATGAGTGCAATTGGATTTCCGCATGCCATTATTCCCAGTCAGTTCCCAATGACCTATTGCCAGGGCTCCTGTCACCATCCTGTCGTCCACCCTATCGAGTCCAGTGTACACGGACGAGTCATGGCATTGCTCAACGTGATGGGCAGCAAACGCCAGCGACCTCGGGCTCCACAGCCTTGCTGCGCACCCAGAGGCTTGCTAGCCGGACTGGACATTATCTACTTCTGGCCGTATGGTGGCTTCACCATACGTTACCATGCCAACATGATAGCGACGGCATGCGGCTGCGATTGAGGCAATTTGAGCAAGCAACGGATTCCCCTATCAGTTTGTTCAAGAGCACATAACCTATGGGAGTTTTTTTAAGCAACGGATTCAATTGCCAGTTTGTTCAAAAGTACAATGTACCTAACGCCTGAGAGTTGTGTACTCCTGGTTGAAACATGCAGTGCGAGTGTTGAATTCATTGAGTACTTGTTATTACGGTAAGGTATAACCTTGGTAACACTGATTTGAGAAACAATATAGCCTTGAAAAGATACAAACCTGCTACTTGACATAACTAAGCTACTATCAAGAGTAAATGTCAGGAATTTTGCGTACTTTTATTTCTATCTGCTGTCATATCGTGGATAAAATAGTTTTTGAGTACATGTAGGTGGGGAAAACTTCCATGTTATCCTCCGTCCATTGTCATCAGTCCCACATTATTAATGGTGATGCACCCGGTGTCTGTTTTACCCAGTACAGTACCACGAATCATAACGATATTCTAATTGAGGAATGCAATAGCTATTGTAAGTGAAAAACGTGCTTGACTTGAGCACATGGACGATTTATCCTTACCACCCTTTTCTATAACCTTTATATGGCCGGTGGTGCTCCCGTCGTTCTTTATCGTCATCTAAAGCATCAAAGTAACAAACTTCTAACATTATCAGCATCTTCGAGTATTGCCTTCGAGCTGTGATTGACCAATACAAAGCACTCGTGCTAAAACAAGGTTTCTGTCGGAATACAAGTTACGAGAGTAGTTTAGTTATGGAGCGACACCTGTGCTGACAACTACAAGTCGCATAATGACCCGTGGAGAGGCGTGATTGAAAAAAGAACATCTGTCGCATGCTAATAGCCTAATATGGCAATTACTTCAACTCACTCTCTAGCCATTTGCTAAGCTTTACAGTGCACATGCACCACTAAGATCGGGAGCGTCCTTGGAGACTGACAGGGTCACGGATAGCAACGCCAAGAGTCCATAACGCTATGTACTCTTGGTGATAGCCAGCCATGGTATACATGCCATGGTAGGGTGAAAGTGAAATCTTGATTGACCGAGAGGTCAACGACACAGTCATGTTGGCGTGATTATGATTCCTGTGCACATGTGATCAGTAGTTTCTGATAAGAAATCAACCAATGGCCTTAATGTTATGGGATGTGGATCTACGCCTCGTGCACACGTTCGCCTCAAGTCCATGTATTCCCCCAGATAGGCGTTAGCCTTTGGGTAATCCTGAAACGAGAGAGCTTGGGAAGCTCAGGGCCCTACGCTATGCTTTGTTTCCTAGCTCATCGTGCATGTTGTTAGAACTGGTGGAAATGTTTTTTTTCTTTGATTAGCTACAACATTGTATTGCAAAAACGTTTCAATGAGTTACTGAAGTAACGTCTTCTGCATAGCTACGGGACTGGCGCTGACTCTGACGATCACGGGCGTTCTGGAGTCGACGCGATGTCTGTCCTGACGGTTCCTGGGACCGGCGCTGACTCTGCCGATCACGGGCGTTCTGGAAATCCTGAAACGAGAGAGCTTGGGAAGCTCAGGGCCCTACGCTATGCTTTGTTTCCTAGCTCATCGTGCATGTTGTTAGAACTGGTGGAAATGTTCTTTTCCTCTGATTAGCTACAACATTGTATTGCAAAAACCGTTTTCAATGAGTTACTGAAGTAACGTCTTCTGCATAGCTACGAGACTGGCGCTGACTCTGACGATCACGGGCGTTCTGGAGTCGACGCGATGTCTGTCCTGACGTTTCCTGGGACCGGCGCTGACTCTCCCGATCACGGGCGTTCTGGAGTTGTTGTTGTTGTTGTTGTTTATTTTACTTCGCAGATTCTAACGGAGTCGACGGGATGTCTGTCCTGACGTGTCCTGGGACCGGCGCTGACTCTGCCGATCACGGGCGTTCAGGAGTCGACGGGATCTCTCTTCCGACGTTTCCTCTGACCGGCGCTCGCTCGACCGTTCACGCTTATTTTGGAGACGACGGAATCTCTCTTCCAAAGTATGTTTTTGCTGACGCATCCTATCACCTATTCGGCAACTAACGTCCATTCTAATTGCATTTCCTCCTCGTCTCCCTATTTCTTTCCAGAAAATCAGGGAGTCGTATACATAATACTGAAGTACGACGAATACGGTACGGGACAGATACGGGAGCCAGCAAATATTGTGGCCAGCTGTGTTTGATGGTGCGGTAAGGTACGTGACAGCTGTACAGATACGGGATAGCGCCAGACGGAGGTCCGTCCGCTACAAACAAACAAAATAAATACCGTATATTCTCTATTATAAGCAGGGAGTAGTACAATACCGGTATTGTACTACTCCCTGATTATAAGCGCCGTGCCATAGTTATATTTTTTCAACACCCCTCTACCCCGTGCTTATAATGGAGACCGTGCTACCAATACATCCATACAGAGCAAGAAGAAATACATGCTAGATATTATGCATGCAGCATTGATTTCCACCAAGACCGTGCTACTACTGTGCTAGTAATAGAGACTGTGCTTATAAATGTTTCGAAAGGTGCTCACAGTGTGCTAGTACAGTCGTCCCTCTCTAATCCGGCACCTTTTGCAACGGCATTTTCTGCTGGATAAACAAGGGTGCTGGATTATCAAATCCTGTCCTCCAACCCGGCCGACCTACTAACATACATGTTTGTGTTGTACGTCAAAAACGCAGTGATTTTCCGTGTCAATCCAAGTACTTTGTGGAATACATGTCTATACAGTGCATAGGATATTCCCAAGTGTATGTTACATGTAGAATGCTCCCTGATAAGTAGTTCATGCACTGACCAAACTGACATAGCTGTGCTCCGTTAGGGTGTGCGATGTACAACTGCTGGATTAGAAAACCAAATAATGTACAGTTTGAGCGATTTGTTGCAGAAAATCGCTGCTGGAGGCGGAATTCAAGTGCCGGATTAAAGCGTAGAAAATGAACTGAAAAATCCGTTTTGCCAGAAAGTGTGCTGGTTTGCAAGGGTGCTGGATAAACAAATGCCGGATTAGAGAGGGACGACTGTATTAGAGACTGTGCTTGTAATAGAGAATATACATGTACGGTAAACACCAAATTAAAGCTGTGTGGACCCTGGCTAGCGCCAGATGTTACTAAAGTAACGTCTTGTGCATAGCTACGGGAATTAAAGCTGTGTGGACCCTGGCTAGCGCCAGACATTACTGAAGTAACCTCTTCTGCATAGCTACGAGAATAAAGATAATAATTATTATTATGATTGTACATGTATCTCAGTGACCTCGAAGCGTCCGTTGAACTATCGCTACAACGAACCCGAGTCCTCTTTCGGACAGACATCAATGCCACTGTAGGAATTAGGTGAGCAAATGTAAGACATGTACATGTATAACTTGCAAGAGTATAATACTCTTGGTGCTGTATAAGGAATACCGGCACTACTTTGTAGTCATTTCGAGATGGATGAGGTCACTGAGGTCTGAGTATCGATGAGGGTTAGCCGTAACTTAGCCCCCAGAATTGGCGGATTATGCCGGCATAATATTTGGCATAATCTTGGGATTTCGTCCAAAAATTATGCTCCGGCATAATATACGGATTCCAACGTGTAAGGTCGGCATAATCTTTCGGTTTTAGACAAAAAAATTATGCTTAGGGCATGGCCGTGTGTGTATGCGTGGTTTCTCAATCCTCTATGTACAGCGTGAATACATAGTGGAGCGGAGCATAATTCAGCATATTTGTTGGCATAATTGTGGCATAATCAAAAGCATAATTTGACGATTGGCCGAGCATAATCCGCCAATGGCTAATGAGGGTACTATTAATTCAAGGGGGGGGGGGGGGGCGTTCGAATTTTCTTCGTCAACTGTTCGAACAAATTTTTAAAAGAGATCAGTTCGAGTGTCCCAATACGGCAATAGAACGGTTTCTATCGTTTTAGAGTTTTTCAGTGGAATTGTCATGGCGATAATGACGTCCGATCAGATCGACCATCTCGACGTACATGATATGTAGCTACATGTATTCCAAACTCTTCGGAACTAATCCACCTCTCCCATCGGATGAGGTTGTGGAGTTCCGTTTTTCTGAAGAGGCCAATAAGCCACCTCTTCAGAAAAACGAAACTCCTCGAAAGGTCAAAGAGTGACAATTCGAACGCACCCTGAAGGTGAAGGTAACCAATACTACATGATGTGTGTATTAGTACATAACTCAATCTGCGGACAGAACTGTTTCGACCTTTGTGTACTCATCAGCGCAGCACAGAGAAGATGAGGCCGAACAGTAGTACAGTTTGTTAACTGTACTACTGTACAGTAATATGTCAGTAGTCAACTCTGACAGTAGCACCAGGAGGTGTTACAAGCCTCCTGGTTTCAATGATCTCCACAATCATACTAGTACTAGTAGTGAAGACGGTGCGTATCTCTACTCTCTCCTCACGATGAGGGTACAGTTTGTATACTAATTTTATAGGGGCATAATGTCATGGACATGTACAATACCAAAGTACATAACGGGATTATGTACTCTTGATAATACCCAATGCTGTAGACAGGAACCAGAGCCTAGGAACCATAATATCTTTTGGGTACATGTACAATGTATAAAGAGTGAATTGCAACAGAAATGTCGCTTTGCTGATGCCGTGCTTTGGCAAGTGGTAACAACAGTTTAATGTCTAACATACATCGTAACATGTCTTATACAGACTAATACATTGCGTAAAACGGTGATACAGAATATTGCTTACTATGACGTGCGTTGCACTGCCCTCCTCCCAATACGCACCTTTTTTCTACCGGAAGGGTGCTGCCCCCTCCTACCCTCCCATCAGTGCACTAGTGGGCCCATGGCTAGGACATTATGTGGCACCCATACACGTACTGGGCCATAGCTACATGTGCATGTAGCACTCAGTCAAGGCCAATCAAGGAGGAGGTACTGCACTCGCCTGCGACCCGAGAGGTCGCGGGTTCGAGCCCCGCAGTCGCACATCTGACTGCAAAATCCCCACGACGCAGCTCACCAGATCAAGGTGTGGGTCCTCTGCACTCAGTAGAGTCAAGTCGAGCGAGCTGCTACTCCCGGTGCCAAAAGGCGGGCTAACGCCCCTACATGGCTACTTCCCCTTGTCTAACCCCCAAGACGAAAATCATGATAGTAGCCGACTGGCCGAAATTAAAAAAAAAGGAGGAGGTGAGGGCGATTATAGCCAGCCATGGCACTTTTAGTAGCTTGCATAAAAGAATGATAACAGAGAATGCAGGTGTGCACATCACAGCTCAACTTCTGAAGCCAAAGCTGAAAGGCAGGAGGGGAAGGGAGGGGGGGGGGGGTATCAATCTGGCCCGGGTCCTTGAAAAGTAAAGTGGTGTTATGTACTGTACACGCGTTAGAGTGACTGCGTGAGTGAGTCGTCACGGATCAATTCATTGCTGGACTAAGCAATACTACTAGTAGATTGCCAGTCCACTTAGCGTGACTGTGTGAGTAAGTCACGGACCATTGCTGGGCAAAGCATACCACTGAGTGTGTACTAATATGCAGGGATAGCATGATGGAGCAACAGCAGTAGCACACAGTGGCACATGACTGCAAGGAGAAACACTGAATTTAGAAAGCGATCCTTCACAGGCTTCAGCTTTTCTATGGTCACAAATTCAATGTAAGAGCTAACGACACAGAATAGCTGTTACATGATTGTAGCCCAACAGCTGTCCGCTTGCCTGAACTGGTTGAAGACAGTGAAGTGCTGATGAGGACACCACTGGAGTCGGCAGGTGGGATGCAGTGCTGTGCAGATGCAAAGGGCTGGTACTCAAGGATGCAATAAAGTGGCTCAATGTAGCCAGGAGTAAAGCAGACTGTCAACTAGGATATTACAGTACTGATTAAATTTTTGCTGTGGCCAAGGCACATAATACAACTTTACAAGTTAGTTAGGCTTCTTATTCCCAGAGCATGGCTCTGTCCACAGTGCAGAGCAATGGTGAGAGAGGCAGAGGAACAGTTAGAAAAACAGATTATAGTTTTAAACAGTTACTACTAGTATTTACTTGTTGGTGTCTGATCCAGAATTCAGAATAGCTGGCGCACTGTTAACAGCCGAAGGCAAGTGGGTTTGCCTGCTGTGGACTATACTGTAGTTATATTAGTTTTCTAAGAGGAAACCCAGTCCAATACAGCAAGCCAATGAATGAAAACCGCAAGGGCACAGGAGATAACTGGTGTGGAACAGACGGACAAGGAAGGAAAGTCCAGCAGGACTCCTTCCCTGGCCGCAATGAATGGAGCCGGCAGCGAACTGACGCAAGCCTTGAAAGGACCTTGCAAAATCAAGGTCTTACAGACCACAGCACACAGACACCCACACAATAATAAATGGAAAAAAAGGAGTTGGTAGTGGCACTGACCAACCAGCTAACAGTACAATGTACTACTACAACAATAATACCAAGAGCACTGTAGGCTAGTACTAGTAGTAGTAGTAGTAGTAGCGGATGGCTAGTTGTTGACGTTTGCTCGAAAATTTATTGGCCTTCTTACTTATACAGTAGCAGAAACTATTTAAAAAAAGCCAGCGCCAAGACTAAAACTCAACAAAGCCTGGCGACAATCCACACATAACAACCTAGAGTTAGGCTAGCTTACAACTATGCTCCCATAGTGTGAAACCACGTCTGCTCCCCGTGAATTCCGGGGCAGAATATTAGAAATTCCGTGCGGAATCCTGCGGCTGAAAACAGTAAATTCTGCGCTAATTCTGCACATCCTTCCAAATGCTGCAAGGGAAATGAGCGTAAAAACAGATCAAATTTCCGCAAACCCACCGAAGTTTGTTGTCCCTATAAATTCTGAACCAAAATTATGCGAAATCCTGGTCCAAAAATTGAAAGCTCCAAAATGTACCGTGCAAGTTGATTTTGAAAGTTACAAGCAGGTTGGTTTGGCTGTGATATACATCAAAGGTCTCCAGAAAAAGCACCTCTTTTCTGCAATATTCTGTCGGATTTTTTGAATTCTGCGGAAATTCTGCAATCGGCGGAATCGAGAAATTCAATTTCGAACGCCATTACGCACCAAGACTACCAGTAGATTGTGTTTCTTTCAGATCACCTAGAACAATTATCCTGCGAGTCTGCACACTCACCCATCGGGCGAATCAAAAAACAAATGAAAGGCAATGGATATGTTGCATCAGACCTGAGCCTGAGGCCTGTAGACGAATGCAAGACAACACAAAAAAGCCGGCAGTATACTCTACGCACGTTTACATTGCTGCAGTGACGTGCGTCCATAGTTGACACATATCTTGTAGATAAGGAGCTGTATGTTCACAATTAATCCCAGAATGATCCGTGGGGGATTAGAGCGTACAGCAGAAACCCAGGCGAATACGCCATTCGCCCAAGGCAGTGGTTCTCAACTACGGCACAAGTCAGTTTACAAACTGTGTTTTCACCAAACAAAGATATGCCAGGAAGACGGCAGTGTTTCCAACTAAGCCCTGCCATCAGCAAACAACATTCACTTCACAAAGGAATGCTGACTTTCGGACCTTGATTGTGATTGAAGTAGTAGATGATTTAGGAAGATTCACAGCCACAGGTAATAGGTGACAGCAACAGTACAGAGTCATGTACTCTTGGTGACAGGTACATCATGTACTAGGTCACCACAGCTGCCGTACCCCCCCCCCCCCTTGTATGGGCCCAGGGAAACCTGCACTGCCATACCCCTCCCCCCCCCCCCTTTGTATGGGCCCAGAGACACCTGTGCTGCTGGCATGGTAAGGACCCAGGGAACAAATAAAATTATTCTGACGTGCCAAGTTTTTCAGTTCCCTGTTCAAGACGGGATTATGTAGATGACACGGCGTACATATTGTAGTGCTGTGTATAGATGCCATCTCTACAATGTACCAGTACCAGGCGCATAATCTACACGTAAATGTATGTACCGGCATGCGCAGTATGCACTGTATACATAATACCAAGAGTGCATACACACGAGTAAGCAACTGTGGTTATGGGTCAGTGCGCGGCGCGCTGCCTTCATTACGTAACTTGCCTCCATCACTCTCTGAAAGCATGCACTCAAACTCACAATTTTTCGTACAAGCCAATCCATCCGTTTTTGCTCGATTCGTTCCAGTACCTACGCGATCTCTAAATTGTGGCACGTAAACTCCAGTTCCGTACAAAAGTTCAATTCAAACCAGAGGGAAAATGCGATGCTTGATTTTCCGCAGTGCACGGACTGCAGCTGAATGATGTGATGAAGGCTGGGCGCCGCGCATCTGGCCCACAGAAAAGAGATCACAGTTCCATGCTATTGTTTTATGGACTCTTAAAAAATAATACCAGCCAATATCTGTGCGAATCCATAGTTCAAGGCAGTAGCAATGGCTTGCTATTACCAGCATGGCTTTCAGTACAGTGCAATGGCGGCCAATGCTACTCATGGATACTAGTAGAAGTGCAGCCAGAAGTTGGAGTTGATTCCGTTTCGCCATTGCTATCATCCGATGCAGGACGCAACAAGTTGTTGCTCCCTACTGGAAGTAAGCTAGTTGATAGCACTGTAAGGCCAACGTCAAGTAAAAGCACATCTGGCCTAGTACTACTAGTAGTGTTATAGCTAGCTAGCTCAGCCCTACTTCCGGATGCACCCAAGCTGGATGTCAGTGCATACATGTAGCCAACAAACCAGCCAGTCAAGCATGAAAATACGAGCACATCAAACCAAGCATAACGGCGGAATTCAACTAATTGCAACATCTGCTCCTACTCTAGGGCTAGTTGCAGTCCGGTTAAGACTCGCGATCTTGTTTGAAAGCCACTGGATAGGCTGTTCACCTAACTCCGAACCAGAACTCAGGCGGAACCATGCATAACAGTCTAGTCTGTGACCCGCTCCTAAAATATTATATTAGCAATGTATAGAATAAATTATCACAACCATTGCTGGGGATCCGGAGACTCGACTAAAAAAAATTTGTACTGCACCATAATTATTACATGTATAGACTCACTAGACCAGTGGTGAGTATGACCATTCAAAAGTAAACTTTACTTACCGCCTACCGATGGCTCCGTCCGTCCTAGTCATGAAAGACGTTTGGAAAGCACACGTATCCTCCCTGAGCCAGGCGATGTCATTCGAATATTCAAGTACATAATTCCACCGTACTGCATACGCATAATCCCCACCAAGATGAGGCAGTAGACCAACAATTTCCTACAGCTAATCTTGTCCCATAGGCTCTTCCTTCGGGAAAAGAATATTACTAGTAAACAAGGGCACTCGTGCCGTCGTGGCGCACACTAATGACTACCTTCAACACACCGAGACAAGCGTGAGCACCTTGAAATCCTCACAACCAAATCTGGACGTGAACCAGCTGATTGAAGCTGGAAAACAACTCCAACGACGCTTGACAGCACCATTTGCGTAGTATGTGCGCATGCGCAGTGGCGTAGGTGGTTGGACCGAGAACTGGGATCACGTCCACTTCAGTTGGAAGGATTTGTTTGAGTGTTGTGAAGGCTTCCTTCGATTACTTTTCTTCAGATCCCTCTTTCATAGTACCTCCTTTGCGTTTCGTAGTAGGGCAGAGAAGGTATTTATTCTAGTGTCCTCTGGATACTGTATATGAGTCAGTAATAAGTGCGCTTCGTGAGGTGGCCGAAGATGGGGTGTGCCGCGAGTGTTGACAAGGAGGCTGCAGAGAGGAGTAAGCGAATTGATCAGAAAATCAGGCAAGATAATGAGGCTGCCATGCGAGAAGTTAAGCTTTTGCTGCTTGGAGCGGGAGAGTCTGGTAAAAGCACGATCGTCAAGCAAATGAAAATTATCCACGACAATGGTTATTCTTCAGAGGATTGCAAGCAATTCAAACCTGTCGTTCACAGCAACACTCTCCAATCTATTCTTGCCATCGTCAAGGCCATGGAGAACCTGAGCATATCTTATGGTGACGATGGAGTGAAGGAGACTGCTGATCGTTTAGTGGATGTGGCCAGCAAACAGGAGGAGGCCGAGCTAACACCTGAAATTCTTACGATGCTGAAGAGTTTGTGGGCTGACAGTGGAATCAAGGAATGTTTTAGCCGCTCACGCGAGTATCAGCTCAACGATTCCGCAGGTTACCTCCTAGACGCACTGGATCGAATTGGTGCTCCTGATTACATTCCCAGTGAACAAGACGTTCTGCGGACTCGCGTCAAGACAACGGGTATTGTTGAGACACACTTCACATTCAAAGATCTCAATTTCAAAATGTTTGACGTGGGTGGCCAGCGATCAGAGAGAAAGAAGTGGATTCACTGCTTCGAAGGCGTGACGGCGATTATCTTCTGTGCATCTCTATCAGCGTATGACCTTGTACTTGCGGAGGATGAAACTGTCAACAGAATGACGGAGAGCATGAAGCTGTTCGACTCCATATGCAACAACAAGTGGTTCGTTGATACGTCCATCATTTTGTTCTTGAACAAAAAGGATATATTCCAGCAGAAGATCACAGTGTCACCCCTATCGTTTTGCTTCCCAGAATATCCGGGCCCCAACACGTTTGTTGAGGCATCCAACTACATCAAGCAGAAGTTCGAGGACCTGAACAAGAAGAAGGACACGAAGGAGATTTACGCTCATCTGACCTGCGCAACGGACACGAACAACATCCAGTTTGTGTTTGACGTTGTTACCGATGTCATCATCAAGAACAACCTTCGGGATTGTGGACTGTTCTAGGCTTTTCCTTGCTAATGGGGTTGCCGAGCCCTCGTTCCCGTATCGTCAGGCACTGGCCGCATGCTTGGCACACGCAATAGAGCTGTCTTCGCCGTTAGCTGACTCCTCTAAGCAGAATTCTGAGTCTGCAAAACAAATAAGCATTGTATATGCTGTTCCCTCACTCCATGCAACAACTAGGCAAAGAAGATGATAATGATTGCCCCACATTCATGTCCATGTAACTCGGCAGCGCCACTGTACACCCGCGGACAAGTGTACCAGGTGCTGCTGCTGTCTTTGAAATTGGCATGGGTTAGTTCTTGATGTAGCCACATACCTGTGGTGTCATTATGCTGCGTCTCGCACTTGGTATACCCAGTGCAGACTTTGGCTGATTTTCGTATATATGATAGGTATTGTGTCTGTTGTCGTTCATACACCTCCGTCCGTTTTTAATCATTCCATGTGAACTAAAAATCTTCTGCTTTCTAGGATACTCTTCTCATATACATACCTACCTTCTTTCCGTAAGCTTTCATTCCTGTTGAGCTTTGTCATTGTTTTCTTCCCTCCGTCGGCGTAGCGCACACACAAACTCCATCGCATGTCTCCATTATTCGAAAAGATGTTATTTGATACGCCGCCCCTTCCCCAAAGTTCCTTTTGGCATATTTCTTCTGTCAGTCCCAATGCTGTGCAAAGCAAAAAATTTGCTGCATTTCTGCTTCTTTTTATTTCTGCTTTCTGATGTTTTTGCTGTTGCAGCACTTAGCACTGTTTACAGGCGATGGACTATTATTCAGCTGCACATAGTGGGCCTTCTGTAATTGTATGCGTTGTCTTGATTTTTCACTCTCGAATATTATCGCTATGTAAAGAAAAGTCTTTTTTTTTTTGGTAACTACGTGTAGCATTGTAGTTCTTGTGGATTTGTGTTGAAGCAGTGCGTGTGTGTGTGTTTGTGTAGAGCAAAGAAAGTGCGAGCTTCTGGAAGCTGCTGCTGCGCTCTGCATGTGACTGCCTTCAAAAGCGAGTTGCACAAATTCTTGCCACTGTTTGATCATAAATTTGCCAATCTCAACCAGACAGTCCTGCCTTGTCCTTGATTTCATTTCCAGTACCTGTGTTTGCTGGTTCTAGGGGCTTGATTGTTCCTGTGCGCCCTCGATCCTCCATATCCCCACGTTTCCAAGCTATCCATCTTTTTGTTTGTTGCTATTTAGTGACCAAAGCCGACCATGCCAGTGTTCTTGTTTGCCTGCTGCCGAGTTAGCAGTCAGATGCAATCAGCCGGCCCGGTTCAGCTGTCTTCTTTTCGTCTTGCCTGTCATTTTCAGTGAGTGAGTGAACGAGCGGCATGGCACTGACTCTGTAAATAATTACATAATGTCGGCACGATTCTGCATGGTTGTGGCATGCATACCGGTGTGCATGTTGTTTATGACTTGTGTTCAGCTGAAATCGTCTGTACAATGTGCATCATGTACTTTTTTGGTGGCATTTTTATTGTGATGTCATGTTGCAGAGATGATGACATAGCCTAGCCATCACTACTTACATTATTCATTTGCATAATTATCCCCACTGTGCATGTGCCGGTGTGCAGGTGTGTGTGTGCATATACCGTGCGCAACATACATAACCCAGGAGGTTATCAATGGTTATGACTGTATTCTTCAGTCTCTTGTCATCGGAGATAATTATTTTTACAAGCTGCAAGAGCTAGATATGTATCATGTATCGAGCACTTGGCCATAATAATTATTATTACATCAAATGCGCAATAGTTTGAGTTCTTTTTTGGTGCGTGTACGCAGGCACACCTACATATAAATTTGAGACATGTGGAGGTGCTTTCATTCGAATTTTTAGTTTTGGGCGGCACGCATGCATGCATGCAGCGCACTGGCGAGTCTAGTCTGCCATACCAGTGCAGTGCAGTGCATGCTACGTCTATCGACGGTGCAAGCTAGCCACGCGAAGTCCTTGGCTTGGTTTGTTGAACTCCACATGCACTGTTGACTAGACTGCATGGAAATGTGTGAAGATTTTTTTTGTCTGAGCTGAAGTGCCTTTGTGTAGGAATTTTGTAAGGACCCTTTTGTGTTTGCCTTGCGTTATTTCTAGTCATCTTTGACCAGTGAACATGTCTGCTCCCGATTCTTGGGAGTCCATTGCGGACGATCAGGCAGAGCCTCCCGCTCTCAATCCGAATGCTGGGGCATTTGTCCCGGGCAAGAACATCCATGCATCATCATTCGTCCCTCGCATTCCTGCCAGCACAAATGTCGGTAAGTAATAATTATTACAAAGAATATTGAACATTGCAGCACTCCCCAATAACTTGCAAATGTCTCGGGCATAATCAGACACATGTGAAACAGATGCCTGTTGTATTGTGTTTGATGTTCCGATTGCGTAGAGCCGCCCCAGCAGCAACCAGCTTCCAGTGCTGCAGCTACTACTGATACACAGCAGTCAACTGAAGGTGAATTCACGCAATTGCTGTGTGTGTGTGTGTGTGTGTGTGTGTGTGTGTGTGTATGTATGTGTGTGCGTGTGTGTGTTGTGTGTGTGCACGCGCGCGTGTGTGTGCGTGCGCATGTGTGTGTGTTTGTGCGCGTGCGCATGCGTTTGTGTGTGTGTGTACGCATGAGTGTATTGTCCCATAGTATGCATTGTATGGCATTTACACGTGTATTGCAAGTTTTAAAGAAAGCCTGTGATTGGGTTTGAAGCCCAGTTTGATACTGCCCTATTAAAATATGAAAAATAAATAATAATAATACAGTTTCTGGCAGTGGTGTGCATTGCATACACATGTGAACGCGTACATTCAATGACAGGACATAGCCTCATTCCGTCCCAATGCACTCTGCCTGACCTAGTCTGATGAAGTTTAGGGTTCACGGCTTGCCACTAAAAGCACCCGTCACGTGCGCCTCCATTTTGGATTATGGAGGCGCGCGACAGGCCACGATAGCGCCTGTCGAAGTAAAAAAATATCAACTCGAAGTCTAGCCGGAGAGCATACTTTTTGAATTTTTCCTTCACTTTACTTGGGCTTTGCATTTTTGCTTCGGTTTTTCTGACTGACCTGGACTTGATGATGGCGGCGGTGGCGGTCTTGGCGAAAGATCCAGTTCCATCTGAGACACTCTGTCGCCTTTTCTTGTCTGCTGAGGTTCTGGCAAAGCGCAGCTGCATCGAACCTGACTAGATGTAGCTGCACGCATCCTTTGTTTGCCCTGCAAATCTCGATCTGTTGCTCTTCTTGCTGTTTGGCCGAAATGGCTGATGCCAAGGAAGAAAATATTCTTCCTGTAAAGAGGCCGAAGCTGAGCAAGGGCACGTCAAGATATATATGTAGGGTATACAAAGAAAAAGAAATGTGATGGTCGTTTCAGCAGCTCACGACAGCTAACACGCTCCATCGTGTCGGGGTTGGAAGTATCCAGCACGGCTGTTCCGAGCGCTGCTGCTCTTGTTATTCTTCTTCAGAAATTCTGCACACCTTGTCGGCCAAAGTACGCGCGCGCGTGCACGGAAAATAAATGCGCTGAGCCGTTTCTTGTTCGATTTTGACAAATAATGGTTTGTTGTTTTGCTCTCGACCTTGGCTATCCTTTTGCCGTTCAATATTTTACGGAAACGCAACGGCTCCCCCTGTTTTTTAGCCGAACTTTGGCCAAAGTTACTAGAAAACCCAGAACTCGTTTGAAAAAATACGAACGGTGGAAGTCTTGGAACGTCTTTCGTGCGTGTGGATTCAAAAATTCAGGCAGTTTGAGCCAACCGTAATGAATCCCGTAGAGTTGAAAGTGAGTGATATTGATGGGAAAATGCGATTTGAGCACTCATCGATTGTGTGGTACAGTATCTGCACGCGCCTGTCACGTGCATGATGTAGCTGGCGACGCTAGCATGCCAATCTGTGAACCCTAAAGTTGGTCAGATTGCGTACTGGGCAACAGGTGTTCAGAGTGAATCATGATGCTTCTTCTACATGTATGTATGACGTCATGGCTGATGGCGCTTGACCATGATAGTCCGAATCATCTATTGATAGTCCTGTGTCCGAAATTCGCAAGTTCTCTTCGTGATGTTAGCATGCATGCACATGGACATCAGGTAGTCAGTGCATCTAGGGCGACACCATGAGCAGTTGGAACTTGAAGCAGTGTGGGCCTCACTCTTTGTTCTGACCGTGCCAGGCGCCCCTGGAACAGAGCTGATTTATGAACTTGTTGCATGTTATCATGGCTCTGGGCCACGTTTGGAGTTGGGGAATCACTGCCTCAGCTTCAAATGTGTGTTGCGTAGATGGCTGATAGATCTTGGATCGAGGCCCACATAGATTTTAGTTGCATCCAAAGCTAAGCCCCCCCCCCCCCCCGTCCATCTTCAGGTCCCCGTTGTATGGTGTCAGTGTGCACACTTTGCGTGATTCTCTATTGTAAGCCATGCTTGCTTGTTCGACCTTTGGGTGCATTGTATTTTTTTCAAGTTCGACTTGTATCCAGAGAAGTATGATAGACTCAGCTCCCTTCCCTGGCTGATACTAAACATCCTACGATTGCATAACATTTTGAGTAAAGGGCGCGTCAGATGAAAAAAACTGTGTTATGTTATCACTGGCCTCAGTACATGTTGAGTACAGGACCTGCCAGATGGAAGACTGCACTATGTTATCACTGGGCTCAGTACATGTTGAGTACAGGACCTGCCAGATGGAAGACTGCACTATGTTATCACTGGCCTCAGTACATGTTGAGTACATGGCCTGCCAGATGGAAGACTGCATTACACCACTAGCCTCGGTACATGTACTAGCACAGTAGTAGACCCCCAGTGGGTATACCACCTTGCCAGTGTGCCGAGCCCGACTAACGATTGAGATGCAATCACCCCCCCCCCCCCCCATCCTAATTTCCTTTGTGCATCGTATTTATTTCAGAACGACCGGCAGAAGAACAGGCACCAGCCGAGACTAGCCCGCCCGCTGACACCGCTACTGATGCGGCAGCTGCTACAAGCAATGGAGCAGCTGCAGAGGCCGCGGAAGGTTAGCTTTGGCACGAATCTGAGACTGCTTGCTTGGCTGGCCAGTGACGAGCAGACGTTTCTGAGTTATGCTGCGGTATTTTTTCCAGCTGATGCTGTTTTATTGGGTATTCTTCAATCCACATGGAACATGTGAGAATGTGCTCTGCCCTTCCACGGGTCAGAAGAGTTACGTTGCAATGTAACTACAGTCAAACCTGTAACTAAATACCACCGTGACTAGCGACCAGCCTGGTACTACAGACCGCTTCGCCAGGCACGGACGGTCTCACATTCATTATATGGTTGTGCGGTGCAGACCTCTAACTAAGGACCACCTGCCACTAAACACCGCTTTCTCTAGCCCCAAGGGGTGGCCGTTAGTCACAGGTTTTACTGTAAAGCGGAAAGTGTGAATTCCAACTTTTGTATTGCAGTATGGTGTGTAGACAAATCAACATGACGCATCGCAGATTTGCGGACTGGTTATCTGTTGGTGCTCCTGGCTGCATGGTGGAGAAGAGAGAGAGAGAGAGAGAGAGAGAGAGAGAGAGAGAGAGAGAGAGAGAGAGAGAGAGAGAGAGAGAGAGAGAGAGAGAGAGAGAGAGAGAGAGAGAGAGAGAGGAAAGCCCATTGCAGGGTTTCACGCTTTCACCATCGCCTGGCAATGTGTCCGGCTTCATTTTTATTTCATTTTCCGGTTGTTGATGAAATCCCAATGAAGCTACACATTCCCATGGTGGTGTTTGTCCTTCCTCTTTCTTTTTTTGTCTTAGCATGCTCAGCTCCCGCTGTTCAGGCATCAGCAGCGGCGGCGGCGGAAAGTGTAGCTTCGTCCGATGTTGCACAGGAGGTAGAGGCAGGCAAGGCGGAAGCGCTCGCCGAAGCTGCCTTCCCCAGCCATGAGAATGTTAACATCGTCTTCATTGGTCACGTTGGTAAGTGAGCAGGAGGAGTATGGGGAGTGTTTGTTTGGCAGGCTGCACAGTGTTCGTTTTGCCATCTGCAGGTGATAGGCTGTTCGTTTGAATGGACCTACCCGTTCAGTGTCTGCTCCAGCGCCGGGTGAGCCGGGTAATCCACCCGGTTGGGCGGCGCTTGGACTCGGTTGAAAATATAGTACCGGGTGACCTGTGACCCGGTTGGTACTTTATACTTTCGAACTTTGAAAGGACTGACTACATGGCTTGTTAGGCGCTGCATCTGCCGCTAGGGTTTATCGGGTGTTAGCGGCCGTCGTGAGTTCCCTTCGGGAACGGATACGATAATTTACTCTTTTTTTTTACATGGCTTGTATGTGTCAGATACTTCTTCTTCTTTCGTAATTTTCTAATTCTTGTCCTCTCTTTTCTAAATGCGGCTTATCCATTTGCCTTTATATCATTGGGCCTAGTTCCCGTTTATTCTCCGGATTAAAATAAACCATCAAACCAGTTAAAGCATGTGACTCGGCTGGTGAGACAGCGCCAGGTACATGTGTACCCGGCTCCGACCCGGTTGAAATGGTTGCGCCAGGTACACGTGTACCCGGCTGTCCTACAATCCTAGAGCAGACACTGCCGTTGTACAACATACATGTACCTCATCAAGCCATGCTCTTTGCCATAGGTGTTGCATCCCAAACAATTTTGGGGGGGGGGGGGTGTGCTTGTAATGGCACAAGATTACAAAAGGACTGCTAACACTTTCCCACACACTCCATATCGCGCTACATATCACATGTCTTGATAATTGTTATGCTGGGCTTGCCACATTCATGGTAAAAAATAGCAATAGTATCAGCCAGGGTCAGTATCGATTTTCGTCTGATGCTCCATTCTATTCGTGAAACTCAGAATTACGAAACAGCAACTGCTTGTCCTGTCTGTGGACTGCTAACTAACGTATTCTTTTTTTAACCCTTCTTTTGTGTTCTGCTTGTCCTCACCAGATGCTGGAAAATCAACCATTGGTGGACAACTGCTGTAAGTTGAGGTGTTAGTGACGCGTAGTGATCTGTCGTCTTTACCGGTCTGGCTTTACCGCTGCTACTGCCACATGCGGAGTGTCAGCGTGCCCCTATCTCTATCTCTCTCTCTCCCTCCCTCCCGATATTATCAGCATGGGAAAACTACGAGATAGCGGTAACGACTTCGGCCCTAGTAGAGGAAATGTGTGTTGCTCCCAATGTGAGAGCTTGCACGTTTCCTGCCGACTTGACTTGACACTGGCTGACTCATGAAGCATGCAAGAAGTCCATTGAATCCTCCACACGGCAAGCCTTCATTTTCAAGAAAGCATCACTCTTTGCTTAGTTCACAGTGTTTAGGGGAATTAAGTTCAATTAACCCCTCAGCAGTTGAAACACTGTGCTTTGAGCAAGGAGCGGTGCTTTCTTGCAGGTTTTCAGATTGGATTGCTTCTGGTATGTTCTGAATCCCAGTCGCGAGTCAGTCAAGCGTCAAATTGACAGGAAAATATGGGAATAATACTATATGATACGTATAGACATACTCATGTTTGCTTTCTCTGGACATCTCAGTTCCCTGGTGTTTTCTGTTTTGAGGATAGCTCTGTCTCTAAACCTTTTTTTATTTTTTATTTTTTTCCTGACTTGTTTTGCAGGAAGCTCACCGGTATGGTCGACAAGCGTACGCTTGAGAAGTATGAACGAGAGGCGAAAGAAAAGAACAGAGAGAGCTGGTGAGTACGGCATTCCTCCTGTTGTCCTTCCCAGGTGGTCTTGTAGACTTGCTACTTCTGGGCTGTGGAATCCGCCAATGCTTTGCCATCTTGGATCTGTTGACCAAGTGTACTTTAGTCTGAGCCACTATTTGGCGTTTTGGTCACGCTTCTAACAGACACTTTTCAATGCTCAACATACTTCGAAGTATCATTCTATGGCAAGATTGGAGGCATAAGGCAACACTGGCGCCCAGTCCTGCTTGGCTAGCATAACATGCGACATTGGACAACGCATGTACACACTGTATTGAGGATGTGTAGTCATCCAGATGATGATTGTACTTTTCTTTATCATTGACATTGCTCTTTAGGTCTGCATTCGACACTGAGGATATATGGGCGAGGTGGTGCCCAGCCGGTGCGAATGTCTTTGCTTGACGTGTTCCTCAACACGTCGGATGTTGCGGCCGCGAATCCGGCTAACTTTTCTTTTCTTTATAAATCGGATGTTGAGCCAATAGCATTTAGTAAAGAGAAAGAACCAATAAGTTACTAGGTATGACTAACAGTCCACCAAGACAACGAGATAATATACAGTCAGATAGTGCAACAAGGCACAAAACTGACAAGGATATTGAGACATTCAACGACCTGTCTTTGCTTTTTTTTTTGCTCCTTAGGTACCTATCTTGGGCCCTTGACACAAACACAGAGGAGCGAGAGAAGGGAAAGACTGTGGAGGTTGGCCGTGCCATGTTCAACACGGAGAAGAAACGTTTCACCATTCTCGATGCGCCCGGCCATCGCTCATTTGTACCCAACATGATCAACGGTGCTGCACAGGCTGATATCGCTATCCTGGTGAGTCGGAGTGGCCAACCAGTTGATGTAGCTGTGGTGTGTGTACTGTGTGGGTGGGGGTGGGTGTGTGTGTGTACGTGCACGCACGCCTGTGTGCGTTTGTGCGGGTGGGTGTGGATTTGTACCATCATGCTTGTGTCCGGAATTTTGTATATATGTATAGTTAATGTGCGTCCTTGGCTCACACTTGTCCTTATCTTTTTCCTAATCTAGTTACATTGTATGTTGTGCCTTCCCATCTTTGTCTTTTCTCTCTAAGGTCATCTCTGCTCGCCGTGGAGAGTTCGAGACTGGATTTGAACGTGGCGGTCAGACACGGTATGTTGTTTGACGGTGTGGTGGTTGGGGGTTGTTTGGCCATGCGATGCTTGGGATGTGTTTGATCGTGCAGTGGTTGTTTGTGCTGCCACACAACCTGTACGCTATACGTGGTAGCTTGAGATAGTGAAAGCATTCATCCTTGATATTGTTCTCCTTCGTCTGGATGTACGTTCACAAGCATATTGCTTCGATCTCAGCTCCATGGTTGTGAATTAGTGTCGACTCAGACGCCGTTAACGTTACATCTATTTTGCTTTCCATATTGAAGTACAGCCGTAACTTCAGCACTCTCTTTTGAAGGGAGACGGAGGGAGAGCGTAACAGAGGGGGCAGAGACAGACAGGTGGATAGTATCGGGTGTGCACTGCATGTACACTCATAGTATATGCACTCCCACTCTGGTGGCTCTTTCCTGCTGTTCCTCACTGATCATTGCATTGTTGTTGTATGGTGTGTACTTGCTGTTGTCGCACACAGTGAGCATGCTATGTTGGCAAAGACGGCTGGTGTCAAACACCTGATCATTCTCGTCAACAAGATGGACGACTCCACAGTCCAGTGGAAGGGAGAGAGGTAACTTTATGCTTGATTTTTTTGTGGTGTTACCATACGAAAGCAATCATGCATGGCTTGTGTTGCTTGAACTGCTCATCGATTGACTGAGTACTGCATTGGAATATTTCTGTTTCACTTAGTACAGGTTTATGGGATTTGAAGCAAAGATCTGTGCAGCTTGTGCAGGGTGTGCATTGAAATGTGTGGTGACTGCCTGGTCCTGCTGTAGTCTGGGCTGTCCTAATCATATTTCATGCAACGACAACGTTCCTCTGATCCCCAGGAGGGTCTTTGTCAATTTTACTCGTACTCTGCGTGTATGATCATTGCTCTCTTCCTCGCGGGGCGCTTAGGCTGATTTCGTGTTCCTGGAAGACAGCCATCAGCCATCGGGCTGCATGTGATTTGAGCTATGAACATTGCCGAACAGTAGCCGTTGACGAACGTGGTGCTTTGTCGTGTTGCTTCTTTTCCTGTAGATATGAGGAATGCAAGAGCAAGCTCATGCCCTATCTCAAGCAGGTCGGCTTCCGCAAGACCGGTATGTGCTTGCCTGCTCTTTCTTTCTTGCTTGGCTAATGCTCCCGTGTGGTATTGAGTAGCACAACCCTACGTACGAGTATCCAAGGTACTCCTTATCCCAACATACTTGTACTTCAGTATGGATCTATACGTACATCCGTGCTCCGGCCAATGTCCGTACTAAGCAAGAGCATTATCAGAGTATTGTGCTAAGTGAGTGGCAGGCTGTGACTGTGGCCGTTCTCTAGTACTGCTTGCAAGAGGTGTGGTTTGCATGGTAATGAAGTTTCTTGTGTGGGTGGGTGTATGTGCGTGTGTACGGGTGTGTTTGGTCTAGTTGCATGTTCTCTTCTCTGCACGTATGGCCCTTGCCTTATCCCCTTTGGGTTTTTTTATTCTCTCTCTCTCTCTCTCTATGTCTGTCGGTCTCGTTGACGCAGCCGCATCATGTTTTAAATGTTACTTGTTGGTTTGTGGTGTTGTTGTGCAGACTGCTACTTCATGCCAGTATCAGGTCTGACCGGTACAGGTCTCAAGGAGAGAGTGGACGCCAAGAGTTGCCCATGGTACACGTAAGTTCACAGACCAACACATGGCGAGGCGGATTCTTTGCCAGGTTTTCTTCCACTGCACATGTTCCATTCTTTGGCGAATGACAACGTTGTTGTGGTTTCTCAGAGGTGTGTCAATGTACGTGTTTGGCCCGTTTAGTCCATGGCGTGTGGTACAAGCAGTGACCTCTGTCTGTTGTGGATGTTGATGTTTAGCTGTATAGTCTTTATAAATGTGGTGGACTTCGGATCAAATCTGCCTTCGCTGTGTACTAGCACATGTACTGGTGCCAGAGCCATGTGTGATTGTTCTAATTGTATGTTATGTTTGGCTTGCTCTCTCGCTCTGCCAGTGGCCCAGCATTCTTGGAGTACTTGGATCAGCTGCCGACTATCACGCGCAGCTCTTCCGGTCCCATTCGAATTCCCATTGTTGACCGCTACAAGGTACGAACACCACCATGCATCTTCTTGCTGTTAGGCCCTCTGCAGACTACGTACATAGAACATCCAGTACAAAATCACTTAAAACCTAAAAGGCAACATTTTTCCAACCCTGCATTCAGACTACACATTTTACATGCAATATACAGGCAACCTTTGACCCTACGCTATTGCGCAATGGACCTGGGATGTGTGAAAGCAGCCGGCAGTCGTACCTGGGTTCAAAGTCTGTACGTTTGTACAACTACCTGGTGAGAAAGTACGATAAATGCAGGAAAGTTGCCTTGTACAAGGGTTCGTACCCTACCTGAAAGGATTGGGCAGCTTTTTAGGCTTCCTGCCAGATTCTTGTTGTTGTCTTGGAAACTTCTATGTAAATGTGACTTATAGGCTGTTTTGTACCTAGTCTGAAGAGGGCCTAAGCTCTCTGTCTATCTGTTCTTCTCTTCTCTCTGCCTCTCTCTCTCTCTCTCTCTCCGGAAAACCGCCGATCCACTCAGGCAACAACTTGTGGATAAAATGCTCTCTTTTGCAGCGGTATATTTATTCTCTTGTTCTGTGCTAGCATTGCCCGGGTCTTTTAGCAACCTCCGGCCCTGAAATCTTAAAACATTGCTTCTCTTCCGCGTGTGCAAGTATAGAGTATTGCATTTGTTTGTTGTTGCTTCTGCTTCTTGTCTTAGGACATGGGTACTATCATCATGGGAAAGCTCGAGTCAGGTGGACTTACCAAGGGCCAGTCCATGGTTCTCATGCCAAACAGGGTGAGCAAAGCAATTTGTCCAGAGCTGTGGGTGTGGGAGTTTGTGCGTGTGTGTGTGTGTGTGTCTCTCTCTCTCCATCTCTCTCTCTCTCTCTCTCTCTCTCTCTCTCTCTCTCTCTCTCTCTCTCTCAGACACATGCACGCAGACATAGACACGAGTAAACCCACTTTTGTTCTCTCTTTCTCTTGTTTGCTTGCTCCTTCAGTCCTTTGGCTAATTTCCAATCATCTTTGAGGTTTGTAACTTTCGTGCGTTGTCTCTTCTGGTCATTTGCAGGCCAATGTTGATGCACTGGCGGTTTTCACTGAGGACGAGGAAGTTCAGCAGGCACGCGCCGGTGAGAATATCAAGCTGAAGCTGAAGGGAGTCGAAGAGGAGGTATGTGATGTGTTTTCTGTGTGTGCGTGTGTGTGTGTCCCAGCACAAAAGTTGCTATATCTAACATAGCTGTTCGCTATCATCACTTCTGCGATGGGCAGGTCCGAGGTCCGAGGTGTGTGCGTGTGTGTGCATGCGCGTGCTCATGTGCACTCTGGAGCTGTTGCTTGTTGGTGACAATGTGCACAGTGGAATATCACACTCTCCTGCTGGACGTGATTGTATGCTGTACAGTTGAGGTGTTGAAGCATCTGTAGCCCAATGTACTGACGGGAACAAGTATCGTATTTTCCGGAGTATAAGTCGCACCACCCTTTTGAGTGTTCAACGTGCGGCTTGTACTGGGGAAAATACGGTATCTGGTTTTCAGACGGATGTTGGACACTGTAGCATTGATTGCTTTCCCATGTCCTGCTCTGCATTGCATGTACCATGACTATTGGTGGTTTAGCGTGTGCGCTAAGCCCTGTTAACGAACGTGGAACATCTACCACTCATACTTAGTCTGATGATCGTGCATCTGATTATGATGTCATTGCTATACATGCGCATGCGCAGCGCGCGCCACTCTCCCACGCATGCATTCCAAATCTTGCTTTAGAAAGAGAGAAGGAGAAAAGAGAGACTCCTTTGTCACTTTTGCTTTCTGACGACTTGACTGTTCACTGGTTTGTCCGTCAGTGTCAATTTCCCCTTCCCTCCCGACCCCATTCGACTGGGGATCACTATCTCTCCGTCACTGTCACCATAATTTCCTCAATAACAGTGTCAGTACAACTCTTGTCAATATACTTATATCGGGTGAGGGCAGTCTATCTCCGCAGCTGGCTCATTTCAATCACTACCGGTCGCAGCTCCTGCCCACGGCAGGCCGACCGTCTCTCGTTCACACTCTGTGTGCTCCAGGTCACAGCTCCTGCGCAGAGCAGGCCGACCTGTCTGTCTCTCTCTCACACACACTATGTGTGCACCGGGTCACAGCTCCTGCGCAGAGCAGGCCGACCTGTCTTTCTCATGCACGCCAGCTGCTCCGCCCAATATCCCTGATATGCCAACCAGAAAACAATGTGTTCTGAGCCGGGTGCATGCCTGTATGTGGAGAGTGCGTTAATGTATGTATACAGACTGCTGCCATTTGCTACTTTAGTTTCTATTGAAACTTTGTGTGTGCGCGTTTCGCTTCTTCTGGCACCTGTCCTCTGTCCTCTGCTGACCTCCTGTTTGAATTAGTTTTGTTAATGGTAGCATCCGTTTGATCCGTGTGTGTGTGTGTGTCTCTGTGTGTTTGTTTGTCTGTTTCTTCCACAGGATGTGTCCCCAGGATTTGTTCTCTGCAGCCCTGGCAACCTTTGCCACACCACTCGCGTATTCGACGCTCAGGTAAAGAGCTTCAGGAAAATCAGTTATTGTTTGTAAATTATGAGCTGCTGATTTCCGTGATGTTTGCTTTAGCTTTCACACATGCAGTGATAATTCTTTGTGAAATTTCTAGAATCCACGTCTGTTGCATATCATCTGTGTATTACAACCTATCTTGTGGGTTCTTCTTGTGTTTTGTTATGGTGCAGGTTGTGGTGATGGAGTACAAGTCCATCATCTGCGCCGGTTATGGTGCTGTACTGCATGTGCACACAGCTGTGGAGGATGTCAAGATCACGGTAAATAGCACCACCACCAGCTGCAGTGTGGTTGACTTCGCTGTGTTTTAGTGATGTGCTTATCTCCCTCTCACTCTCTCTCTCTCTCACTCATGCTCTCTCTCTCTCTCTCTCTCTCTCTCTCTCTCTCTCTCTCACTCATGCTCTCTCTCTCTCTCTCTCTCTCTCTCTCTCTCTCTCTCTCTCTCTCTCTCTCTCTCTCTCTCTCTCTCTCTCACACACACACACACACACACACATTTTGTCTGGCAGCATTATAATGGTTGTGTTGTGCTGTTGCTTCTTCCTATTTTTTCCTGTACACAGAATCTGATTGCGACTATTGACAGGAAGACTGGTCAGAAGAAACCAAGGCCGAGGTATGCATGTGTGTGTGCGTAGGTGGGAGAGAGAGAGAGAGAGAGAGAGAGGGGGGGGGGGGGGGGGGGACAGGGACAGAGAGAGATGCACGCAGCAGTAAATCCCTTTGGCTTTGTTCAAGTTTGTTGCCATGCGGCAGCTCAGTGTGCAGCGGTACTTTCCGATGCCGAAGAAGGTGCCATACATGACTACAGCTTGGAGATGTCCTTATCGATTGCAATTCCAGCGTTCTTATTCTAACATACTTCAGCTGCTCACGCCATTGCGACCCCCGCCTGGCTGTTTTTTGGCAGGCAGCTCTTCAGAACCCAGCAGTACTGTGCTGTGTCTTGAGCGTCAACTGCGCTCTATAACATATTTCTAACCCTAGTTCGCGTGGGAATCTATTTTTGACTTTTTTCCGGGGTGACGCCAACTTCTGCTGTTTCCTGCTCTGTAATATGCTTGCTGTTCAGGTTCATCAAACAAGATATGAGTGCAATTGTGCGTCTGGAGACGTCTGGCGTGATTTGCTTGGAAACCTTCAAGGAGTTCCCGCAGCTGGGACGCTTCACTCTGAGAGATGAAGGTGCGTTGGTGATGTGATCTTCCCCGGGTTGTCTGTGTTGAGACTTCTTTTTAAAGTTCATTGACTTGTACGCATCTTTCACTTGTATGAGAACAACAGGAGAGCGAAATGACACATTTTGATTGGTCGTCGTGTTCATGTTTGTGCTGTGATTGTGCTCAGGCAAGACTGTTGCTGTTGGTAAAGTGCTGAAGCTTATCAGCACGGGAGACGTACCATCCTCCGGTGCCGCTAACTGAGGAGACAGCAAGACACGGCTGAACAGAAGAAGAAGAAGACGAAAGAAGAGGGCGGCACGCAGCGTGTGGCTTCCGTGAGCTCCCATCTTCTAGTCTAACTGCTGCCGTGTGCACTCGGTGCCGCGCACATGTGTGTGTGCTCTGCTCTGCCCTCCTTTGGGTGATGGTGTTGATAGCATTGGCCCTAGCGCCTACACAAGCACCCTGCAGGAGCGGCAGCAGTGATCGGCATTGCAACTTATTGTGACTGTACACATCTGCCAGTACGGCAATGCTGTCTCTCTGAGCCACGTTACCATCATTAAAAAAAAGTACACAGCTGCTCCCTGCGCCTCTCGTCTTCTGCCTCACTACCGATTTGTACTCGTGCTGCACCTGCCTGCAACTGTGTGTCTGTGTTGGCGATGCACAGTGCCGCCGCAGGTCAGGCAGCACACTTCTTTCCTGGTGGTCTCCGCCGCCGTTGTCTGTGTGTCTCTTTGTCTTGTGTGTGTGTGTGTGTGTGTGTGTGTGTGTGTGTGTGTGTGTGTGTGTGTGTGTGTGTGTGTGCTGTGTTCATAGCTAACTGTCTGCTATTGCTCACACACTACCAGCTGTCAGCTACACGCTCACGCGTGCGCGCGCACCCACTCGCACATTCTCATTTTGCCAAGGTAGCGTTTTTGTGCGCTCTGTGGCGGCATGCCGTTGTAGCTGCGAGCTGGACAGTATATTCTCTTCTTTTTCTTTGAGCCACGGGAGCACGGTGGTGCTGCCGACAATCAGTCGCGGCTCCTGTTTTACAACGCTCAGCAGTAGAAACGTCCTGTTTCAATGCGGGGCCGTATTGTCCTCTCTTTCATGCCAATTCGTTCTTTACGTGTTCCTGCCGCTGATTATTGATGTGTTGGGCATTTTTCTGGAAATCTAGCCCGCCTTTGTTACGCTTTGTACATTGCATTCACGTGGATAAGTCAACTCTCAGCTGACAGACTCTGCCCGATCTGTCAGCAGCTTCCTGAACAGTAACCCAAACTGACCTCGGTTTATTAAAGCGTGCGTGATGTTTTCTGGGGAGTTCTGGCCGCTAGCCGGACGCCTGTGGTGTGCGTGTGTGTGTGTGTGTGTGTGTGTACCTTTGTTGGTTCCAGGGTTCATATACTTTCTATTTGAAGTATACATACCTGCTAACCATGGACTGCTTCTGGCTAGATTAACTCTTGTGTAATCAATGGTGCTAGTGACTTATATCAGATCCACTCTGATTTAGCCACCCACACTAGTAGCACGTATTACCTTCACTGGGGGCAGGGGTAACTGCAGTTGGATCCCTGGACGGATACCTGATGCCATCAATCCTTTTTCTGCACCTTGTCCTCACCCACTTACTGAGGTGTGGTGAGCCCACAAGTGGGATCATTTTCCAAGTCCACCCATAGCTTGGGGATTCCAGGGGGTGTCGGCCGTTGGGCGGTTCAATAGCCAATTGAGGTCAGAGCCATCTTTCCAAGATTCCTTTTGAGTCTTTCTCCCCTCTCCCGGGGAGACCCACGTGACCAGTTTTGGCAGTGAGCAAGTACAAGTGTGTGTGTGTGTGTTGCCAGAGCATTTCGGAATTTGGGGCTAGTTTCTGCTCCACAATCCAGTTTGTCGTTACTATTATAGCTTTCATGGCTGAGGTTGTTGGTATGTCTATTGGCTCTGGGTTCCCAATACCCAGTTGCCGAGGCTGGTTGGTAAACTAACTACAATTTCACTTCAATGTACTGAGCTCCAAGGCACGCCTTATTTATTAAGGCCACCGTCACCACTGCCCAAGGCCCAGTCTGGCAAGGAGCGCCGCAGAGTACGTCACAGCCAGGAATTTGTATTCTGCTTCTCCAGCCTTCGTTGCACAATACTGACTATACAGTACTATCAATTGCGTGATCAAAAAACAAGCAAAAAATAATTTCCCAAGACACGCTATGCGCAGACAAACCGCAGAGACGGGGCACGCCTGGCTTTCAATAGGGATTTGAGGCTTTATGAGCATGCAAATCATTGTAAGTTATGTACATATACACGTACACTCTCCGCCATCACAGTTATCGTTATCAGTTTTGATCATCCACACAGCGCTGTGTATGTACTGACTTTGACTCAACCTCGGCCGTGAGTTGCCCAGCCCGGAACCAACCCGAACCTGCGACAGCCGGGCAAATGCTGCTGCCTTCCTGGATAGCGATAGCGGCACTGTACTGAGCAGCATGTCCGGACCGGCAGTGGTTAGCTTCCGATGCGATGTACTGCACGGGTGCATTCAGATTCCGAGCCAAAACAGCTGGTTCACCGCGGTGATTGCAGATGACCACCAACTAAACACCCGTGGGTGCTGCATGGCACGATACGCATCGGCGTCTGGTTGGAATGAGCGGCATTAGCGAGAACGCTGTCGGCGCTGTAAGTTTGACCAGCGACCAACACACGCTTGCAAACTTGGTAACTTGTCCTTGTTTTTGGCCGGCATCTGATCGGAGTCCTGACTGCGCAGCACAGCCGCACTGAAGCCAAGCCTGGCGGAAAACAAGGGATCCGAATCCTTTTCGCATTCCGACTTGCACAGGCTCTCAACCAGGCCGTTCAGCTCCAGTACATCCTTGGCCGAGAACGTAAATCCTAGCAGTAGGTGGAGTATGTCGATGGCAACAGCACGCATGGCTTTGTCCTTGGTTTTCTCTGCGATCGCCCAGATGACTTCGGCGGTGGTCAAATGCTGCGATGCACGGCGAAGGGTGCGACTGCGGCCCGGTTTCATCTCCGGGTAGAGGACGCATTCAACACGACACATAAGCATCTTGTAGTCCCTACGCTGCGAGCACGATAGCAGGAGTTCTTTGAGTGCACACAAGCACTCGGAGTGATTGGTCTGTGTACCACCGCCAGATTTTAGTGGAATCGGCTTCCAGATAGCTGCGCCGACCGTCTCAGTGCACTGCGGATGCGACACGAACACCTCCAGCCACTGGCCCCGCGAGCACACGTCGACCAGGATGGGCAGCACGCGGGGAAATGCAGCTCCACGCCGGAGATACTCCAACAGCGTGTCCAGATAGCCCGGGTGCTGGCAATGAAAGAACAGCGCGTCCGACAACTCCACCCCTCGGCACATCATCCCAAACGCCGCTAGAATGTCCAGCACAATGCCTTGCCAGTCGTCGGCACCCCGCAATGTGGGGTCCAGGTACTTTTCAAGCTTGCTGACAATTCTGTTCTTCATCAGGCTGCGGAAAGTCAATGCCGACGCAGACAGGAGACGAGCAACCAGCCTTATGACTGCCTTCCAGCTTGGCGGCGCGCTGAGGGTCTCTATACGTATCTCGGCGTAGAGCTTCTGGCACAGGATACCCTCAACATGGGTTGACAGCAATGCCGGTGACGAGAGGCACGCGTCCGTCAGTACGTTCAGCGCACACAGCCTAGTGACGTGCTCGCCGTCAGCCACAAAACGCCGAAACACGTTCAGCGTGTCGCCGATGAAGAGCGACCTCGCCGCCACCGCTGGGTACCGCCTTGCCGTCTCCGTCAGGAACCACGTGGCCGCTTCGGCGCAGACGTAGACGGGATGGCGGATGTGCAGCGCCACCAGCGCACCCACCTGCTCGCAAGCCGCTCTGCAGCCCGCCTTGCTAGCCAGCGTGCTGTTCACCAGCTGCAGGCAGACATGCAGCACGGACGAGAGAGGGTGATTGCCACCCAGCACCTGTCTGAAGCCGTTCGTCACGCTGTACTTCTCAAAGGTCCAATATGGTGCCAGCTTCAACGCGTTGTTGCACCATTGCTTCTGACAGACTGGGTCCTTAGTCGTCGAGAACGTGTCGAAGTACTGGCTCACGCTAAGCAGCTTCGACAGCAGCTCGAGCTTATGTTCAGTGCCTTCCTGGTGGGTGTCGCTCACAAACTTGTTTATCAGATTCATGATGTGTACTGTGTCCGGTTCCATTCGGCACGCGGCCTCATAAACCTCATAAAGACTGGCCAAAAACTCGTCTTGAGTGTTGGATTCGGCCACTGGTTCCGGTGGTATGCCGGCAGGTCGGTCGCTTTCAGCCATCTTCAAGTTTAGCCGTCACAAATAAGTACTTCGCCCTTGCCGTCACGTCGAGCCTTTCGCCGAGCTTTTCTAGGATAGGTGCCTGTAGGCTGTCAGACACCGCCTGCAGTCCTGTCCGCTCAAACGGCATGCAAGCGGGGCACTTTTGGGTAGCTAGCTGGTGTCGGATTCTTCGAGGCGAGCGAGACCTTCACTCCGGCATGCAGCAGCGCAGTGCGGCTGAGTTGTTGCTGATCTAACCACACCAAGCCCAGTGAACAGGTGAACCAACAGGGCCGTAAACCCCTGCAGCGTCTGCTCGTACCGATGCTCTAGACTAGTTGTCGGAATCCGTCCGGTCCTGCGGCCTAGCGGCACGTCATGTCCCCCGCAACGCCCGATTTAGCATGCACTTGCGCAATGCATGTGCGTCGTCATCGTGTCGACGTTTTGTGGCGTGAGGAGGCGTTGGCGGAGTGCTCCGGAAAGAAAGTAGTTGAGCTCGAGAGGTAGATCTACCCACTGTGCCATGTGGCGATGTCTAGTCTTTGTCACCACCACACGAGCGTATGCACGGAGGAAGGAAATCAGAATTTATAATATTTATGAGCAAGGAAGCGAAAACTGGGAAGAAGTAGTTCAAGTAGCATGGTATGTAGCTAGGTCGACAGTAGACCTACGAACTACTAGTAGTAGTAGTAGTAGTAGTAGTACAAAGTAGTAGTAGTAAGTGCTACATCAGGATTCAGGGAGTCATCATTATTATCAACGACGATCCCTAGGCTAGGCCCTGGCCGGCCTGGGCTTGGGCTACTACATGACTGTGTACATGGCCATATGCATAATGGCCAGCTGCAGGCTAGGCATGCGTCCGACCACGCGCACTCATACTCCATCACCATGGTCACGTCACTTCGAAGCATGCATGCATGCGCGATATATATGCAGCTACGCGAGCTCGCAGCTCCTGCACTGGAACAATCGGGGATTTTCCCTTCGCAGTTCAAAAAGTCTTTGTCGCAGAACAAAAATCATCCAAATCTCATGTATTGTTGCAGCTGCAGAATATTTTTAGATACAGCGACGTTACCTGTTGAAGTGCCGTGCAGGTATGAGCTCGGTTGCTGGGAGGTTTTCTGGTTCTCGATCGGGTCCTCGAGTCCAACTGTTGTGTGATTACAGGCCAGGAAACTTACTGAGAGGTAAGGACTGTGGAGAGATGGATCGTTGCCATACAGTACTGCCATGAGGTCCAGTGGCTTGCCATGTTAGATTAAAGGGGAAGTTAAGGCAAAAATTAAAATTTCACCAGTTGTAGTCTTCGGGGTGCTGAGTCGAATGGTCGTGGTCCGAGGAAGCTGAGACGCTCCCTTCCTACTTGAATCCCAATCGAACTCGCGCACTTCCACCGAAACTGGGTGACGGCGCCCTACTAGATGGGGATTTGTATGCAAAATGTCACTAAAAGCGCCATTTCGTTCTTATAAAAGCACGGATGACCGCGATTGGCCCATATGTTGTAGTCTTTTGGACGCTGAGTCGACTGGTTTTGGTCCGAAAAGGCTGCGATGCAGCGTTCCTCCTTTATTCCCAATCGAACATGGTTGAAGAAGCGGTCACGTGCTCCTGCGTACACCAGTCACCTGATCACCGTGCCTGCAGGGTACAACTTACTAGCCTGTTTGACCTTTTTTGGGTGCAGTCCTGTCACTCGAGTTGAACCTTGGTGTGAAAGTTGTCGCCTGCTGGCGTGGTGACCAGGTGATTTGGGAACCTAGGAGCACGTGACCACTTGTTCAACCATGTTCGATTGGGAATAAAGGAGGAACGCTGCATCGCAGCCTTTTCGGACCAAAACCAGTCGACTCAGCGTCCAAAAGACTACAACATATGGGCCAATCGCGGTCATCCGTGCTTTTATAAGAACGAAATGGCGCTTTTAGTGACATTTTGCATACAAATCCCCATCTAGTAGGGCGCAGTCACCCAGTTTCGGTGGAAGTGCGCGAGTTCGATTGGGATTCAAGTAGGAAGGGAGCGTCTCAGCTTTCTCGGACCAAGACCATTCGACTCAGCACCCCGAAGACTACAACTGGTGAAATTTTAATTTTTGCCTTAACTTCCCCTTTAACTACATGCACTGCACTGGCATTATTCATAATCAATGCGCTGACGCACTGTGCTGCCTGGGAATAGCATCACTGAATCTGTAATGTAAGCATCCTGAGCTCTCTGAACCTGCCCGATCTACGCAGTAAAACTCCCTGCACACACTGATAGCTTTTCACTACACTGATGATGTTGTTGGTTTGACAGCATGGAACAAGGTGGAGGACACACCGTGTTCGGAAACAGTGACCTTTCTACAAGCGTTCACAACATGTATTAGTATTGCCATGAGTACACAACCCGAAGAGTGTGCAGCTCTGATGTCAGAGCCCTGCGCCGCACGCTCCCTTCATTACGTAGTGAAATGACGATCAAGCTGGCTGGATTTGCTGGATTTGAGTTTCCCACTGTTCAGGACAGGGTCACACATAATTTTTTGACGTTCAAAAGAAATGCCTGTGCACACGGCACCACGCACAAAACTATCCGAAATCTCAGAGAAATACGTACTTGGAAGCTGGAAACCTGCAGCAGATCAATAACGGCACAATGCCCCAGCCGATTCTCCAGTTCGTGGCTACGTAAGGTGGGCAGCTTGCCGAGCAAGAGCCCGTGTGCAGAGTTGCATACTCCTGGGATTACACACACTTGACGTTGAGAGGAATCGAAAGCGTTAATTCCTGCTGTACCTCTGGGTTTCGCTTTTGATTCCTCTGAAGTGTGTGTACTAGGCTCTGTACCTTGGAGTATTGAGCACTGTCACGAGCAACCACAACTCTCTCCGAGTGTACTCCTGGGAGTATGTACTCTTGGTATTCACAGGAGGGTGCAGGCGCGTGCGTCGGTGCCCTTCAAAGGGGGGAGGGGGTTCCGGGGCCTCCCCGGGGAAATTTTCAAAAAATGAAACAAAATCCTGCATTTTGAGCGAGAGAGGGGGGGGGGGGGGTTCCGGGCACCCAGGATTCCATACGGGGCACGCGTCTGGGTGTACCCAGTGTGCTGACAGTGCTCAACACCGCGGAGGCAGAGCGTAACACAGAGCAGAACAACAAGGACAATCAAGGCTGGTTTGCTGCTACTTCAAGTTTTGATTGCGAGAGCATGAAACTTGAAGTAGCAGCAAACAAGCCTTGATTGTCCTTTTTGTTCTGTACTGTTGGTATTCCTATGATCTCATACTTCCTATTCCACATATTGCTGCACTATGTTTCGGTTTGTTAAAACACTTGGAAAAAAACTAGGAAAAAACGTGGCAAGTATTACGCAAACCACCGTTCAAGAAAACGGAGCTTGAGAAACTGCTTCAAACATCCGAACAGTTCACTTTCCTATCTATTTGAACTGCTTTTCTATCTGCGCACCATGATGTTTTGTCTTGTCGCCACGGTGCAGCTCAAGGATTGATTATGCATACATATTTGGTAATGCATGCTAAGTGGATGCTGATATTACTGTCTCTACACATGCAAAGAAGGGAAAAGAATGCTGCCTTGCTGACAACTGTTTCGTTGCCTCTCTATGCACACAGATTATATATGATATGACTGTCCTTCATGTAGTTTTCTGCTCTCTCTCTCTCTGTCCCTCTCTCTCTCTTTCTCTCTCTCTCTCTCTCTCTCTCTCTCTCTCTCTCTCTCTCTCTCTCTCTCTCTCTCTCTCTCTCTCTCTCTCTCTCTCTCTCTCTCTCTTCTCTCTCTCTCTCTCTCCCCCCCCCTCTCTCCCCCCCCCCTCTCTCTCTCTCTCTCTCTCTCTCTCTCTCTCTCTCTCTCTCTCTCTCTCTCTCTCTCTCTCTCCCCCCTCTCTCCCCCCCTCTCTCTCTCTCTCTCTCTCTCTCTCTCTCTCTCTCTCTCTCTCTCTCTCTCTCTCTCTCTCTCTCTCTCTCTCTCTCTCTCTCTCTCTCTCTCTCCCCCCCTCTCTCCGCCCCTCTCTCTCTCTCTCTCTCTCTCTCTCTCTCTCTCTCTCTCTCTCTCTCTCTCTCTCTCTCTCTCTCTCCCTTTCTCCTTTGTCCCTGTTTGCAGTGTAACTGCTATAACTATCAATGGGGGACTCTGAGCGCATCGTGCTTACCAGCCTAGCCGGGTACGGTGCTTGGGACCAGCCAGTGCCCGCTGCAAGGCGTGCCGGCGATTCCCGGCACGTCCGGCCACCAGGTGTCAAGCGGGTGCGGTCAGAGGCCGACTGCCCCGATGCAAAGCGCCGGGCATCGCACTACGGTGACGTCGAATCGCGGCAGCATTGCACGGGCAGCCCTACTGCTACCTCCACCGTCACCACGACTGCACGTGATGACACCAGCAGGCACCGCCACGACAACAACAACTCTTTGCACTGGTCATGCAGTACTGGCGAGCGGCCTTGTCGAAGTGTCAACGAGTACGAATGCCTGAATCGCATCGAAGAGGGAACGTACGGTGTCGTATTCCGGGGACGAGAGCGAGCTACTGGTAAGTACGTACCATCAGTCAGTTTAAAATCACCGGCCCACTGGTACTAAGGTACTCTAAAACCTGGAAATTTCGGATTTTGTCGCTTTCGTTGACTGTATAAGATCTGGTTATGTTGGTGGACAGTTAGTCATAACTCGTAACATTTTGTCCTTCTCCTTCTTTTATCATAATTTTCGGTGGTGTAATATTTTCGGTATTTCCCCAGATCAACGGTTCGGTAGCGCGAAATTTTCGGCAAAACAGTTTTCCAGATCCAAAAATGCCCTTTGCACAACGTGTAGCATGGCATGGTTGAATTTAGGTCGCATTTTATTTTATGTAAAATTACCTGTACCAAAGTTGCCGAAGAAAAATCTGCACCGAAATTTTCTGGTTGTACAGTACATGTTCTGTCAGATATTTTTTAGGGGCCTTACCTCAATCACCAAACTGTATTCCCCGAATATAAGTCGCACCTTTTTACACTAAAATTCAAGGGTAAAAAGGGGGATGCGACTTACAATCAAGCATGACTTACTATGTAGTGACGTGAATGTATCCAAACTGGCTCAAACCTGAAAACGGGATTGCGACTTACAATCAAGTGCGACTTATAATCGGGGAAATACAGTAGTAGGGCTTAAAAGTGATGATGTCAAAGGTAAGAAAAATATCAAGAATATAGCGACTTGTTTTAGCTTCGAGTTTCACCGTAAATGGTTATCGTCTGACAACAAAGATTGCCGGCGTGTGTGTGTTTTGGTCAGGTGCCATTGTTGCACTAAAGAGGATCAAAGTGGAGCAGGAACGCAACGGCTTTCCCAGCACCGCCCTGCGTGAAGTGAGCATTCTGCTGGGACTACGACATGCTAACATTGTGCAGGTCAAGGTAAGTAGCTTTTTGGAGTTAATTATTAGAAGTTGGTAACGGCATGCATCAGTTGCGAGGCGAGATGCTAATTTGTAGTGTGGAAAGCATGTACCGGTACATGTCGTAATGTATTTTCCAGTGTGTAAGCCACAGCAGAGTTTAGGCTGCACGCCGCCCCCACCCCTTTTTCGGGCCCAAATGTCATATTTTTGTTGACATTCGGAGTATAAGCTGCACATCTGATTTTGAATTTTTGGGTCCCCGTACATACTAGACATTACAAATGGTTTAAAAAACAGTTTAAAAGAAGCACGACTGAAGTCACATATTGTAGTCCAGCAACAATTTTTCGGTTTTCCTTCACTCTGAACTGACATGTATAAGCTTTATGCTAGTGCAATGATGGATTGCGCTACATGAAAAGCTATCGAATGACACCATATATACGATATATGCATGGAGTGCGACAGTGCTGATTCATTCGCATCCAGCCTTCGAGGTCCACAGGGGCGATTTCAGGTTTTTTCTGCATTTTAAAGTGCAACTAACACCCATAAAATACAGTTAGCAATGGTCTGGAGCCCTGACTCCCACCACAAGATCTGAATGTCTTACATGTCTATTTCCATTCTCTTTCATTGTCTTGTTGCTGCTACTGTTTCTACTGCTGCTGCTGCTGCTGCTGCTGCTATTGTTGCTGCTGTTGCTGCTGTTGTTGCTGCTGTTGCTGCTGTTGTTACTGCTGCTGCTACTGCTGTTGCTGCTGCTGCTGCTATTGTTGCTGATTTTGCTGCTACTGCTTTTGGTGCTACTGCTGCTACTGCTGAGCAGGAGGTCGTGGTGAGTGCTGATCCGGTGAAGGTCTTTCTGGTGATGGAGTATGTGGAGCATGACCTGAAGACTCTGAGCAACTCAATGCGAGATGGCTTCCTCATGGGTGAGCACTGAGCAACGACAGTCATCGTTTATCCTTGTAACAGTCTTTTGGTGGTGGAGATCGGTGTCTTCACGGTTTTTGACGTCTTAGTGAGATGAGTCAGTCAAGTGAGAATTCAAGTCGGCAGGAAAACCGTGAGCTCCCATGTAGGGAGCAACATATTCTTCCCCTTCAAATAGAAAGTATATGAATCCTGAAACCAACAAAGGTGGCAGGTACAACATAGTCATTACGCATTCAAGTATCCGAGCCTGTTGGCCACAGTCCCAACACTATCTGGCATAAATGTATCCACCAACCGTTCACTCTCCTCGAAACAAGCACAGTGATGTACTGGTATGCTTGATTCAATTCACCCATGGCTGATAGATGCATGTTTATTGTTTGCACGGTACAACAGTGGAGCAAGGCTAGCTTGGTGCAACTCCTCTCAGTTTCGTGCTCAGTGCATCTCTCGGGTGCAGCAACGGGCGCGGCGCCGAGGCAAACGTGAGCACGAAACTCAGAGACCTAGTGCGGCGTACGGTTTAGCGGGGCTGCTATGCATCCAAGGTCTAATGACTTGGATGACTTAGCATGAGCAGGGTACCGACAAAACATGTACACGTACATGTAGTGTATATTGTGTGCACATTATGCTGGTGTACACTTCCGCTCATTCTTGACCCTTCTCCTCGTAGATTTTCCGTTGCTTGAAACCTGGTTTACCATACCGTTGCTTTTGTTTTCCTTGCGCAGGCGAGATCAAGACATTGATGCTGCAGTTGCTCAGTGCAGTGGCGTATCTGCACGACAACTGGGTCATGCATCGCGATCTGAAGCCCTCCAATCTGCTACTCAGTCACAAGGGCGTGCTCAAGGTGAGCTACCGAGGGTGTTGTCATTCAGAATACCGTTACCCCACCCCACCTGTGGTGATCGTTCCTCTATTGATACTTGGACAACCTTTGCCGGGGGTGTGAGGTGTCATCAGTGAACGGTGCACAGTCGTCCCTCTCTAATCCGGCACCCTTTGCAACAGCGTTTTCTGCTGGATAAACCAGGGTGCTGGATTATCAAATCCTGCCCTCCAACCCGGCCCACATGTTAACATACATGTTTGTGTCGTGCGTCAAAACATAGGGATTTTCTGTGTCAATCCAAGTACTTTGTGGAATGCATGTCTTTTTAGGAATATCCTATGTACTGGCTTAGGATACTCTCAAGTGTATGTTACATGTGTTGGGTATGTTACAATGGTCCCTGACAGTATGCGATGTACAACTGCTGGATTAGAAAATCAAATTATGTACAGTTTGAGTGATTTGTTGCAGAAAATCGCTGCTGGAGGCGGAATTCAAGTGCCGGATTAAAGCGTAGAAAATGAACTGAAAAAATCCGTTTTGCCAGAAAGTGTGCTGGTTTGCAAGGGTGCTGGATAAACAAGTGCCGGATTAGAGAGGGACGACTGTATTCCTATTTGCTTCACGCAGGTCGGGGACTTTGGCTTGGCCAGGGAGTACTGCAACCCACCCAAAGCCTACACGCCTGTTGTCTGCACCCTGTGGTATCGTGCGCCGGAGGTCCTGCTTGGTGATGAGGTCAGTTGAATCTGTGTTGTGTGTTTCTGTGGAACTTGGACTTGCACCAAGATCACCAATGTGTGAAAGACTACCCTACCACTCCCTTCTGCGGGGTTCTCTCTGATTTCTTGTGTGTGCGTATGTGTGTGTGTGTGTGTGTGTGTGTGTGTGTGTGTGTGTGTGTGTGTGTGTGTGTGTGTGTGTGTGTGTGTGTGTGTGTGTGTGAATTCATCAGCCTTGCAAGCTGTTGAATGGTGTAATCCCAGCACAAGTTGCTATGTCTAACATAGCTGTTCGCTATCATCGCTTCCGCGATGGGCATGTCTGAGGTGTGTGTGTGTGTGTGTGTGTGCGTGTGTGCGTATGTGCGTGTGTGCGTGTGCATGCACGTGTGCGCGTGTGTGTATGCGTGCACGCACGCATGTGTGGTGCGTTGCAGATGTACACAACAGCAATTGACGTGTGGTCAGTCGGCAGCATATTTGCCGAGCTGGTGCAGAAGCGCCCGCTTTTCGAAGGCTCGTCGCAAATAACGCAGATCCAGCAAATATTCAAGGTGAGCCTGTGTTAACTACAATCGTGGCCAATGTAATGTTAGTGAGTATAATACATATCAGCCAAAGAAATCCGACCCACGGGTCATATAATTAGGGGTCAAACGGGTGTACCTTTAACTAACGAACGGGTAATTTTCTTACCGGGCGGGTTAACGGGTACCCTTTAGCAGCCATGTTTAATTTTTACGCATTTTTACATACATGTAAATCATTATTTTAATTCATCTGGTCTCATGTTGCATTTTGATATCACATTGTGATTCGCAAATTGATTTGTGTCTGATAGTTGCAGAGGTAGACCTACTACTGTACGTGCGAAAATGCAACAACAATGCAGACATCCAGGGTAGAGTTGTAAATAATTGACTCCCGCCGGGAATGCGCGATCCCAGCGGTGTTGTTCCGTGCTGACTGGATCATCGAAATCCAAACGAGTACCCTTTTACTAACGGTACCAGAGATTAACGGGCGGGTACCCGGGTACCCGGAACACCCCTTTGACCCCTACATATAATTATAGCTCACGGGTCGGACTTCTTTGGCCACGGCTATATTTAAAATCACATCAAGTCCAAAGATGTGTTACACCTACTAACTTCTGCATGCCCATGTGGTGTGTCCCGCTTTCCCTCTCAAACAATTTCCAATCCTCTGCTTGAGAATTCTCTGCCTGTCCATGTAGCCTTGTAGGGCTAGTCATTCCACAAGCGCTCACACAACCTTCGGTGTCAGCGAAGCCATGTCACTCACGCTTCCTTCACAGTTAACTGAACACCTAGTAAAGGAAGAATAAATAATAATTTGATAACCGCAATCAATAAAATTAGCTGAACCGACATTTTTTTTGCTAATTTTATTGATTGCGGTTATAAAATTATTGTCTCCTCGCCGTTTGTTTAAATAAATATTAATAACACATGTGAACGGTTGGAACCCTCCGTGTGGGAACCGAGCATACCCGTATCCATGTACAATGACTATGTAGTCATAGTTCCTGCAAGGGAGTGGTAAAATAGCGGCATTTTAATACTCTCTTGTTTCTGTTTCCCACAGTTATTTGGGAACTCGTGGCCTTGGGGCGAGGGTAGCGTGTATGCAATAAATGGGATTTTCGGTCTTTGACCACTTTGTGGTGGGTCTGGTCTACTCCCCTTCCACCCCTTTAGGAGCTGCATCTGTGCCTTGATCCTCGATGGTGGCATGGTGGCATGGTGGCGGCGTTCCTACGGATGCGGAGAACTAGGTATAACCAAGTCTCATGCGAACTGTTCAATTTTTTTGTTCCTGCCTGTGTGCTCGTTGACTGATTCGCCTTCGTATTGTTTTTCTGTGTGCCACTACATCTGTAGTTGCTGGGAACGCCGAGCGAAAAGATCTGGCCAGGTTGGAGCAACCTACGAATTGTGAAGACCGTAAGTCCTCAATTCGAACTGAAATGTCACACTGATACGGTCAACCTTACGAATAACGACCCTCAGTCATGCATGAGAAAAATGCTTCAGGGGAAATGGGTCTTGTGCCGTGATGTCTGCGCTCCACAGAGGCAGAGTCCAGTGTTTGAACCATGGAGTAGTAAAAACACCACTCCCTGAGTAGTAAAAACACCACTCCCTGAGTAGTAAAAACACCACTCCCTGAGTAGTACAATACTACAGTACTGTCGGACGCCGAAGAACTGGGGGGGGGGGGGGGGGGGGGGTCAGGGTTCTAGCCTAGCCCGTTCTTATTTTTAGCGAACACAGCGGTTTCGTTCTTATTCGATGGTACAATTTTACATGTACATTTATGCAGAGTTGTACGTCCGAGTGTGCATTATAGTGTACATGACGGTTTCCGTTCTTATCTGCAAAACATCCAGCCTAGACCGTTCTTAAAAATTGATGAAATTCTGGCCTGGCCGTTCTTCGGCGCCCGACAGTACTGTACTCTCTAGTTGAACAGTGCTCAGCATGACCTCTGTATAATGCATACATTCCCACCATGTAGTAGTAAGCAACCAAACATTTTCATAGGGTTTGCGAGCAGCTTCCACTCATGGCGAGTGAATGTGTCTATAGAGCTCTTGTCCATGGGCTGTTATTATCATCTCAATGCTTATGCAGGGGCGTTGGAAGGTAATTTAGTGTGGTACTGTCTGCCATCTGAAGTACAATTTACTTGTGGGGGAGGGGTGGCTGAGCCGAAAATTTTCAAAATTCAGAGCCCAGATCTGTGCATTTCATTGATTCACAGGGCACCGGGGGGCAAAGAGTGGTAACGGTCAATACCGTAGTGACCGTACCGTGTGCGCCGCCCCTGTTATGGTAGCCCTGAGTTAGTGGCATTGAATCTCGCTTTCTTAAAACTTTTGACCGTTGTTGACATGCACTCAAGTACTGTACTACACTGCAGTATTGTTTGCTTTTCAAAATTGTGTTTTTTTTTCAAGAACAATTTGGCTAGCCTTGACTTTGTTCGGCATATACTATATTAGTATGCAATTATACTTGGTCCTGCTTGTCAAGTATGTCAAGTAGTGCTACCAGTACATGCAAACCTCACAAGCGAATAGTATGTACCACAAACATGTGGACATGCCACGACCCTATCACCTTGTTAGCCACTCTTCTTGCCACCCTCTCACCGTCGTCATCGTTGGTTGAGAGTATAGCTGTACAGTTAGGCGAGAAGGCAGAACTGCCCATGTGTCTGGTGGGGTAGAGTCAAATCAAACAAAACGCCGAGTAAGTGAGTGACGATGGCTGTCAGGTAGTGTATTTGCCGTATTTTCGGCAATACATGTACTGGCCGAGGCGCTTAGTAGTTCGCGAGCCCTAAAACTTCACCCAATTTGAACAAGATCCACACAAAAGCCCCTGAAATGACGTGGCACTGATTTCAGGCAGGCGGTAATAAAAGACCGGCGCTACTTTCCAAAAACACAGTGTCGTGTGTAACCCGTTCCTACTGTACTGACGTGCATGTCAGCCAAGAATCTCTGTGTCGTTTTGCCTCTCACACTCCTGCTTTTCCCCAGGTGACGTTTGCCGTTGAGCCGTACAATCGTCTGACCTCGAAGGCATCGCTTGCCAAGCTCTCGCAGAGCGGTTTTAAGTTGCTCAACCAGTGAGAATTCTGCCATTGACTGTGATAGTGTATTGGCTGTCAAGGGCGTAGCTCGTAAATCTGTGCTGTGGTGACCAAGTACTGGCACACCGTCTGTTTTTGTTTTTTGTTTTGTTTATATTTTACAAAATACACCATTTTACGGCACAAAGCAGCAAGGCAGCAATGAGACAAGTCGTATGGAATGGCAGGAGCGGGGGAGAGGCAGGGGCAGCTTTGTCGACTGTGTAAACTTAGTTATGTACATGTAGCACCTATGACGGCGGCCGTTTGTTGGTGCGGTGAGCGGACAATGCTGACTACACACAGGCTACGCACCTGGGCCTGGCTGTGTTCTGTGTCTTGCTTGGTGCTTTGGACGTGAACTTGCCCGCAGTCTGGCATCTCCAGCAATGAGTAGTGGAGTCCGCGTTGGTGTGCTTTCTTTGCCTTGTTTCCAGCTTGCTGACGTATGATCCACGCAAGCGCGCCACTGCCAAGGAGGCACTCAGCTCCGAGTTCTTTGAGGTGAGACTGGGCGCGCGCGTGCATGCGTGGGAAGCCACTCTATGGGCACAGGATGGGCGTGTGCTCGTGTTGGGCTCAACTTGGTAGCACTGTTTTGTGCCAGCTCTTGAATGCTGGAGAAAGCTTTCATTTCCTTGTTTGACTTCTCTGCACCTGTCTCTTCACCTGTTCACCCATCCAACGCTGGATGTTTGTCAAGGTTTGTTTCTATCCCCTCCTGCTCATGTACAGGAATCGCCTCTTCCTGTCGACTCGTCGCTGTTCCCGACTTGGCCAGCCAAGTCAGAGCTGGCCAAGGGCGTGTATCGCTCGGGGAGCCCCGGCAGATCGCAAGGTCGCAACCAGTCTATGCCACAAGCGGCTGGTTCTACGGTAAGTTAGTGTTGTACGGGGCCACTCACCAGCACCTATGCATGTACTACTACAATCTACCTAGTTGGTCCGTGTGGTACTGCGTCAAATGATCTAGTTCGGACAAACGATGCAAGGCAGCCTCCCCGGACCAAGATCATTCGACCCGGCACCCTAAACTCTACAGGCTGACGGTTTTTTTTTAAATCTGTGTGTGGGTCCCCTTTATGGTTCCTCTTTCTGTCCTTTAATAGTCTCTAAACTCTGGTGTTCTGTATCCTCTTGCAGGATTCTCGCTTTAGATTCAAGTAACAGCATCAGCTGGATGATGGTGTGCAGTCATATGGATATGTTACCACCCAAGATCACTACAGGCTTTGCTCCACCTTCATACTCCGTATCCGCCCGCCATCTGGAATTCATCCTACGCTGGCCTATGACATCAGTGCCGTGCAAACGCTCAATGGCGAGAACTAATTTGCCACCGGAGATGACATCGTGCCGAGCGTGTGGAGTTGCCATGGCAAGACCTGGGCATGTTTAGACCATGGCTTAACATGGCCTGCAACATGATGGGCCATCTAGCGTGTATCTGCGATGTGTTCGGTTTGGAATGTACCAGTGGTCATGGGCATGCCTCGTATTGTTCCAAAGTACAATTGTACTGATATGATAAAGTTCCAAGTGCTGATATGTCCTCGCGCACCTGAAAGGCTCTCCACGTCCACACCGACTTTTCGTGAAAGCCCCGGCACGCTGCTGCTGACACTGCTGAACAGAATACATGCAGACCTGTGTGCACCCCTGTGCTATGCCTGCAACAGGGACATTCCATTGAGGTAGCTGTGTTGGCCGTCCATGCCATAATACCATCCCAACAGTGAGTGCTTCCTACTCGTACGGTGTCAGGCGTCGCTGCAAGTCCAGTGCGTGTTGTTGGTATGCCCAGCGTGCTCTGCTCGTCCTCAGGTTACAGTATTAGTTGGCGACACATGCACAGTTGGTAGCGATGAGCTTGTCCAGCTGCATGCTTCCACCAGCTTCGGTCGGTGCGTGACGTGCCCAAGACGGTATATCTACAGTCACATCCAGTAACAGTGTTTGTGCACGTGTGAAGATGCTGCAGGGCATCCGTACGTTGTGCAGGTGCTGCAGTGCATCCGTACGTTGTGCAGGGGCACTTGTGTATACTATCACTCAGTCATGCACTCTGCTGGCACCGGAAAACCTGTACTGCCCCCAGTCACTGGTATCCTACGACTGCCCCTGCTTAGTCCAGTGAGTGCAGGGCAATTGTGTGGAGTAAGCCGTGCACACTGCTGGCATATGGATTGAAAAGAACCTGTGCTGCGCTCAATGATCACATGCAGTCACTGACAACGGCATTCTGCTTTGTCTATCCAGTGCAGATTACCATCAGGAAGCCTACCCCCCCCCCCCCCCTCTTTCTCTCTCCCTTGCAGGAGGTTGTTTTGCTGTACAAGTACTAGGAGTAGCAGAGCTCACTTATAGTGTAGATATACCTGCTTACAAACGCAGCATTGCCTCTAATAGTTTATGCCACTGATATGCTTTTGCCTTCAATTTGGCGCTATTATGAAGTCATCGCCGATGTTGTTCTCGCTCTCTGTGCGTCTATCACTTTGCATTGTCCTCGAGAGTCTGGACAGCGTCACTATGGTTTTGTGTGAACAGTGAAATGCTTGCTTGCCGTATGAAGGTGCACAGTAAGACCTGTCAAATGTGACCACTCTGATAAGGCGTGCGGTGGACACCTGTACCAGTCTTAGCCGTGGGCAGAGGACCACTACTACCAGGACCAAGGGGTGCTTTTGGATTGCACAGGAGCATCTTTCTCACACTGGTCATGGGTCCGTATTAATTTTATTCCTGATCGAGAACAGGGAGTAGTGCAATGCCTACGGTAGTACGACTCCCTGATCGAGAATATGCAGAGCTTAGATTATGTAGAGTATTCTACCGCCCGATGGTATGCGGATCAAGGCTGTGGCTGACTGCAATGTATGCGCAGGAGTTCTATTACTACCCAATGGAGTTACTCACTCTGATCATGGTGATGGGCTATGCACTAGTCTATAGCTCTGGAGATACATGATGGTGATGCTGCCTAACTTGTCATTAATTTTGTGAAAAAAAGAAAGAAAGAATGGGTATCTTCGAAAGTAAAATGCGTTTTCGAGGGTATATTCTGGAGCTGAAAAACTTGAATGGGCACCCTAAAAAAATACCCATGTCAACTGGAGAACGTTGTGCACTTTCAAACAGCCCCTTCTGTCTCTGCCAAGAATCCAACACCCGTGAACTTCTGTTTCTATCATCTGCAGGGTGCTAGTGCTAGTAGTCAACAGGTCCCGGTGCATGGGAAAACACCTGCCCCTACACATGCAGCGGCCCAGCCCGACAACAACACCACCTCGTGACAAGCACCATCAAGATGAGTACATGTACGTACTGGAAGGTCGCAATCGTTGCAATGTCCCTAGTCAGCACCGTCACTGACAAACAAGACGACACGGGCGAATTGATAACAATGTAAAATACCGGTGAGCACATCTGGTGGCCAATACAAAGAATCCCATCTACAACCATAGGAAAACAATACAGCTGTACCACTAACAACCCATAACGAGTCCTACGCAAGAGATTTGAAGAATAAAAAAGAGAATCATGTATACGAAAGTAAGGATGAGATGGACAAAGAATAAATAATCTTGGTGAGCCATTCAGGGGTACAACCACACGCATCCAAAAGTAATGGTAGCGGCTATTCCCCATCCAGTCGCAGCCAGCCATACCGCATTCCGGTGGCGACAATGCACCGGGTAAACTGTATCAAAACTGCAGGCTCGATCAAAACGCAGCATTGAATGAATTGACAAATGTGCGGTGTAAGTTTTGGTGAACGTTTCAGAATTAAAAAATGAATAAGGGACTCGCGGTCCGGTGCAGCGTGGCCACGGCGCTCTCGGTGCATACACAATATCGTGTAGATCATGTAACGGTGGTCAGGTCGAGAGCTCACAGCTGCCGGAGAGCACCGAATTGCTCTCCCTCCTCTTCGTCGCGTTCATGCTGGACTCCTGCTGTGCAAGGCTGTTCACACTCACGGTATCGTCACAGCAGCAGAAGTGTGCCAAACGGGAGAAGTCAGAACTCGTCGATCGAGTGCCCTGTGCCGTTGTTCATGGGCAGCTCTTGCAGGGTGGACTTGACCTCGGTGCTGGTGGGCAGCGCGGTGGCCAGGTCCAGCCGTCGGATGTGATACGACTTCAGGCAGCGCTCCAACACCTCAATGTCGCCAGTGAAAAAGCCCGACGTTGCGTTGTGCAAGAGAACAAGCTGCTTCTGCATGACGGTAATCTGCAAGCGGCGAGAAGCACAAAGACACGTGTACAGTAAAAGTTCAAATCCGTTGATCTCCGAGCTGCAGAGAGTGCTCAATGTCAAAGACAGAGCTCAGAACATAGCAGACTCAGCGGAGGACGTTCAGCTTGGTTGTAAATCTGATGATTGCCCAGCGGCATGAAATCCAGAGTTACAACCAACCTGAACGTCCTCCGCTCAGTCTGCTATGCACAGTAAAAGTTCAACATCCTAAGTACACTTGATGTACCAGGAAAGTTGTGAGCGGCACCATTCGAAGGACTTGAAGTACTCGTAGCCCTTTCATTGAATTATTGGTGTGTGTGTAATGGCTACTAAGGGTAGTCAGATGAGAGCGCACGGAGGAGAAGAGATTGTTACACTTGATGTAATATACTTTTATCTTGGGAATGGAAGTGAAGCACTTTTCTCAGGACTCTGCACATCCTTTCCCGTCACACGACCTTGGATGTACAGTACTTCAGCTAGCAAGCACAGATGTGTGTGTCCCCTTATTAAAGGTATGCCATACTGAAATTCCCCCCGGTGCATACTACTAAATGCGGAATGAAACTTACTGTAACATACAGTACAGAGTACTAGTGCCTTGGAGGTCACGTACTGCCCGATATAAAGAGCTGTATTCGGTTGCTCTGGCATTGGAACTGGAGCAGCCAGAGCAGTGCGACTTTCGCCCTGATATGCACTTGGTTTATCCTCATACGGATAGGTTTATACAAAGTGAAACTTCAGTGTAACATACACGCAGGAGGCATGAAAGCTGCACCCACAAATCCTACCAAATATGTGGGACCTGTCAGGCACATCTTCAGCAAAGGGGTGAAAGGTATATAGGTATATGCCAAAACTGCCTGGCAGCTTTCTATATTCGGCAGGACTTGTCCCTGACAAAGCCCTAATAAGTAATAGACCGCTGGTACGCATTTTCTGGACAATATGTGCACTGGCAAGAGACCCTTAGGCCTTACTGCTCTCTGGAGCTCTAGATCTAAAAAGAGTTGAAAACAGTGCAACATGTGTATTCCTTGTGTGTGCCTAGCCGCCGACCAAGTCATAAAGCTGCAGCGACGGATCGATCGCGCCTTCGATGATTTATGAAATGCGACGGTAACTCAGAATTCAGCTTAAAGCTGCTTTGCCAAATCGGTGCCGACTTGCACACTCTGCTATTGGATGAATTCTTGCTGTGACCTACATATTATCGGCCTGTTTAGGATGCATACAATTGTGCTGTACAATATATCTGTCCATTCATTATGCTGGTAGAGTAGAGTAGAACAGAACAAATTTCGAAAACATGATAGATAAGACCCCGCCGCCCCCCCCCCCCCCCGATATTGAGCCATCCCATATTCATGTACCCGACTCAGTGCCGAGCGATTGATGCCTGGCAGCGCTCGGCACTGACCCAATCCTCATTTCTTAGACTGCCTAGTTAGCTCTCTACACTTCTCTGAAGCGAACAGTCCCACTGTGTCCACACACAGGCGTGGTATTTCGCCAGCCATTTCTGTATGAAAGTGGTTTCGCCTTTTCACCACTCGCTCACCTTGTTCTCATCCAGGAACTTGAGCTTGACGTTCAGCTCGTTGCGCACGACGGTGAAGAGCTCCTTTTGCGTCTCAAACGCCACCAGCGCCGCTTCTAGCTTTGCCTGCTTTGCTGTGTTGGCCGGGTTACCATCACAGAACGTCTGCAGCTGCTCGACGTCGATGCGGAAAGCGTCGTACTGCACGCGCATCGCCTCGTACTCGTGCACCTTTGCGAACGTGTCCTCCATCGTCTTGGAGATCAGCGTGCCGATGCTGCTGACAAAGTGGTCCAGCGACGCTACCAATGCATCTCCTGTTCTGGCCACCGTTCTCTGCACCGTGCCGCCGCGGAGCAGCTCCGCCTGCAGATCGGTTTCCGTCACTCGCACCCCGTACTCGGAGAAAATATCTCCCAGATTGCGCTGCGTCTCCAGGAAGCCTCTCAGCTGCGTTGACAGCTTCTTGGCCAGGTTCATGATCTGCACGTAGTTGCGCTGCGCCTCGCGCAGGCTCTCTATGCGCTCTGTCATCTGGGTATCTACTGTTTTGGTCACTTTGCCAAACCGTTCGTTCATGGACTGACGAGCACATTTGACTTTCGTCATTCCCCAGGTCGCGAAGCTCTGCAAGCGAGCAGCGACTGGCACTGTAGACCTCGCCTGGACTTCTGTGTCGGGCAACGAGAAGTCTGACTTGCCTGTGCCATCGCCGGGTGACTCCACATGTTCAGCTGCTCTCTGTTGTGCTGGACTGGCACGGTCGACTTTGGTCGGGGAGCTGGAAAGGTCCACATCTGACAAGTTTGACTGGTCAAGATGCTGTTGAGTTTCTCCAGGCACTGCGATTTCCGTCTGCTCCGTACCCTCTACGGTAGTGGTATCTGCGGTGGCCGACATAACGTCGTCTGTCACTGCGGGCTTACCACAGAGAACAGCAACTCGGCAAACAAGAAAACGAAAACTCAAACTGCCTCCTTGCGAATGACGTACATAAACAAGCGGCCCAACAAAACCACTGCGTCTGCTGATACACCGTGTGTACGATGGTGTGCGTGTATCACTGTATGGAAGGTCTTCGGCCGTTCCGGGACATGTGCAACACACAACAACCAACACGGCCTTTTCAGTCAGTCTGTGTGTGGATGCAAGACTCAGAGTGGTCCCACTCGTACACAATAAAAAAAAACACCAGCGTGTGCAACTAACTTTTCAGTTTTAGCCTTCTGTAGCAGGTAGAAGTAATAGTTACCGCAAGTGTAGACTGGAGTGATTCCACAGGTCGTCAGGCCCCACACTGTGACAGGCTGTGGGTTGCCAGCTTGGGACCAAAAGATTGCCCGGCTTGAACGAGCGATGTGAACCAACCAATGAAAGTACCGGTACTGACAGTACTACATGTACACGACTATGACTCAGTTGCCTCTGCACCTACTGATCTGAGGTCTTGCTTGAAAGTGAAATCTGAAGTGAAGAGCTGTAGCTCAAATTCACGAAGCTCGAGATGATCAGGAGCCCAAAGCAAAGTTTGCACTTGCAGCTCTCCCCATTAAATCTGCACCGACAGGAAATCGATCAGGCGATGATGCCGGTCTTTCTGCCGTGCTCAGGAGTCAGGTTGAACTGCCACTAAGTGACTTTGCTCTTTGTTCAGTTTAGTGGCCATGACCTGGTGCGTGCCAGCAAAGTCGTTTGTTATGAAGTCAGACAGGACCTGGAGAGATACTGACTCGCAGTCAAAGAGCTGAGAGAGAAAGAGAGAGAGAGAGAGAGAGAGAGAGCTGAAACCCCGTCCCGACGTCCTTTTGGAGGCTGCCATAGTGCGAGCGTTTTGACCATACATGCTATATTTTGCGAATATGGTCCTGGACAGGCCAAGATGCATCGTAGATCTACATAACACTGCTGTAGAATGATTATGTAGAAAAGAGCCAGCCATGTAGATCATCTACTCGTGGCCGGCTGAGCATGGTGAGACGTCACGTCTGACGACTATGGAAATCGTGCGGAAGCTGTAGTGCGCGTTTAACGTTTGACGGTATGCCTAATGGTGAACATTTTGTCGTATTATATTCAGCCAAGTGACATAGATCAGTTCACCCTTGCCACCCGTGACCATGACTGCACCAGGATGATGTAGCTATAATTATAGTCGACTCCACATAACGAACTCGTATAGCGAACCATTGTCCATATCCCTGTTTGAACGTATACAATATTGACCACTGCTGCCACCACCACCATCGCTGCCACCACCTCCACCACTACCAAGTACCACCATCATCAAGTGCTCTGGATGCCTTCTGCCGAAGTTCTGGCAACTTCAATATCAGTTTGGGGCAAAGATAATCGTCAGTCAACGAGTACCGTACTGGCAATATATGTTGCCGCGTAATGCGTAACGCAGGGGGGTGCGGCGTAACGCGCGACCAGGCTAGTGCGACAAATTGTCGTTGAGTTCGTAACGCGCGTCCGGCGGGGTGCGGCGATCTTTTCACTCAAAATGATGCGGCAAAAGCAAAAAAATGATGCGGCAATAGCAAAAAAGTGATGCGGCAATAGCAAAAAAAGGACTGCGGCAATATAGAAACCTGTGTAACGGCTCCTGTGCGATTTTGCATGTAACGCCCTGCGTGCGGCAAACATGTGCCAATGTAACGCTTCATGGCCTCACTGCGGCAACATATATTGCCAGTACGGTAATAAACACAATACAGGAAAATACTCAAAATGCCGTGAGCTTGAGGTGAACATTTTTAAATAGTACAAGTGTCAATGCGAACAATGAGAGGTGAGAAACAAAAGCCACTATAAATCCAAAAAAACTTCACAGGTGTAGCATTTTCACGGTTTCTGCTTTTGATTGATTGGTTCACTTGTGAAAAAAACCCAAAAAAAAAACAGTTGCAATCACAAGCTAAAGTTTTTATAAAGGATACCTAAACCTATGCCAAGGTGTGTGTATTGAATGCGCACCTTGCCTTATTTATTGTGTTGGTTATTTCTGTCTCCACGAAAACTGTACACCATTTTTTTCATATGGCTTTTTTACCTTGAATGGTTCTTCACATCCTGTATCACACTTTGTGAATTCACTCGCTGCAAGAGAGATGACTCACCACCTGTGCACCATCATCATCATCAGCAGCAGCAGCACAACCACATGATTGCACAACACAGGCAAAAAAGACTAGGGAGCAGTAGAATTGCTTGGATGGAGAGCCAAGGACTAAAAATAAAAAATAGACGACCATAAAAGTTTACAATATTCACTGGTTTGAGGGAAAGACGCGAACGAGAAAAGTCTGAAGAAAAATTGACTGTCACCACCAGGACTCGAATCAGGGACCCGTCACCCTTGCATACTGTAAGTTTACAAGTTATCCATTTTTGTCCAACGCTATTACAAGCAGGATACTGGTGAGTCAGAAAGCACAACACTGACTGATGTGATACTGACATTCAACGACCTGATGCTTGGCCGCGTCACGTCGGGAATGCGCAAACCAACAGCTTTCCAACTGTCGGTAGTTACTTGGAAAGTTCTAAGTTACGAAATAAGATAAGAAAGGGGAAGTTCCATTCTTCATGTAGTATAGTACGAAGAGATAGTGCCGTCCAGTCGGTCTTGCTTCGTGATCGCGTAACTTCCCCTCTTTTGGTTATCCCTGATAACATGAGCCTCCCAAGTTGGGTGCCACGGGTCGTTGTTTCGCGCTGTCGAAGTGAACCGTGGCCATTCTGCGCCGTGGTCCGTCGTCTTCATCATCCTCATCTTGTCATAATGATAGCTAACATTCTTAGCCTGAGTTTCTTAGTTCGTTTGTCTTCGTCTGGAGTGCGCTAACCTTCCGCTTTCTTATTTCATGACTTAAGAACCTTCCAAGTTGGAAGGTTGTTGGTTTGCTGGTTGCCAGTTAGTTGTAGAACGTCAGTACTATTGATTGGTCAGTGTCGTGCAATGTCATCGCGTGAGCTAATTCAGCGTCCAGTAACTGGTGGTGTTAGTGGACAGTATAGGGTATCTTGTAGTTTCTTGCTCCTTTTTCCTACAAGTACTTGATTAATTAACCATCATCGTCATGGACCGCTTCGAACAGCGCCACATCTACAGAGACATCTCGCCGCCATTGCCAGTGTTCGTTCGCTACGTAGACAACCCGGGAACTGCTGTTGACACTCCAGCGGAAGCACAGTCTCTACTGACCAAACTGAACGGAAAACACCCGACAATCAAATTTGAACTGGAGTTACCGGACGAAGATGGTTTCTTACCAATCCTTGATATCAGACTGAAAATTCTTCCCGACGGCAAAGTCACGCACAAGCTCTACGTAAAAGAAGCAAACAAAGGAATTACACTACACGCAGATTCCCACCATCCAACGGCGGTTAAGATGGCGGTCATTAACAATGAATACAAACGGGTACCAGACAACAGCACGCCTGAGTTTGCGGAGGCAGCCAGATGCCTCATCTCAGACAAACTTGCAGGCAACGGCTATTCAGCAGAACACATCACCAAAGCGCGAGCCCGAAGAAGAAACAGCAGTAAACAAACACGACCCTCGGCCGCCAACCATCCAAGAACTTACAAAGAAAAAAAGGAGAATCGGAGAAATGCGCGAATGCGCGAATGCCCCATGACCAGGAAGAAGTGCACTTGCAGTTTTGCGGTCTATGAAGCTACGTGCAAACTCTGTCGCGATAGATACGTCGACTCGACTGGGAGACAAATGCACACCCGGGCTCAAGAACATACGAATGCTGCAAAGTCTAAAGACAAGAAGTCTGCATTCGGTGTGCACTATGCTAGAGAACACCTGAGCATCACTCCAAAGATTGGGTACGAAATTGTCCAGCTCACAGAGGGGGATGAGTGTAGGCATTGGCGGATAATGCTCGAAAAGGTGGCTGAGATTCTGCTCGAAAAACAGTGAAATTGGCAGAACCATACAAACCTTATGGCGGGCAATTCCTCGAATTCTGCTCCATTTTTTTTATCCACATACCAAACATGCATGAAACTTACCAGAAAAAGTACCGAATTCTGCCAATTTTTCTGCCGGCATTATCCGCATATGCCTAGGGTCCGGGGTGACCTGAGGCTCCGGATCCGTGAAGCATACGCAATTCGCGACAGGAAGCCAGCTATCAACCGAAGAAAAGAAGAGATGGGAACTGGATTCTTGGCGTAGCTTGCCTACCACCGTCCACTATCTGCCAACCCGATCCACATTCATCACAATAGAACACCGGGCACCCGATGGCCTATGCTCTCAATGACAGTGGCTAACCAATGGCGCCGCATGGCTTGTCCACAAAACTCTATAATTAGTATAAAGACAAAGTACAATAAGTCAGTATAACCATGATAACCAGAGACGCGATCCGACTATGCACGCGTGCAGTCTAATGTCGGTCGCCATGGGACCATGATACGTATGGTGACGGCCCGTCCCCGGCTTGGCCTGCCGCCACAGTCAGTGTTTTAACTGTTTTTGTCTTGATTCTCAGTTGACATGGTTGATGTGATACAGTAGCGGTTATAACGGTGGTTACTGGCGGTAGTGATCTAGAGAGTGAAGCAGCAGCCAGTAGTCACTAGTATTGTGAAACAACCGAACTGTGTTACTTTGTACCACTTTTGTAGCTCATGCTCTGGTTGGAAAATGCAATGCAGCAGGCATAGTCATAACATTAACAGACAATTCTTGAAGTGCACATGATTGTGATCCCGAGTTGAATACGAGCTATTTTGTTAGTTGACATGGCAACGGCCTTGACACCCGTCGGATTTCATCGAATAGGCCATTTATAGGGTCAGTACAGACTCAGTCCAGTACACATGGTTACAGGTATATCTTGTCTCTACACCATACTTGACAGTTATACAGACAGTAGTAGTAGTAGTAGTAGTAGTAGTATTTTGATAGGGAAGGCCCTACAGACCGGTACAGTCGCTGAGTCAGTACAGACTCAGTCAGTGTCACTCACCTTGTTTTCTTCATTGTGCGCATGCGTGGCGGTTTGACTGGCACCCGCTGAAACGAAGTATGTAATGCCATGGCATAGGCATCAGATCACGACCATACCGTCGCCACAGAGATCTAGACCTGAGTCGAGAGAGTGCATATCACCACACTGCACCGGTACGTCCGAGCTTGATCATCTCGGCAACTGTCGCTACAATGATCATTGGCCATTGCACTGCATGCATCACAGTCTCTACCGCAGTACCGGACCCGCGGAGTCCACATCCCACCATGCCATGTATGAGGCTGAGCGGCCGGCGGTCTTGCTCCAGTTTACGACCATTCGCAACCGATGATTGTTCGGTTGGAAGAGTTTTTCTTGTCTTTCAAGTGACGAAGGCCTCTCTGACGGCCCAGTGAGACGAGGAAACCCCTCCCCTGGTTCCGAATATCACCATTCGAGATAGCGACGACGCGACAAGGCCAGCCTTATCCAGGAGGCGTTCTGACAGAGGTGAAATCATTGACAAGGCGCGCACTGGCAACGGTGCGAGCTGCTAACAACACTCAACAGCCTCCTTTTACCGACGCCTTCTCGTTGGCAATCGCTCGGTGGTAGCAGCACTAGCTAGTGTTTGCAAGTGCTCAACTGTTTGCTGGTGAGCGACAGCTACTCGCCTGGTGCGGTAGCAAATCGCTGCTGAGCGTATTGACCAGCCAGGCGACATTCGTGTGGTGTTCGCACACGGTCGTCTCGGCTCACCGACCACCCTTTTCTCATCCCCCCATTCGACGGCCGCGCAATTCGCGCGTGACTACAACGCAACGGATCGGCAATGCCGCACCGGTTACTCTCCCAGTCGCTAACCATGACGAAGGTACGCTCGCCTACCGGACAACTCACCAGCTGCTGGATACTGATTCTGACCGTTATCTTGCTCGTAGCGGGTAAGTGATTGATTCTTGCGTGGATCTGCCCTGTCTGAAACAAGATACTGATTGCTAGCTGTACAAACCAATTACGACGACAATCGCTTTCCACGAATCGCATCTCAAATTGACCCTGCAATGCAGTGTAGAGCTTCAACCTCACTCGGGAAGGGGGGAAGGGACCCACCAGCCAGACCTTGCAAGTAACAGTTAGTTGCATTCGTAGTCGAAGGTCCTGATGTCCCACCCTGGAAAAGCGAGGTGATCTTTCTGTACATTGCGGGCAAGCATTTGCAGGCTTTGGGCCCCATCACTGTAGGAACACATTGTCTCTGGGAAAATGACCTTTATGTTCCCAGGCGTTTGTTGTATGAATGGGGAGAGTTTGCATCGTTGATCAGGAGCTCTGTGATACACTATATACACGCTAACATGTGCGAACTGTACTGTGGGGTCTGCGGTGGACAAACGAAATGGATTCAACTCTGCACACCGGGTTTCAACCTACTGTACTGCAGTTCCTTTTGGCAACTTGCATATTCACACTGCGGTGATTCTGTGCTCTCTCATACACGCACGCACACACGCATGCACCCACGCACGCACACACACGTACACACACATGCACACACACGTACACACACACACGCACACGCGCACACACACACACACACACACACACACACACACACTTGTACTTGCTCACTGCCAAAACTGGTCACGTGGGTCTCCCCGGGAGAGGGGGGAGAGACTCAAAAGGAATCTTGGAAAGATGACTCAATTGGCCATTGAACCGCCCAACGGCCGACACCCCCTGAAATCCCCAAACTAGGGTGGACTTGAAATGATCCCACTTATGGGCTCACCACACCTCAGTAAGTGGGTGAGGACAAGGTGCAGAAAAAGGATTGACGGCATCAGGGTATCCGTCCCGGGATCCAACTGCAGGTACCCCTGCCCCCAGTGAAGGTAATACTTGGTACTAGTGTGGGTGGCTAAATCAGAGTGGATCTGATATAAGCTTCACTAGCACCATTGATTACACAAGAGGTAATCTAGCCAGAAGCAGTCACACACACACACACACACACACACACACACACACACACACGCACACGCACACGCACACGCACACGCACACACGCACACACACACACACACACACACACACACACACACACACACACACATGTGCACACGGACGTACACACACACACACACACATACACATACACGTACACACACGTAACACACGCACGCACACGCGCGCACGCACACACACACACACTTGTACTTGCTCACTGCCAAAACTGGTCACGTGGGTCTCCCCGGAGAGGGGAGAGAAACTCAAAAGGAATCTTGGAAAGATGACTCAACTGGGTATTGAACTGCTCGACGAGCAGCACCCTCTGAAATCCCCAAACTATGGGACACACACACACACTTACTTACACACCTCTCTCTTCTAATGCACAGGGCCCGCGCGTGGCCAGCTGCCGCTCAGCAAGAACGGTTGGGACCTGTTCATGGACACTGGGCGCATTGTCATACGGCCACAAGACGCTCAACAACTACAGCTGGGCAGCTTCGACTGCACGGCATTCACCATACAGAACCGTGAAAACGCAGACGTGATCAACGCAGATGTACAGCGGCACAGACTGAGCGCGCCATGCTCACCGAGATTGCTGGACGCCGTAACGGTGGAGATGACAATGAATACGCTGGACTTGGATGCCGTCAAGCTCAACCAAGGTCTGGCCACCGGGCAGGACGGCACGACGACGTTCCTCTCCGTGCGTGCAAACAGCGGCATTGTGGACGTCACCAAGGGCTCACTGGAGTCTGTTCCGAGCAGTGCTGGACGTGTGGGTAATCTATTCCAGGACAGCATCGCTCCGGCGGTGATCTCCTTCCAGCTGTTCGACTTGGACAGCGGTGAGCTGAGTCTGGTGTTTGACGAGCCCGTGAATCTTCTCGGAGCGCTAAACGTATCGGCCAGCGCGCCCAGTCTGCGACTGCAGCATCACGTCACCTCGCTGGACAGTCTGGAGTACTTTGACGTGCGTCAGGTCACACCGATCACCGGCAACGGACGCAACGTCACCGTGCGTCTGTCCGACGGCGAGCTCAACCGGCTGAAGCTGATGCGACGTGTGTGCTCATCCATTGCCGACTGCTGGATCACGCTGTCAGAGTTCTTCGTGGCCGACATGGCCGGCAATCGCATGAGTCCGCTGTCGAACGGCGTGACGTCGCTGTCTCGTTTGCTGAGCAGCTTCATCGTCGACGACAGTGGTCCGGTGTTGCAGACGTCCAGCATTAACTTCAACAATGGCATGCTCGTGCTGAGCTTCAACGAACCCATTGACAGCGCTAGCATCTCGCCGTCAGCTATTTCAGTGATGTCCGCGCCCAATGCCAATACGTCGTCTGCCCTGCACCATCGGCAGCTCACTGGCGGACGAGTGTTGAGCGGCGATGGACAGCGACTCTCACTGCTCCTGGATGCGGCTGATCTCAACGCCCTAAAGAGCAGCGATCTGCTGGCCACTGATCGCAACAACACCTATCTTTCAATCAACGGTAGCTTGGCGAGTGATCTGGCACTTACGGCAAACCCCGTCAGGACTATTTCCGTGGCAAACGCCTCCAAAATCACGACGTACACCGGTGACACTGTGCCACCGCAGGTCAGTGCGTTCACTATAGACTTTGAGCGGAGTCGCATCGTCATCACTTGGGACGAGCCAATCCGCCCGTCGCGCACCAGCATGCAGCTCCTGGCCCTACGATCGTCTCAGGCGCTCACCGCCGAATCGCACGTATTCTCTACGGACGGCGGCCTGTCACGCAATCCCCCTCCGGACGGCGTTCTCTCGTTGAGTTTCAACCTGAGCACGGTGGACCTGACCCAGGTCAAACTGAACACGGAGCTGGCGCAGAACCAGGACAACACGTTTCTCTGGAGCATCGCCGACGGTGCCACGCACGACATGCGCAACAACCCGATGGATGCCATCCCTGCCGGCTCGGCCATCAAGGCCACCATGTACATTGTGAGCCGCAAGCAGCCGCGTCTGGACCGCTACTCGCTGGATCTCAACACTGGTTTGCTGAACATGACGTTCGACGACGCCATCAATGGCTCGAGCTTCCGGCCAGATACGGTGACGTTGCAGAACGCGCCGCAGGTTTCCGTCACCGACGCTCAATCGCGTTACACGTTCAGCGCATTGACGTACACACGCACAGCCATCGACTTCACGCTGGTCGTCAACATTGCTCGTTTCGACCTCGACGAGCTGAAGAAGCTGCGTGCACTGGCACGCAACACCTCCACTACCTACCTGATCATGACCGCGAATGTTATCGATGATATCTTCGAGACCGATGCCATTGCCATTACGAACGGCCGGGCACAGCAAGTCAATCAGTTTGTGGAGGATACCACTCGGCCGCGGGTTTCGTCCACTATGCTGGATATGGACGCTGGCCGCCTGCTCCTGAGCCTGACGGAAACGGTCGACCTGTTGACGCTCGATACGAGGGTGATACGAATCCAGGTGGGTAGTGATCTGTTAGCAGGGTTCTAGCCAGGTCAAAATAGTAGGGGGGGGGGGGGCAGGCATGGGGGAAACAGTTACCCCGTATCCATTTTTCCACTTTCCAATATTGTCTTGCCACTCTAAATGCAATGTATGGGGCGAATCCCCGACTTTACCCCAGATAAAGGTGCCGTTATGAACCATCTAATAGTGACTTTCGACTGCATTTTCGTTGAATTGCATGAAAAGCACGACAATCGGAAAATGAGTGTGGGGGGGGGGGCACTTTTTCACAGCCCCCCCCCCCCCCCCCCCCCCCCCAAGACGTCAGGACTGTCTGTCATTTGTTCATGGTATGTTCTCTGTGTCTCTATTTCTGGCTGCAGTCGAGCGCGTCTTCACCGACTGCCACGCACAGCATTGGTGTGCAGGGTGTTCTCTTGTCAACAGGTGATGCCGGTTCCGATATCAATTTCCTCCTGTCACAGTCCGACCTGTTTGCGCTGCAGCGCAACCGCGGCCTGGCCACGGATAAAGCCAACACCTTCCTGGCCTGGTCAAGCGCTCTGGCGGCCGACGTCGACGGAAATGCTCTCGTGGCACAGTCCGGCGGCCAAGCTCACCCGGTCAGTACGTGTGTGAGTGTGTGTGTGTTGTGATTCTCGGTTATCATTCCAAGGTCCAGGGCTGAATGTACCCCAACTAAGCTGTTCTCAAACCTGTGGTCACTACCTGTGTGTTTAGCCCAACGGCATAGTTTGCAAAGTCTTCTTTACCATACAGTACCGTTGATCCCCCTCCCCACCCTCCCCAGAGCTTTGTTGCTTCCCAGCTAATCATACAGAAGGGGGTGACGATTGGATCGATTATGTCAAGTATGGCTTTATGTAACACACCACCATAATCAAACTTGCCATGCTGAATTGTGCATAGTTCTATCCACTGAAATGCCTGCATTGGCATGTATACAACATGTACAGAGTGCATGCATCGGTTCAACGCCACGCTTTGACCTACATGTATATGCTGAGGCCCTTTCACGGGTAGAACATTGACAGGGGCCAGAATAGTAAGAAAGAGGGGGGAGATCAACTGTTCTTCAAAGTACTACTAACGCGTGTAGGGTACACTGTTTGTACCCTACACACGTTCACTCTGATCTCTAACCCGGGCACTTGCTTGCTGTCTGGACAGGTGGATCTGTACATTGCAGACACAACCAAGCCCAACATTATCAGCTACGATCTCGATATGGATCAGACGGGCCTGCTTGCGTTGACGTTTGACGAGACAGTGGCTGCTGCATCATTCCAGGTATGTCCTTGCCACTCCCTGCATAAGGCCCTGGTAAAAATTATCTTTGATTCTCAAGTACGCGCGCACCGACTTTTGGTGGCGCACCGACGATTTTTTATATTTCTATGCATGCATATGCGCGCATGAAAACGGTCAATGCGAAAGGCATGAATCAGGGAGTCGTAAAATACCGGTATTTTTCTACTCCCTGGCCTGAATATGTGAACATGTGACCGTGTACTATGTGTGACCGGTCGACCCTATTTTTGGAAATAAAAAATTGTGGGAAATAAAATTAAAATTTGCTCGCTCGCACCGATTTTCGTAGGCTCGTGACCTGAGAATCAACTCTATTTTTTACCATGGCCTAAGATTAGTCTACGGATGTGAAGTGGTTTCAAATCTTTGTCATGTGACTATATTCGTGTAGAAAGTGTACATGGCATGTGGACAGAGGAGCAAACGTGGCCAGTGTCATAGACGCAGGACGTAGGGGTTGAGTGGTGTTGGAACCAACGTGGCTACTCTCCATGCGATGATCATGTGCAGGGGCGTTGGAACCGGTGCGGCAGGTCCGGCCAAAGCCACACCAATAATTTCATCTTGTGACTTTTGAAGCAACGAAGTATACTGTAAACCGTGAAATTATTGCGATGGTCTAATTTCTGCGAAATTCGCGACCGCGTGGAAATCGCGAAATTTAGACAGCGCGAAAAGGAGATCCATGAAAGGTTTAGCAAGAACGCCACAGGTTTAGCAAGAATGCCATTCTGCAATCGCAAAATTAAAACCTCGCAAACCTGTCCGGATTCTGAAAACGCGAACTAAAAACGCCGCGAAAATTTCACGCTGTACAGTAGGCTATTTGGACCCAATTTCCCTAAAATTTTCCGGGGAGGGGGATCCCCGGACCCACACCTGCAATTTTCCGGGGAGGGGGATCCCCGGACCCATGCCTGCAATTTTCCGGGGAGGGGAATCCCTGGACCCACACCTACTCATGCGGCCGCACCTATGTTGTGTACCGTCCGACGCCAATGTGATAGATGTGCGACGGTTGAATTGAAAAAAAAACCCTGAAAGTTGTAATGTCCTAGAGAGTTCCAACGAGGAAGCAGCTCATCTTACAGTAAGGGTTCAGACTTTGTGCAAAGCATGTAGTGGACCACATCGGCGAGGATGCGACCATCGTCTGTCGGCCACTTGTGTGTTTGTATTTCAGGTCCAGCACCTTCGACTGGTGAACGCGGAGACGGGCTTCACGTCGTTCTACGTGCCGGGCCTGTCCAGCTTCTCATCCACGGAGGACAGCAACATCGTCCAAGTGGTCCTGTCCAACACGACTGCCAAGCAAGACCTGGACAACATCAAGGCTCGGTCCACTCTGGCAACGAATGTAAGATCATCAGTTCACAGTGAAGCATTCCCACGAGTACTAGTAGTCTTATGTCGTGTTATGGAGCCAAAGGACTAAATTACCGATGTACATGAGTTATGAAAAAAGGCGGCTGCTCCTAGTGTCGAGCTCCTGCTTCCTGCTGAGTCACCCAGTTTACACACTCGTCGAAGTCGCAACATCCTAGTTCATACATATAATACAATGTACTGCAAGTATGAACTAGGGTGTTTAATGTTTATCATGTTCCCGTGTTTCTTTGTGTGTCTGGCAGAAACTGGACACGTACCTTCAGGCGTTTGAGCCCACCGTGAAGGACATGGCCGGCAACAATCTGACACGGCTGCTCTCCCTGCCCACCATTGAGTCGCTGGCCGCGCTGCAGGTGCATAACTACACGCGCGATCAGATTCGGCCGGAGTTCCTCGCCTGCACGCTGAACATGGCTCTGGGCCAGCTGTCCATGAGCTTCTCGGAGACAATGGATGCCGACATGCTGAATCCAACACAGGTAACTGTGCAGCGTGTGTTGATGCCATCGCTACGCAAAGTGGTCATTGGCTACCCCTGCCATGTATTGCTTGAAATAAAATAAATAATAAATAATCTATAGGGGTAGGAGTGTATGAGATTCTGGTGCGTTACACTAGATTCTGGATTCTCTTATTTTGGCATTGGTGGATATGGCTTGTCTCGTTGTTTTAAAAGAGGAGAATAGCACTTGTTCTCTTGCTGTGGTCGGGAAATCCCACTAGACTATAGTAGAGCCAGCTGTAAAACTGACCAGTTGCCGGTGTGCAGTTGTACCCGGGTAGTCCATGCATGTAGTACACTTAGTGTCTGGCTAACACCTGTACCATTACACCATTACACCATTCCATACGTGCACAGCTGTCATGTCCGGTACGCAGCTGTGCTAGCACGGTACGGGCCATAGAAATCCAACCTCATATATAATATATATGAGGTTGGATTAAATTAATAGTAGCGCTGGGCAATACGCAGCCCTAGCACTACACCAACTGTTCTGTGCACTCGAACGTGGTGCTACCGAATTCAGGAGGTTGGATTTCTCTGGCCAGAAGTGTAGTAGTGATAGTACTATTAGTGCTAGTCTTCGTATATGCATGTGCATTCTCCAACCACTGGAACACGGGAATAGGTATGTGTGTGTGGGGGGGGGGGGGGGGGTGCAGTGACTTTGCTAATCCAATCTGTGCAGTAATGCTCCAGGAGACCTTTCCAACCCAACTTGGGCTTTGACCCAGAGGTGGTTACTGTATGTCTGGCTCCTCGCCACTGCAGGTACACCACCTGTGCATTAGAATGTGTAGTGTTAGTGCTGATGTGATTGTGCGGGTTGTGTGTGTTCTACGTGTGTGCCTATCCTCTGCATGCATGCATGTGCAGATTTCCATTCACGACACCTCGCTGGATCCCGGCGTTAGGTACACGTTTCAGCAGTCCAGCATGGCCGTGGACACAGACGCCACCACCGTGGTGCTGCAGATGTCACAGAGCGACTCCGACGCCCTGAAGCTGCGCCCGCAGCTGGCAATCAACGGCTTCACGTCGTACATATCGCTCGGCAGCCCGGCGGCTCGCGACATGGCTGGCAACCTGATCATAGATAACCCGCAGGCGGGCAGCCGACGACAGTCGTGCACGTTCATACCGGATACGGTGTCACCGCGGATCACGCGCTTCAGCGTCGACCTGAACCATCGCACGCTCAATCTGACATTTTCCGAGGCCGTCGACGCAAACTCACTCAGCGTCGGCGGTCTGGTGCTGCACGAGCGAGAGCTGGTACCCAAAGTGGCGGTCCCGCTCACTTTCACGTCCACCTCCGGCAGTACTGACGGCACTGAGGTTGTGATCAACCTGTCGGACAGTGATTTTAATCGCATCACGGCCGAGACGCAAGTGGCCACTGAGAGACCGGACACGGCGCTTTCGGCCACGGCCGGTGTCATCCGCGATCTGAACAATAACCCGCTGCAGACGATCAATGAGTCGTATGCACTGCTGGTAGCTATACACACGGCCGATATGATGTCACCCACGCTGGATTCTTACGACACCGACTTCAACACGGGCACGCTTACGCTGTCATTCTCCGAGAGTGTCAACCTGACCGCTTTCCAGCCGTCTCAGCTGACGCTACTGGATCAGAACACCTCCGCCACCACTCCGTTCAGGCTAACCGGCGGAACGAGTCGGTTTGTGATCGGCTCAACCACCAACATACTTGTCACGCTGTCCAGCGTCGATCTGAACGCTGTCAAAGCGCGGCGTAGTCTCGCGACAGCCCGCAGCAACACGTACATCAGTGCCACACCGACTGCTATCCTCGACATGAACTCCAACATGCTCGTGGTGGTTCCGCCGTACGACGCGCAGCAAACCAAAAACTACAAGTCCGACCAGACAAACCCGAATCTGGACTCCTTCCGTCTGGATCTGGATGCCGGACAGCTGACGTTGGTCTTCGATGAAACGGTCAACACGACATCATTTGATGTGCAGCAGCTTAGGTTCCAGAATACCGGAAGCTTTAGCACTGTTTCGTACACACTAACAAACGCCACACAGTTGACGCCTTCGGTCCGCTACAGAACCGACCTTCCATTGCTTCTCTCTACTGGTGACTTGAACGAGATCAAGAGGCTATCCCTTTGCACATCAATTGCCGACTGCTCTGTCGCTCTCAATCTTGCACCGCAGGCTTTCCTGATTGCCGACATGTCCGACAATGACATCAACACCATTGCCGTTACATCAGCAAAAAGCATTGCCTCTGACGGCTTCACTGCTGACACTACAGCGCCTGTTCTGTCCAGCTTCACTGAGTTTGACCTGAATAGCGGCCGTGTGACTCTTCTGTTCGACGAGACCGTTCTGGCGGCCAGCGTGTTCGAGGAGTCCATGCTGCTCTATAGCAATTTCTCGTCCATCTCTTCTAGCGTGGGCATCACCGGGGGTACACACTCGGTTGCGGACTCGACGTCCATCACGATTTCGCTGACGACCGACGACCTCAATGCCATCAAGTTGGACATTGGTCTGTGCGTGGACCGGGCGTCGTGCGTGATCCGCTTCAACTCCAGCCTTCTGACCGACATGAACAGTGTGTTTGTGGTGGCTGTCGAGCCGGCCAGCGGCACTGGTGCAACATACACGCCTGTCAGCTTTGTACGCGACACAACACCTCCAGTTCTCCAATCGTTCACTCTCGACTTGAACACCGATGTGCTGGAGTTGTCGTTCGACGAGGTCGTGCGGTTAAGTTCTCTTGATATTGGTGCCATCACCATACAGCAGACCCGCTCCGGGCTGGGTCACGGCCAGGCGGTCAGGCTCTTCTCGACCAGAAACCCGGCATCGCGCAGCGCCGACGGCCTCAGCGTGTCCGTCAACATCTCCCTGGAGAACGCCAACGCCCTGAAAGCCATGTTTGCCATGGCGACGGACGTCACGAACACTTGGCTGACCCACGACACGCAGCTCGTAACCGACGTCAGCGGAGTGGCCATTGCTGCACGCATTAGTCCCAGCAGGTCTCTTCAAGCATCACACGTGGAGCAAGACCGCACATCACCACACGCTCTGGCCTTTACACACTACAACCTGGACAACAACACAATTCGTATTCTGTTCGACGAGCCTGTTGACACCGCATCGCTGAAGTACAGCCAGCTGGTGCTGCTGAGTGAGCCACTGCACAACATGACAAACACGTCTGTGTTCCGACCTGTCAGGTTGTCGCTGAGTGGTGGCACCCCAAGCTACATCAACACCGCTGACAAGCTGGAAGTGGAGATCTTGCTCACCCGGCAGGATGCAAGAGACATCAAACTCTCCGACGTTCTGGCAGGTAATATTTCACATCTGCTAGTGAGCAAAGACGCAGTTAGGGATCCAGCAAGCAATGTCATCGAGGCGAGCAACTTCTCCTATCTGCTACAGCCGGGTGGTTTCTTTGTGGATCACACGGCACCACGCCTGGAAGGATTTGTCTTCGATGCCAACGTATCCCAGCTGGTATTGACTTTCTCCGATCTCGTCGACTCCAGTTCTGTGGATGCGAGCACGCTCCAGCTGCACTCGGATGCGTTCGGTAATGACTCGCTGTCACTGAAGAAGTTGACTGCTCCGAGCCCAGCAGCAGGGTACGATTACGACATATCCATACCGATTTCCAGGGAAGACCTCATCGCTGTGCAAGTACTGATGAACATGGCCACTGGCACGGACAATACCTTTGTCAGCTTCAACGGCACCATGGCGACAGACTTCGATGGGCGCTATGTGGACAGCGTGTCTGCTGTCTTGCCGTTTCAAGCTACCGACTTTGTCCCGGACACCATTACACCGCGGGCGGTGGCGTTCGATATAGACCTGAACACTGCACCTACGCTCACTGTGTTCTTCGACGAAGCAGTGAACCCACTGAGGTTTGTGCCTTCGCGACTTACTCTCCAGCAGAGAAACAGTAGCACTGCTGACCTACCGCTTACCACGGCTAAGTACTCATTGATCAACAGCCAGCCGTCGCAGAACACTTCCTTTGACACTGCCATCGCTGTCGAGCTGTCGGACTACGACACGAATCGTATCAAAGCCACACGCAACTTAGCGACGAGTGGCAACGACACCTATCTACTGGCGGCGTACGGCATGATTGCGGACACGTTCAACAATCCGTCTGCGGCTGTCCTTGACGGTCTGGCCTTGGCTGCCCAGAACTACACCGAAGACGCCATCGATCCGGTCGTGCTGTCATTCGTGATGGACTTGGACGTGGGGCAGATCCAGATCACGTTCAGTGAAGCCGTTGATCCGCGTTCGTTGAACTTCGCCGGCGTTGAATTGCAAAATCAGGAGACCCGAACCAACCTGACGGCGGTCATTGGCCTGGAAAATGGAACGGTGGCAGTGTCACTGCAACGCGAACTCAGCACAATCGTGGGCATACAACTAACACAGGCCGATCGGAGCAAGCTGACACGCTCGACCTACCCGATCGGACGCAGCGTCGAGACGTCATACCTGTACTTGTCTGACGATGCGTTCGCGGATTTCGCCGGCAATCCAGTTGTCGGCCTGAACGCCAGCGCTGCCCTGAAACCGACAGCGTACCTGGAAGGTGAGTGCTTTGAGATGCTCAGTGTGTGCTCAAAAGCATCACATTTCACACTTGAGTATTGCTTTGAAGTACATTGTATGAAGTGTGGTTGCTATGATCTTCCCTACTGCAGTTCATGGTTCCTTTAGTGGGTTTGTGTTGTACTTCTTGTACTTCTAGTGTTCATTGATGTACCTTTTAGCGGGTTTGTGTTGTACTTCTAGTGTTCATTGATGTACCAGCAAATGCTGTGGCTTTATGCCTCTGCTCCATGACCCCCCTCCCATTTTGCACAAAACATTATTTCAATATTTTCATACCACCATAAGCAGCAGCAGCAACACCAGTACGAGCACCACCACCCTTGTCGAGTGCACTATTTCACACCTGTGATGTTGGCGTGTGCTCTATGTTCTCTTTACCCTGCTGTAGATCTGAGCTGCGAGGCAACGCCGGTGAATCGCTACACTGGCGACATGACAGCGCCACAGCTGCGCAACTTCAGCACCGACATGACTCTCGGCCAGCTGACGCTCTACTTCACCGAGACCATCCAGCGCGACACGTTCAACCTGACCTCGCTGATCCTGGCCGACTCGCTGATCACGCCCGATCAGGAGTACCGCATTCAGTACGCCGGCTCTGTCAGCAATGTCGGCGTCAACTCTGACTCTCTGACCGTCACACTGGACGAGCGCGATCTCAACATCATCAAGAACTTCGTACCGCGTCTGTTCGACAAGCTCAGCACAGCGTTCATCAGGATAGCTCCCAGCTCTGTTCTGGACATGGCGTTCAATCGAGCACAGCGCGCTACCGTTCAGACGAACGTGTTTGAGCCGGATCGCGGCAGGCCTGTCCTGACGTCGTTTGAGCTGGACCTGAACACAAACCTGTTGAACCTGACGTTCAACGAAGTCATAGAGACGACCTCCTTCCAGGCCAGCGCAATCACACTGCAGGGCGCCCCAATGCCGTCCGTCAACATCAGCCTAACGGGCTCCGTCGCTCGAGTACGCAGTGCGGACGGATTGTCTCTGTCGATCACTCTGCTGACCGACGATGCCAATCGCCTGAAGCAGACCCCAGGCTTGGCCACCATTGTCAACAACACGTACCTATCGCACACGGCGTCGATGATTTCGGACGTTGTGGTTGCACCAGCACCGAACAGCGTCCAGCCTAGAAACAGCTCCAATGCCTTACGCGCCAGCGCCTTTGCGCGCGATGCCACTGCTCCGCAGATCACCAGCTTCGACGTGTTCGACCTGAACGCGGGCCAGTTTGACGTTACGTACGACGAGCCCGTCATGCTCGCCTCCGTCGTGCCAAGCAGCTTCACCATACAGTCGTCGGCGACGAGTAATGCTACTCGACTTCGCCTGAGCGGTGGAACGGCGTCGTATGTAACACTATCTGACCTGCGGCAAGTGCGCATCAAGCTGAACAGCGCTGATCTCTTCATACTGAAGTCGCAGCTGCAGAAAAGCGTCAAGTACGGCTCGGCGCAGACCAACACGTTCCTGTCGGCGTTTGCGAACACGTCTCAGGACATGTTTGGCAACGCTGCCCTGCCAGTCAGCAGTTTCTCCGCTCGTGGTCTCCTGAGCCACGTTCCGGACACGACGGGCGCCAAGCCAATCGACTGCATCATCGACCTGACCAACGGGACGTTCTCCGTGCGCTTCGACGACGTTGTGGTGCAAAACTCCTTCGATCCGACGTTCATCCGCCTGCAGAATGATCGTCTTCTGCTGGTGGCGGACTCCTATCAGCTGGCAGGCCGAGCGGACCTGCCCGCGGCCACAACCTACTCCGTACAGTTCTCACTGGACAAGGTCGGTGATCAACGTACTGTTAGCGATCTCGATGAGATCAAGTACCTGCGACGGCTGGCCAGCAGCAATCTCACAACCTTCATCTCCACGGCGGCTGACCTGATCGAGGATACCAGCAACAATCCGGCTCGGCCGGTCGTGCAGTCCGATGCACTGCGCTGCTCGGGTTTCCATCCGGATCGCGTTCGACCAATGCTGGCGGGATGGAGTCTGGACATGACGGCTAACAGCATTCAGCTGACGTTCTCCGAAGTGGTCGACCAGCTTACACTCAACGTGTCTTTCATTACGCTGCACGGAAGCGACGGCTCCTCACTGCCTGTCACGACGGGTTTGTTCACCAAGCGGCCGAGCTCCGCATCACGCATTGTCACCCTCGGCCTCACAAAGGCCGAGCAGGACGCCATTAAGCGTAACGGCAACCTTGGCACGCGGCGAGGCGACTCCGCCCTGAGCATCTCTGAGCTGGCGGTGAACGACTACGCTGGCAACATGCTGCAGAGCGTTGTCGCTCTTCAAGCCCTGACCTACGTGCCCGATTCGGTGAGCCCTGCACTGCAGAGCTTTCATCTCGACATGAACATCGGCGTGCTGACATTGAGCTTCAGCGAGGTAGTGGACAGGTCTACACTGACTCCGGCCGGCCTGACTTTACAGAACATGATCAGCAACAATCCCGCGGAGAGGTTTGAGCTGAGATCCGGTCTTGTTCGTAACAACACCGTGGACGACACAACGCTGGAGCTTGAGATCGACATCGACGACTTGAACTTGATCAAGGCGCTGCGGGCACTGGCTGTCAACAAGACGACCGCGTACATGGTGATCACGGACCGTGCCGTGAGAGACACCGTTTCCAACTACACGTCAAACAGTGTTGTGGCCATACCTCCACTGCGAGCACTGCCCGTGTCTAACTTCACCGAGGACACAACCGCACCGCAGCTAGTGTGGTACGACCTGGATCTAACGGCCGAGACTCTGACCCTGTCCTTCGACGAGACCGTGCTGGCAACGAGTCTGATGATCGATCGCATTCTCCTGCAGGACACGCGCACGGCGAACACATCTTCTGGTATGTACCAGCTTAGCGCCTACTCCGCAAGTGTACCGTTCGGCAGTCGTCTTCAGACGACCGTGGATACTACCGTCATGGTCATATCTCTCGGCGCTGATGACCTCAATGCTATCAAACTGGACACAAAGCTGGCGGTGAGCAACGAAACCACCTATCTCTATACCATGGGTAGTCTTATCGACGACATGAATACTAATGAACTGGACACGGTGCCCGACACCGATGCCAGGCGTGTCCGCTACTTCACCAGCGACACCCGTGCGCCGACCGTGCTCGGTTTCAAACTGAACCTCACGACGGAGGAGATGACGATCACGTTCAGCGAGGTTGTCGACGCTGACAGCCTCGTGGTGCCGAACCTGACGCTGAATCGTGGCAACATCGCCGATCTCAGCAGCGCGTTTCAGCTCACGAACGATAGCGTTCTGCAATCCGGTGATGGCACTGTTCAGGTCATCCGTCTCGGTACGCTAGACCTGAACGAGATCAAACGCCTGCAGCTGCTTGCAGTCAGTGCGTCGAGCACGTACCTAGACATGCCGAGTACAGCGGTCAGCGACATGAACGGAAACCCAGTGCAGTCTCTTGTGCTGGGTGTGAACGCATCGCAAGCCGACGACTTCTATCCGGATTTGACCAGTCCCGAGCTGGTTAGCTGGAGTATTGACATGGAGAACGGACGTCTGCAGATGGTGTTCAATGAAACCATGCTTGCGTCACGCCTGAACGCCACGCTACTGCGCTTAGCATCATCCGCCACTGCACCCATTCAAGAATGGGTGCTGACGGACCAGAGCCGTGTGATCCTGTTCAACGACCCCATCCTGAATATACAGCTCTCTGCATTTGACCTGGATGAGATCAAGAAACTATCCGAACTTGTACAGGACACAAACTCGTCCTTGTTGTCGTTCGTGGAGGACTCGGCTCGCGACATGAACCAACGTCCGGTTGAGGCTGTCAGGTTTGTGCCTGCGTCTGACGTGAGTCCCGATGTCTCTGGTCCCGTACTTCAATCGTTTGAACTGGACATCAATCAGGGCACACTCACACTACAGTACAATGAAACCGTCAGTGCGTCCTCGCTGATCCAATCCTACTTCACCATACTCAGCAACCTGACAAGCAGCACAGTTCAGCTCAGCGGCGGGAGCGTTATCGATCCGAACCAAAACAGAATACGCCTCAACATGACGCGGGCCGATCTGAACGCCGTGAAGCTCATCCGTGCGCTCGGGACCATGATGAACAACACGCAGCTCTTGCAGAATGCCAGCGCCGTGAGCGACATGCCACCAGAGGAGAACGCAGCGGCTGCTCAGGTTCTGAGCGCGACCAAAGTCACACCGGACACGACGCCACCGTATCTCGAGTTCTACAGTCTGGACTTGAACGTTGGCTTGCTGAGCTTGTACTTCAGCGAGGTTGTGGACGCACTCTCGCTGAACGCTAGCGGCCTGGCAATACAGGGAGGTGTGTTCTCGGCGCAGGCTATTGTGCGTTTCCACCACGCCAACACATCAAGTAACAATGACGAAGTGATCGAGGTGCAGATCCACCGTGACGAGCTCAACGATCTGAAGCGCTACACTCACCTGGCCACCAGCAGTGATGACACGTACCTGACTGTTGACGGCGTGGCTATCAAAGATATGGCTGGCGTTGCTGTGATGACAATTCCCAACGGGCTAGCGTACCAGGTCAGCGTCTACACCAACGACAGCACACAGCCGGCACTGCGCTCATACACACTTGACATGAACAACGGTCGGTTGGCTCTCAGCTTCCTGGAAACGGTCAACGTCACCAGCCTGGATTTCCTGAGCATTGTCCTACAGAGCGCTGGCAACGTGAGCCTGTCTGATGACGAATCTCTCTACCAGCTAACAAGTGGACAGCTGGACAGCACACGAGATTCCACGGAGTTGGTGTTCACACTGACCAATGACGACCTGAATGCCATCAAGGCACGGCGCATTGCCGACTCGGCCGGCACAACCTACCTGAGCTTTGCCGAGGGAACGCTAAGCGACATGAACGACCGCGCCATCATCGGTGTGTCTAACACGGACGCAAGTCGCATCGCCATGACCAGGTACACACCAGACACTAGCTCACCTAGCCTGCTGCACTACAATCTCAGCATGGACGCCGGCGAGCTGTCGCTGAGCTTCAACGAGACCGTCGACACGATGCGATACCCGTTCAACGTATCCGCGCTGGTACTGCAGACGTCTGACTCACCGTTGTCCGCTGGATTTCAGTCGCACCGTCTGCGTTCGTCAGCGGGAACGACTGCTGCAAAGGTTCTGGACACGGTTGTGCTCGTCACCATCGGGGAGCAAGACTTGAACGAGATAAAGCGTCTAACATCATTAGCCACGGTACGTACCTCTACATACCTTATGATGGGTGAGCGAGCAGTGGCAGACACAAAGGGAAATCTCGTCGAGCCGTTCAATGCCACCGAGGCAAGGCTGGTTAACCACTATTTTCCGGACGTGTCCAGCCCCACCCTGCGATCGTTCCGCTTGAGCATGGACGGATCCTGGCTGGAGCTGTCCGTGTCGGAAACCTTCGACGTGCAATCGTTGGACGCGTCCAAAATCACACTCCAGAGTGCGAGCAATGCTAGCGGATCCGTCGTCGCGAGCTACACGCTCACGTCGGGCGTTATCCAGTACAGCGTCTTGCCTGGTCCGCTGGTGAACATCAGCCTCTCAGACCCGGACATGAACGAGCTGCGGCGTCTGGTCGGCGAAGGTTTGGTAGTCGACGACAACACAACGTTCATCTCGTTTCCACCCTCACTGCTGAGCGATTATGACAGCAATCCTGTCACAGAGGTCAGTACGGACGATGCTGTTCAAGTTCTGGAGTTCTTCACGGACACGACCAATCCTACGCTCTTCTCCTATGAGCTGGACTTGACAGCAGAAACACTGACACTATCGTTCAGCGAGACTGTGCTGGCTATATCGCTCACACCTCACAGTTTCTTGTTCTTAAACAACGCTACCGACGCCAGCGACTTCCTACCGGTGACCAGCGGCGGCACGAACAGTACGGACAGTACGACACTGGTCTTGGAGCTCACAGAGTACGATCTCAACATAGCCAAGCAGAAGACTAGCCTGATGACGGCGGAAAGCAACACGTACCTGTCGTTCGCGGACAGCGCCGTCACTGATATGTACAACAATTCCATCGTTCCTGTGTCGACGTTACCGGCACGGCGAGTTGTCAGCGGGGGATTCACGGCGGATAGGGTGCGACCAGTTCTGCGTGATTTCACGTTGGACATGGACGGCACTCCGCGGCTATTCTTGAGCTTTACCGAGACGATAAACGCTTCGTCCGTCAAGCCAGACCAGTTCACCATACAGCAGGCAGGCGTGTCCACCGACGGCATTGATCTCACAGGTGGAACTGTCCTGGATCCGACGTACAATGCACCGTTCGTCACCGTCGTATTGGAGAAAGTGGACGTGGACAACATCTTCAATCGCACTGATCTGGCCACCGCGCCTTGGAACACGTACATCAGCTACTCAAACACGTCCGTACTCGACATGACGCAGAATCCCGTAGTGCCTCGCTTGCAGGCTAACGGCAAGCTGGCGTTCAACCACTCCGAAGACTTCACCCGGCCCAAGCTGACCAACTTCACATTGGACCTGGACGGCAGCAGCGTCCTGACGCTGTTCTTCAGCGAGACAATGAACTCGGTCACTCTCGATCCCAGCACCATTGTGCTACACAACGGTGGGACGGCGGACGACGACCGGCTCAACATCACAGGCGGCCGTCATTTGACACACTGGCCATCGCTGGAAGTGAGTTTTGAGTTGCTCAAGGAAGACCTGGATGAGTTGAAGCGATTGGAGGCGGTCGGCACTACACTGGCCAATACTCAAATCAGCTTCTCTGCTAGTCTTGTCGAGGACATGAACCAGAATAATGTCGAGGAGATTGGTGATATTGACGGACGCACGGCTGCAGCCCTGGAACCAGACACAACCCTTCCTGAACTGTCCCGGTTCGAATTGGACATGAACCGTGCCCTGCTGACGTTTGTCTTCTCCGAAACGGTCAAGGCAAGCACTCTGGATGTCACGCAGATAACTCTGCAGGCGGTGTCCAACAATGGCGGCAGAGTGAGTGAGACCTTCACGCTAACTGCGGGAAATCGGTCGATGGCTGACTCGACCATGCTGAGTGTGAACCTGACATCCAACAACACCAACGAGATCAAGCTCTTGCGCTTGCTGGCCATCGATCGCAACTCCACGTTTGTGTCACTGACAAACCGCACGCTCCGCGATATGTCGGGCAATTGGCTAACCCCGGTGCCTGTCGTGGCTGCCAGGCGTTCCTCGGCGTTTGAGCAGGACATCACGCCGCCGATGCTGGTGTTCACTCGGCTGGACATGAACGTCGGTGAGCTGAGACTGGAGTTCAGCGAAGCAGTGGACTCTCTCCAGTTCATGCCGACTGGCATACTGCTCGTGAATGCCGGCCCGGGCATGAACATCACTGCCGAACACAACCTGGCGACTGGAGTTCTGAAAACAGGCCCCGCCGTGGAGCAGAATGTTGTCATTCAGCTGCAAGACCTGAATCGTATCAAGCACCTGACAAGACTGGCAACCAGTATGGCCAACACGTTTGTGGCCGTCACAAACTGGACTATCCAAGACATGAATGGTAATTTCCTAGAGAGCGTCTCGGCAGCGGATCCCATTCAGGTGATCGAGTTTGACGACGACATTACACCGCCTGAGCTAGACAACGCAACCCTGGATATGGACAGTGGACGCATGGTGTTCAGCTTCTCCGAGACGGTCAACCGATCCACCATCGACGCCACGCAGCTGACGCTCGTCAGCGCGAGTGCCAGCACATCAGAGAACTTCACACTTCGCTGGCTGGACATCGAGATCGGCGACTTGGAAGGTGCAGACGTGTTTGAGGCGTCTATTCGAACACTCGACTTGAATGAGTTGAAGCGTCGGCCCAACCTATGCACGACTAGTAGCGGTACTTGTCGTATCGCCATAACAGCTCAGTTTGTTCAAGACATGAGAGACAATAGTGTGATGGCTGTTCACGCACCGCAGTCACGTCCGGTCTACAACTTCACGCAGGACACCACATCACCGCGCCTGGACGGCTTTGACCTGAACTTGAGCAACGAGATATTGCGCATGACGTGGAGCGAGACGGTGCTATCCACGTCGTTGAACCCGGCGTTTATCACCCTCCAGCACAATGCGTCCTCCACGCTGCACTCATGGCAGCTGGTGACGGGCTCTGTTGTCAATCCGAACTTTAACGATCCAGTTGTGTCGTTAAAGCTGAACGAGACGGATCTGAATCAGATCAAAGCCATCATTGGCCTGGCCACAGAAGAAAACAACACGTATATATCACTGCTGGCCGATACAATTCGAGACATGAACAACCGCCAGTCAGTCGCTGAGGATTTGTCTGATGCCACGCTCGTATCAAACTTCACTGCTGACTATGTTGCGCCGACTCTCAGAGCATTCTCCCTGGACATGGATGCATCTCCGCTGCTCAACTTGACATTCTCCGAAACTGTTCAGGTGCAAACACTGAACGTTGCCGGTATCACGTTGCTCTCGGGCACTTCCGGTGTTATTGAGCAACAACAGTTGTCTGAACTGATATCCAGCCAGGGAGTTGGTAGTCGTTCGACCTCTGATGATTGGCCCGAGATTACGATCAACCTCGGCGTTGCTGACTCCAACAGTATCAAATTCTTCAGCAAGCTGGCAAAAGGTCTTGATGATGCCTTCATCGCCATACAGGACATTACCATTCAGGATATGAACAACAACACAGTGGTGAGTGTGGAGCTGCAGAACGCCACGCAGATCGGTGGGTACGTGCCTGACACCACGCATCCTCAGCTGCTTTGGTTTGATCTAGATATGGACGCGGACAGTCTGCTGACGCTGTACTTTGACGAGACCATGAATCTCTCATCCACCGACCCGCGCGCCATCACACTCCTCTCCTCGTCGCACAGCCTTCAACTCAGAGGTGGAAACGTGACAACCATGATGGACGGCCGGACGGTCAGGATCGTCCTGGAGAAAGATGACCTGGATGAGCTGAAACTAGTGCGAACGATTGCCACAACGCTCAACGACACACTGATCTCATTCACACCGGCGTTGATCAAGGACATGAACAATAACAGTGTCGTGGAATTACTTCCGACGGCGGCCAAGCCAGTAAGAAACCTCACCGATGACACAACACCAGTATGGCTTGTCCACTACGACTTGGATATGGACTCAGCGTTGATAACGTTCCAGTTCTCCGAGACCGTCGAGGCGGACTACTTTGATCTGGGTCAGTTTAGACTGAGGTCGGACAACAGTGCTACAAGTCTGGAGGTTCAACTCCAAGGTGGGTTAGAAGTGTTGGACGATGCGACGCTACTCGTGGCTCGCATCACAACCGACGTCATGAACACGTTGAAGTACTACCGTAACGTGACCAGCCGGGACGCTGACACCTATTTGATGTACAGCTCTGACGGTGTTCGGGACATGGCAAACAATACGGTCATACCGACGGCACTCGCCTCGCAGGCCGTGCCTGTACGCAACTTCACCCTCGACACAACCGCGCCTCTCTTGCAGCGCTTCTCATTCGACTCGGATGCCGGCGTTCTCGAACTCGTCTTTGACGAAACGGTCGACTCGACACGGACGTTCAACATCTCCGGCCTCACGCTGCTGTCGACGAGGCAGATGATTGGTTCATCAGGTCTCCAGTTCGTCACGCTCGCTAACGGACTAAGCGTGTTGGACGACAGCACCAGGGTGCGGATACAGCTCGGTATTCCCGATCAGAACCGTATCAAGGTCCTGCCAGGACTGGGTAGGGATAACAGTACAACGTTCCTTGCCCTCGCAACGCACTTCATCAGGGATATGTTTGGAAATCGTGTGGCTGCAGTGAACGACACTATGGCTCAGAACACCACTGACTTTACCGTGGATCACACGTCACCCAGACTCCTGGACTGGAGTTTGGACATGGATGGTCCGGGCACGCTTACTCTCACGTTCGAGGAGATTGTCAACACATCGCGCACCATGCCAGGACAGTTGGTACTGACGAATGGCATATCCACGATGCCAGGGAGACAAGCGGTGACCATTGTACAAGGCATGCCCCCGTTTGCCAACGTCAGGAATGTTCTAGTGGACAGTACGGTGGTGGAAATTGAGATTGGACATGCCAACCTGAACAGACTGAAGCAGTTCCGTCGCCTTGCCCTCTCCACCAGCGACAGTTACCTGGAGATGTCTGTGGACGCTTGCCGGGATATGGAGATGAACCCATGCCGCTTGCTGGATGCCAGCAATGCCACCAAGGCCGCACACTTCATCAACGACACCACTGCACCTCAGTTGATTGCGTTTGACATTGATCTGACGCTGAACGAGCTGACACTGAACTGGAGTGAGACTGTCAGAGGTGATAGCTTCGAGCGAACCAAACTCACCCTGTACAGCATACCAAGCAGCGGGTCAACATCATACCAGCTGACCACTGGTGATTTGAAGGCAATTGTGGATGATACCACCATCATCCTGCAGCTACAGCGTGTTGATCTGGACAGAGTCAAGAAACTAACCGACCTAGCGACATCAGAGAATGACACGTACCTCTCGATCGGCGATCGGACGGTTCGTGATATGAGTGATAACTGGAACATTGCCATCCTGCCCAACAACGCCACGCAGGTGCGGAATTTCACCGCCGACACCGTCCCGCCGTTCCTGGAGAGCTTCGATCTCGACATGAACAACGGTCGTCTACTTCTGTCGCTGTCAGAGACCGTGGCCCACGATTCCGTCAATCTGACGGAGATATCACTGCAGCCCAGTGCTAACTCCAGTGCAGAGCAAGTGTACCGGCTGAGCGGTATCGGGCACATGGAGAATAACTCCGACTCCGACACGCTGGTGTTCTACTTGGGTCGTGCTGACCTGAATGCCATCAAGTACCGCTCGTACTTAGCACAAGACGAGGCATCGACGTGGATGATCCTCACAGAGTTCGCACTGCATGACATGACCCGGAACAGGATTGTTCAGATCGTCAACGGCAACGCTAGCCAAGCATTGCCGTCGTTCACGCGCGACACATCCGCTCCGATTCTCGAGCAGTGGGACCTGGACCTTTCTAATGATACCCTCACGCTGAGCTTCGACGAAACCGTCCAACTCAGCTCCTACAGCCCTACCGAGTTCCAGTGGTTGTCGGCGGAGACGGCCCGGGACGGCGAGAGGGAGATCATTGGCACGCCCATATTTGGTGACAACTCCAACGTTGTGCAGATCAGCATCCACCGCTCTCCCACGCTGGACTCGCTGAAACTGGACAGAGCTCGTTGCACCAACGCGTCAAATTGCTATTTGGCTATGCAAGCCGGTGGCTTTGTCGACATGGCAACGAAACCAAACGATGCCGCACAGGCCCTGCTACCCGTCCAGAACTTCACCGAAGACATGGTCGATCCCATGCTGGAAACCTTCGTAGTTAATATCAACGTGAGCACCATCACGTTGAACTTTGATGAGCCAGTCGACAGCAGTACACTCAACGCCACATTCTTCACGGTGCAGAACGGCCGTGTGCAAGTAGTGGGTGCGTACCTGACGCTGACGGGCGGCTGGACACTCAGTGAGAACGGACTGCGTGTCGTCATGGACATCACCCAGGACGACTTGAACGAGATTAAACGCCTGCAGCCGCTGTTCACCCACCGCAACAACTCCTACCTGACTGTGCACACCGGCGCTGTTCTCGACATGAATGCCAATCCGCAGGTGGAAATCCGCGACGGGGACGCCAAGCGGGCCAGCGTGTTTGTGGAGGATACGATTCGACCGCGACTCGAGGCCTTTGACCTAGACATGGACGGCTCGCCGTACCTGACACTGTACTTCAACGAGACTGTGTTCATCTACAGCGTGGACTTCACCTGCTTCAGCATACAGGCAGCACTGGACAGTCACTCCGACCCGCAGCTGGCCTACAATCTGACTGGCGGCTCGCTGACCATGCCGGATCGTGTGCTCAACGACAGCGGCGTCATGATCGACACGAACGCATATCTACCGTCCAAGGTGTACCAAGCGTACAGCAGTGCACCCGCCGCGTTCAACTCCACCGTCGTCATAGTGAACATCACGCTTGACGACGCCAACGAGCTGAAGCGGCTGAGAATCGCGTCGGCGCGCAGCAAGGCCTTCCTGACGGTGCGCCCGTGCGCCATGCGTGACATGTCCGGCCATCAGGTCATTGCTGTTGTGGATGGCGTAGACTCGTTGCCAGTGCGCAGGTTCACCGACGACAGCACGCCACCGCAGCTGCAGTCGTTCTCCTTGAACATGAACACGAGCGTTGCCAGCCTGTCGTTCTCCGAGACGGTAAACTCCATCGGCCGTCACGCTTCCACTCTCACCCTGCAGTCGTATGCGAATGTCACGTCCGATCAGCCTCTCCTGTTCTACAGACTCAGCGATGACAGTAAGTTTGAGCGTAAGCACAGCACGGTCATCGACGTCACTATCAGCGTCGATGACATGAATCAGCTGAAGCATCGTCTCGACCTGGCCACCTCGGCCAACAACACCTACATTTCGCTCACTGAGCTGGCGATTGCTGACATGCGCGACAATCTGATTACGGAAATACCCATGCACGAGGCGTTGAAGGCGTACAACTTCACCGAAGACTCCACGTCTCCTCGGCTGGTCCGGTTCAGTCTTGATATGAATGCCGCCACCCTGACGCTTGTTTTCGACGAGACCATCAGTGCCAGGTCAATCAATGTAGGACAGCTGAAGCTGCAAGACTTGTGGTATTTGTTCTCGTGGCGAACTCACTACGACCTGAGGGCTGCCAACTACTCGCGTAACGAGTCCACGGAGGTCGTCCTGACGCTTTCCGAGACCGACATGAACGAAATCAAACGTCTGACAACGCTCGCCCTCAACCAGAGCACGACGTTCCTGTCTGTGACTCCCGGCTTCATCACTGATGTCAACAACAATCAGATTCAGCAGGTACTGAACACCAGTGCAGTGCCAGCCAGCGGCTATGAGGTGGATCGTACTGATCCGGCCCTGGTCAACTTTCACCTGGACATGGATACACATCGACTGACACTATACTTCTCCGAGACAGTGCGTGCCTCTAGTCTCAGCGTTGATCAGATCACACTGCAGAACGCGGCCGATTGCGGAGTGGCAGCAGATTGTGAGCTGCGGCCGCTAACACCGATGCCAAACCAAGTCCTGACTCCAGACGCTACCTATCTCACCATTCAACTCACCACCGACGACGTGAACTACATGAAGCAATTCCCGGACTTTGCCCGCAATGGCAGTGGGGACACTTACATAGTCGTCACTCCGACAGCAGTGACGGACATGTCCTCTGCTCGGAACAAGCTCGTTGCCATCAACGCAAGCAATGCACTTGAAGTGCAGACGTTCGTTGCAGACAAGACTGACCCACGCTTGGTGTCCTATTCCCTGGATCTCACCAGTGAAGTGCTTGCATTGACCTTCTCCGAAACAGTCAACGCCACTTCTCTGGACCTCGCTCAGCTGAGCCTGCAGGGTGCTCAGCGTATTGCCGCACCGGCCGATGGCATAACCCTGAATGTGGGTAGCGGTACAGATGCTTTCCGCACCACTGTCAACATCACGCTGGACACAGCGTTCCTGAACATTCTGAAGCAACGCCGGGACATCGGCACCGGAAGGACGAACACATATTTGACGATCAGTCCGCGTGCCATCCTGGACATGTTTGAGAATCCGGTAGTACCGGTCACGTTCACGAATGCATCACAGGCTGATGTGTACACGGCTGACATGGTGCCTCCCACTCTGCAGGCGTTCGACCTGGACATGAACACGGCAACACTGACGCTAATCTTCTCGGAAACTGTCAGCTCCCCGTCCTTCCGTCTTGATCAGATCACACTACAGGGCGACAACTCGTCAGCGACAGCAACTGATTCCGTCACACTAAGCAGACCAATCTCAGTGAGTTCACTCAACTCAACAGAACTCGTCATTGTTCTCTCGCTGCAGGACATGAATGCCATCAAGAAGGCACCAGAGCTTGCCAGAACAGAGCTGGACTTGTATCTAGCAATGTCATCGCAAGCCGTCACCGACATGAACAGCAACCGGGTTGTCGCCAAGCTCTCCTCCAACTCGCTTGCCGTGCGCAACTTCACTGAAGACTCCACGCCACCTCGACTAGAACACAGCCACTTTGACATGGACTCCGGCACGATCACGTTCTCTTTCTCTGAGACGATGAACAGCTCTTCCGTTAGCATTTCGGAATTGACACTACAGCCGCAAGAAGACGGTTCATCAGCCGATCCACTCCTTTACCTCTTCACCTACACACTGGTAACGGGAACTCGTTCTCTGGCCGACAGTTCGGTCATCACCATCTCCATTCCCCACGCAGAGCTCAACACCATCAAGTCATCAGCACACATCTGCAGGAACGGCACCAGCTGCTACTTCTCGTTCGCGTCGTCGTTCATCACCGACATGCAGGGTATCCCTGTCGTCAACATCACAATCGATCAAGGAAGCAAATTCACAAACTTCACTGCCGACACAACACCTCCGAAACTAATCACCTTCGACTCATTCAACTTGACCAGTGGTGTGTTCGAGATTGGCTTCGATGAGACAGTGAACATTGGTACGCTCAACTTCACTGGGTTCATGTTGCAGGATTTCTTCCGTGACACCAGCCGTGTGCTGGTGCTGAGCCAGGGGAGCACGGTTGGACAGAACGGTACGAACGTAGAGCTGACCCTGACACGGTCGGACTTTGACACCGTGCGACGGCGCAAGACGCTGTGCGCCCGAGAGAACAACTGTTGGGTGACCGCCAGCACGGGTGCCATTGAAGACATGTTTGGCAACAAGCTGCAAGCAGTAGTCAACGGACAGGGTCTGGATGCCGCCACGTTCTCACCCGATATTGTCAGTCCACGCTTGCTAAACTATTCACTGGATTTGAACAGCGGACGCCTCGTTGCAACGTTCTCCGAGCCAGTGGATCTGGAAACGTTCACGGCTGAAGGCTTCACGGTCCAGTCACTTGGCAACGCCAGTAGCTACACACTGCAGACTAGCATGGCCAGGTCAGATGATTCTCTCGTCGTGAACATCACCCTATCGGCGATGGACCTGCAGAATCTCAAGGTCTTGCCTTTGGCCAAGACAGCGGGCGACACGTTCCTGAGCGTTGCATCCACCGGCATAGCTGACTTTGCCGAGCCAGTACCGAATCCGGTGGAGGAGATATCAGAGTTGGAGCCTCTACCTGTTTCCGGGTACGTTGCAGATCAGGAACCGCCGATCATCACTGCGTTTGTGTTCGATGCTGACTCTGATCAGCTGGAGCTGACATTCAACGAGCCAGTATTTGTTTCTAGTGTGGATCTGACCAAACTAAACATCACAGATGGTCGTGCAATGCGGACAGTGTCACTCTCGCAGAGTGCAGTGTCCACCAATGATTCCGACAACGGGGTTCTCTCCGTGACGATTCAAATTTCCCGCACTGATTCCTTGCAGATCCATCGAGCGTGGCCGCTGGCCAGCAGGCAAGACCTGACAGTTCTAGACTGGAGTGCTGCATTCTTGAGCGACACTTCGCAGGTTGACATTCTGGCAAGACAATTGGCCACTGGAGTGTTCATCCCGGACACGTCGCAGCCTGCCGTGGAGAGCTTTGTCCTAGACATGGATGCACCTGAACGACTGACCATCAACTTTGATGACATCATCGTTGCAGCCACAGTCCAGGCTGAAGGCGTGATCCTGCAGGATGCACCTGCACACAATCACAGCTTCAATCTGAGGCGCAGCAGTGGACGACTGTTCGGTAGCCTGGACGACTACTCAGTCACTATAGGACTATCACGGGAAGACTCTGACGCTCTGAAGTACGACAGTGACTTGGTGACGGAACTCAACAACACCTACTTGGCCGTACGGTCGAGCCTTGCACGCGATCGTGGAGGATATGATGTCGTCGCCATCACGGATGGCAATGCCATTCTGGCTAAGGATTACATTGGTGATAACACCACGCCGCGGCTAGTTGGCTGGGATCTCGACTTGGATGCACCGGCCACCGTGACGCTGTCCTTCTCCGAGACCGTCAACACTGCATCTTTGAACATCAGCGGCCTAGCAGTGCAGAATATGCTGGGCACTGCACCAAGCCACCGTGTCACACTTTCTACTGAGGAGCGCTATCCAAACGGGTCTGATTCGCAGAGTGATAACAGTTCGGTCGTAACCGTGCGCCTGGGCGACGTCGACTCAAATCAGATCAAACTCCTCGAGCAACTGGCCGTGAGCGAATCAACAACTTGGTTGAGCGTAGACAGCGGTGCTGTGCTTGACATGGCTGACCTGCCGCTGGAGGAGATAGCCAGCGGGCAGAAAGTGAATCAGCTGACGAATGACACGACTTCTCCACGACTGCTCCGCTTCTCGCTGGACTTGACTGATGAAGAGCTTGTGCTGACGTTCGACGAGACAATGGATGTCAGCAGTCTGGAGGTGCACGGCATTGCCATACAGAACGGATCTATCCCAGACTATTATCTACATAAGCGACGCTTTCTGAGCAAGGAGAGTGGAACCAATGCGATTAGCTCGGATGGTACAATCGTACGGATCAAGATCAGCACCGAGGACTTGAACGCCATCAAGCTTAACCCGGCGCTGGCTATTAGCACAGCGTCGACGTACCTGGTGCTCAGAGCATTTGCCATTACAGACATGTTTGGCAATTTGGTCGTGCCAAGACCTGAGACTGATGCTATCGCTGCATGGGACTTTGAGCAGGATCGCATCGCGCCAGTTCTGGACACGTTCAGCCTGAATCTGACGTCCGAAGAGCTGCGCCTCACGTTCTCAGAGACTGTGGACGTTACAACCTTGTTCATATCCAATCTCATGCTGGCATCCAGTGATAATGAGTCTATTGCTATCACGCACACACTCCAATTTGGAGCTGCACCTCTGTACAGCCGTACATCATCAGGAGACGGCACGCTGGTCGTTGTTGAACTCGGAGAGCTAGATCTGAACGCCATCAAGTTCCAGAGAGGCCTGGCCACGAGCAACGGCAGCACGTTCTTGATCTTCGACAACACCACCATTACGGACATGAATGCCAATGCAGTGGAGGCACGCACAGCCCAGGATCCCCTGCCAGCCAGTAACTTCTACCCGGACACGGTGCCACCGGTTCTGCGCACGTTCACACTGGACATGGATAGCCTCCGTCTCGAGCTGACGTTCTCCGAAACGGTGAATGTCAGCTCTCTGCGGGAGGATTCCATTGCCATCAGATCCTCCCCGCTACCCACTGCAAGATTTGTAGATCTCACCGGAGGTGTTTCATCACCAGTTGATTCAACGGTCGTTACCATGTACATCACGGCCACAGATGGTAATAACCTGAAGCTGTACGCGAACCTGGCGGCCAGCAATGCAACCACGCATCTCACTGTCCAAGGTGCCGGAGTACGCGACATGAACGGCAATGCCATTCGGCAGATCGACTTCTGGCAAGCTGTGCCTGCCTCAAACTTCACCGAGGACATCACCTCTCCAATGCTGGACTGGTACACACTAGATATGGATGATGGTAACTTGACGCTTTTCTTCAATGAGACCGTGAACGCCACCAGCTTCAGCGTGGCAGAAATCACTCTGCAGAGCGAGATGGCGTGGGAGCCAGACGTGCAAAGCGTTCAGCTGACTCCGGGCGTTCCCGCACAGTTCTCATCGCATGTTGTCGACGACGGCACGTGGATAACGGTGTGGATAGGCCGGGACGACCTGAACATTATCAAGCAACGAGAGCAACTTGCCATCAGCAACATGTCCAGCACTTTCTTGACATTCCCCGAGGTTCTTGTCAACGATATGAACGGCAATGCTGTACAAGAAATCAACAACACGCATGCCAAGCCGCTAGCATTCTATGAGGAAGACACAACACCACCAGTGCTGCGGAGCTTCGACTTGGACATGGACAAGCAGACCATCACGCTGTCGTTTGACGAAACGGTACGGGCATCACAGACACGTCCCCTTGGATTTGTGCTCCACTCCACGCCCGTAAATGCCACCGGGGCTGAGAGTCATCGCTTGAGCAGCGCTGGACTGAATCGCACCAGTGTGCCCAATGCCCCTGTTGTCACATACCAACTAGCATCCGCTGACGTGCACGCCATCAACCGCCTTCGGTCGCTGGCCGTTTCACGCAATACCACGTTCCTCACGCTCCACAAGCCCAGTGTGTACGACATGGACAGCAATTCTGCGGAGACCATCACACGACGTCAGGTCACTGTGTACGAAGAGGATCGCACATCTCCACGCCTGGTCTACTTTGAAGCTGACATGCACGGTGGTGAGATTGTGCTGCGATTTGACGAGATTGTCGACTACCTGTCCTTCAACGTGTCGTCGTTTGTTGTGCAGAATGACCGGGCATCAAACATTGGTGTTCGTTTGGCAACATCTCTGAAATCAGCTCTGCCTGACGGTCTGGAGATGGTTATTGAAATCTCGGAGTCAGACCTCAACGAGATCAAACGTATTGATCAGCTGCTCGTGGACAACACCACATCCTTCATTAGCTTTGATTCAAGTGCAGTAGCTGACACGAACAGCAACAGGGTTGTTGGTCTTCCCAACGGGCAAGCACGAGTGGCCGATGTGTTCAGGGGTGACTCGGCCCTGCCCAGTGTGCGCTCGGCGCATCTGGACATGAACCGCGGCGTTCTGACGGTGTACTTCAGCGAAACGCTGAACATCTCCTCCCTCAACATCAGCGGTTTCTCGCTGCAGAACGGCGACGATTGTGCTGCGGATTCGTACTCGCTGACGCTCAAATCCCTGGTCAACGAGACTAGCTTACACCGGCGCTCGACGGACATTGGTAACTCACCACTGCCGGTCTGGAGTACTGATTTCAACTACGCCAACGCATTGCGTATTGTCATTGGACTGGACGACCTGAATGAGATCAAGGCCCGGCTGATAGGCAGGAATCCCCAGACGAGCCACCTCACAGTGGGAAACTCTGCCCTGTACGACATGAATGGTAATGAACTGGAGGAAGTGGACTGTACACGGCCCAAGGGCGCGACGTACGTGTACGACGTTACGCCCCCCGAACTGCAGCACTTCAACCTCAGCATGCACGATGGCCTCCTAACCATGCTCTTCAGCGAAACGGTGAACGCCGGAAGTCTTCGCGTGGACGGCATCATCCTGCGCAACCACTTCAACGAATCCACACAGTTTTACCGGCTGACAAACACGTCTCTTACTAACGATACATTTGGCCCAGTCCTCATCGTGCACATCTCAGAATCAGACCTCAACGAGATCAAACGGACGAATCATCTTGCCACCAGTCAATCAACAACGCACATTGAACTTGAGCCAGCCACCATTCTGGATGCAGCCGAGAGCGGAAACAAACAGCTTGTGGTCTCGGCGGATCGAGCCCAGCAAGTGCTTGGCTTCACAGCGGATACCAGAGCGCCGGTGCTGCGATCATTCACCGTTGATATGAACGCTGGCCTGATACACTTGAGCTTCGATGAAACCGTGCGTGGCTTGTCACTCGACCCTAGAGTCCTGCAGCTGCAGAATGATAGGTTCTTCGGTAACACCAGTGGAGTGGCGTTCACTCTGCGTGGCCAGCGTATGCCTGCTGATGCAAACAGCACAGATATCACTGTCAACATGACCAGCAGAGACTTGAATCAGGTCAAACAATACACGCCGCTCTTCGTCAGTGCCGACACGTCCTTCGTCTCGTTCCCCGCGGCGTTCCTCGCGGATATGAACAACAACCCGGTGAGTGAGGTGCTGCAGGACAATGCTTGGCAGGCTCAGAGCTTCATCAACGACACCACTCACCCCGCGGTGACTGGATTTAATCTCAACCTGACCAGCGAAACACTCGTGCTCTTCTTCTCCGAGACATGCAACGTGCAGTCATTTGTAGCATCCACTATCACGGTACATAACAACAATATGTCTGGATCTCTAGTGGAGAGGCAACTTTCTCTGGGCAATGGCCGTCTTGAGAGCACGGTGAACAGCACAAGCCTGACTTGGAAGCTGAGCACCGAGGATCTCAACGACATCAAGGCAAAGCGTCACCTTGCCACCGAGCAAAACAACACGTACCTGCGCTTCACTGCTGCAATGCTGACCGATATGAACTCCAACGCGGTCACCGCTCAGGATGCATTGAGGGTTGATGCACTTGGTGGCGATAGCATCCGGCCTCGCTTGACAAACTGGACCCTGGATGTAGATGAAAGTGGATCCCTGGTGCTGACGTTTGATGAAACTGTTGATTTGGACTCTGTTAATGTGAGCAGCTTAACCATACAGCGCAGTGCAAACAGTGTGGCTAATGATAGGTTGTCACTATCTTTAGGCGTGACACCAAATACGACCGTAATCACAGCGCCAACGTTGACAACTATCTCCGTGCTACTCAATCACTTGGATCTGCACCAGCTGCAGCGGCTGTATCGCATTGCAGGCAGTCCTGAAACATCCTACATTTCCCTTCAGCGTGATTTCATATCCGACTCGGCCGGGAATCCTCTTGTGGACATCAACAATGGCGATGGCGTGCTGGCTGCTGGCTATACTCCAGACACGACACGTCCATCTCTAATCGCGTTCGATCTTGACTTGGACGCATTCCTGCTCACACTCCACTTCGACGAGGTCGTCAATGCCAGTACGTTGTGGCTGCCTGGTCTTGCACTGCATAGCGATGACATCAGCACACAGGCCAACAGCACAATCAACCTAACAGCTGATGGCAGCATGCACAGCAAGGTCAACGACCTGAATGTCAGCGTGACACTGTCCGTGGAGTTTGTCAACGACCTGAAGCGCTACACAGCCATTGCCACCAGTGCTACAAACACCTACATCTCGCTCAGCAATGAGACCATTGACGACATGGCTGACAATGCGGTTGTGCCTCGTCTGCCTGACATCGCTCTACCAGTCGGCATGTACATGAATGATACCACATCGCCTGAACTGGAGTGGTTTGACTTCGACCTCAATCAGGGGCAGATTCACATGCTCTTCTCGGAAACGGTGGACGCCCAGTCGCTGGACCTGAGCGAGGCTGTTCTGCAGCGCAACGCCAGCCTGGTGCAGAGTGGTGTGTTCATGCATGTGATGCAGAACTGGACCGTGTTCAGCCACGACAGTACACTGGTGTCCGCTCAGCTGTCGCAGGGAGATCAGAATGTTATCAAGCAGCTGCGCCAGCTGTGCATCTCCGGTGCGACGACGCACATCAGCTTCGGCACTGGCGCTATTCGTGACATGCAGGGCAACCCCGTGATGGAGATCTCCTCAGAGAGCGGACGCCGTGTCGGGAACTTCACAGACGATGATACCAATCCACAGCTGGTGGACTTTGTCCTCGACGTCAATGAGGCAGAGCTGAGACTGACGTTCTCCGAGACAATGGACTGGACTAGCGTCGACCTGGGTGTGAATCGCACACTGCCGTTTGTTCGCCTGCAGAGCAACGCAAACGTGCCGCTAACAACCGCCACAACGCAGCAGGTCTTCCTGGGAGGTAGCAACAGTTCGCAGGATGACAGTGTATTCGTGACAATTGGCGTCAGTGAGCACGATCTTAACCAGTTAAAGTTCAAGACAACGCTGGGAACTGGCACATCCGACACATTCCTCTATCTAAACGCACAGTTTGCCAAGGACATGCGAGGCAATGCCGTAGCAGCACAGGTGCCTGCCAAGCCAGCTATGGACGTCGTCGACGACTCTGTTCCACCGCGACTGGACGGGTTTGAGCTGGATATGAACACCGGTCTTGTGCAGCTGACGTTCTCCGAGGCTGTCACTAACATCGCCGTCACATCGCTGTCGTTTGTTCACAACAACAATGTCAGTCAGACGAACCTCACCTATGACATCACTGGCTCTGCGAGCGGTGTGACGGGTGACGTGATCGACAGTGGACATGCACCGCAGGCACAATTCTACCTAAACACATTTGATCTGAACAACATCAAGCGAATAGACGGACTCGCCGACTCTAATCCCACCACCCACGTCACCATCGAGAGCTCGTTTGCAAATGACTTTGCACCTCTGGACATTGATCCCATCCTCTCCACCAGTGCACTGGAGGCATCCGTATTCGTTCCGGACACCACCAACCCTACTCTGCAATCGTTTGACTTCATCTTCGATCAGTCGCTGATCTCGCTGACCTTTGATGAAGTGGTTAGGGCAAACACTGTACGTTCTCTCGGCATTACCTTTGTCTCCGACCCTGGTATTTCTGCACAGAGGTACCGACTGCAGACAGTGTCATCCGTCATGCCTGGCGCGGAGAGTTCCATTGTCGATTACGACGACACGGTCGTCAACGTGACGCTCTCCGTGCGCGATATGGATGAGCTGAAACGGGACCCGGCGCTGGCCACTGGACCCAACACAACGTACATCAGCCTGGATGACGACAGCGTACGCGACATGGCCGGCAACGGACTACGCAACGCCAGCACACCACGCAAGGTGCGTGTCTACATCGCCGACGCCACACCACCAGAGCTGGCACGCTGGTCACTGGACATGGACACTCAGCCGATGCTGAACCTGACGTTCACGGAGATCGTCCGAATGAGCTCATTCCGTGTTCCTGCAATCACACTACAAATGCATTCAGGTAATGACACGGGTAGTTACATACTCAACGGAACAAGTTCAGTGAGAACCAGCTTGGCTGATGACACTGTTGTGCAGATCACGATTGGCGACGGCGATAGCAACGCCATCAAGAAACTGCGACTGGCCACGCGCTACGACAACAGTCACGTGTCGTTCGGCGCCAATCTCGTGCGCGACATGAACAACTTGACGGTGGTGCCCATTGACATGACGATGGCGCTGGAAATGCTGGAGTCCGACTACACTGCAGATACTACTGATCCCCTGCTCACCGGATTCCATCTGGACATGAACACTGCACAACTGAAGTTGACATTCACCGAAACCATGGATCACGTCTCGTTGAGCCGTAACATCGATGCCATCCGCGTGCACAACAGCTTTGATCCGCTAGTCGGGCAGAGTGTCCAGCTGAGCTCTGGCCGTCGCAACACCGTCACACCCGATGACTCCACCGTTCTGATCGTCCAGCTTGGCCGAGAGGACATGGACGACTGGGACCGAATCAAGCTGCTGCAGCAACTTGCCACGTCGGCCTCGGATACATTCATCACCATTGCATCCATGCGACTGCACGACATGGCACATCAGCCGCGTTTCATCCAGCTGGTCACGGATGATGCAGACGCTAGTTCATACGTACCGGATACGGTCTCACCATCGCTTCGTAGCTACTACATCTCCATCAATGACTCTCTGCTCATTCTGAACTTTGACGAACCGGTCGATGTCAGCACATTGAAGATCCAGAATGTCCGCTTCCAGTCAGCCGAGGATGCACTGAACGCACTGCAGGCGTATACCCTGATGGCCGGCACGAGTCAGTCCCAGGACGGCCGACAAGTCTCGGTCGACCTAGACATTGCCGACTTGAACGAGATCAAACGTCTTGATCAACTGCTCGTCAGCCAGGAGACGGCCTACCTCAGCTTCGGCCAGGATCTTATTGTTGACATGGTTGGCCGCAAGGTTCAGCCGATCCTCTCCAGTCTGGCAAAGGACATGTTTACTTACGAAAACGATACGACAAGACCACGTATTTCATCCTTCCATCTTGATATGAACATCGGGTATCTTCACTTGACGTTTCCCGAGACCATGGACGCATCCAGTGTGAACTTTTCCGCTATCGTTCTTCAGTCGTCATCGGCTGTTGCGGAGAATGGTTCGTCATATCAGGATGTTGGACTGGGCTCACTGCTCAGATTGCAGAATGATTCCACCGTTGTCACGATCGTCGTTCACAATGACAATCTGAATGAGATCAAGCGAAAGGAGATCGGCAGTCAGCGGACCACCAGCTGGCTTGTCTTTGGTATGTCCGCGATTTCCGACATGAACGGCCTCGAGGTTCTGCCGCGCGTGAACCGCGTTTCGGCACTGGTTGCACGGCAGTATACGTACGACCGAACCCGGCCGCGACTACTCCTCTGGAGCCTAGACATGGACGCCAGTCAGCTGACAATGTCCTTCAGTGAGACGGTCACGGTGGCGAGTTTTGATGTGCCGTCGCTGGTTATCCAGTCACATAAGAACTACACGGTCACAGATGTGGAGAGAGTTCACTTGAATACAAGCAGCACTGTTGTCACAGTGCAGGATGGCCCGATCATTGTCGTGCAGCTGGGCGTGGAGGACGCCAACAACCTGAAACTACGCACTGGCCTTGCGACGTCAACTGACAACACGTACCTGACGTACATTGCAGGCACGGTGCATGACATGCAACAGAACTATCTCGAACCTGGCACTCTCCAGGCGGGCAACTTCACTAGGGACACGACAGCTCCTAATCTGCTGGCGTTTGGCCTGGACTTGGATTCGGGCAATTTGACGTTGACGTTCGACGAGGTGGTGAATGCCACCTCGCTGGAGAGGACCTCCATCATCCTGACCTCGCCGCTGAACACAGTATTGCAGGTTAACTTGACCGGTGGACTGTTGGTGGAGTGCTTTGGCACGGTGGTGTCACTCATACTCAACGATCTCGACATCAATTTGGTCAAGTTCCAGATTCCGCAGCTGTGCACGAATGACAATAACTGCGCAGTCAGACTACTGCCGGAAGCCATTGCCGACGTCTCTGGAAACTACTTCAACTTCACCGGCCAGATGTTGCCGATCGTTGCAGGACAGCTTGTTGGAGACACCACACCGCCCGCTCTGGTCTCCTTTGACCTCGACCTGGATAACGGGCAACTGATGCTCACAATGTCGGAGCACGCTCGGGCTAGGAATGACCGGGAGCCGTACAAGGGCATCTTTCCGACGGCCATCTCCATCCAAGCTGGCCGCTTCTCCAGCGATACATTCACACTGGCCAACATCACCGATATGACTGCCATTGAGCGGTTCTGGTTTGATGGCACAGCCGTGCGCTACACACTAACGGGTGGATCGACTAACAACAGTGCATCGACATCAAACACCATTGGATACCCTCCCGTAATCGTGGTGGATCTGAACACGGTTGACCTCAACGTTCTGCGTAGCCTGCACCGCGTGGCCACGTCTCGATTCAACACCTTCATCTCCATCACCGACGACATGTCAGTCGATTCGCTCACCGGTCGTCGCAACGCTATCATCGCCAACGGCAACGCTACACAAGTGCGTCTGTTCACCGGGGACACGACACAGCCGACTCTGACCGGCTTCAGCCTGGATATGGACGCCGGGTTCGTTGATTTGACGTTCTCGGAAACCGTCAATGTATCGTCGCTGCAGCCCACGGCATTCATCCTGCAGGGCGACCGAACTCTCTCCAACTCACTTGTACTCGCCGGCAGTACATCCACCAGTCAGGATAATCCTCTAGTGCATTTTCTACTGTCTAAGGATGATCTCAACAGCTTGAAGTTGAACCGTATGATAGCCACATCTCGCAACAACACTTACCTCTCAATGTCACCGCTGGCCATTGCCGACATGGCCGGCAATGCGGTCGTGGAGATAACCTCTCGACTGCCGCAGCAAGCTGCCGTCTTCGGTGGCTTCACGGAGGATTCGAATCACCCCGTGCTGGACACGTGGAATCTGGACCTGAACACGGCGATGCTGGACATGACGTTCAGCGAGGCCGTGGACAGCAAGACGCTGCGCCCGCAGGAGCTCTACCTTCAGGACTACGAGCTGGAGCAGAGCGCCGGCTACCGGATTCGCAACGCCACAACGCCCACGGTGGACGGCACGGTCATGTCGGTGAAGCTATCCGACGGCGACCTGAACAACATCAAGGTGATGGATTTGTGCACACACTCTGCTGACGGGGCTGACTGCTACCTGTCCTTCTCCACTAGCCTTGTGCAGGACATGAATGAGAATGTCGCGCAAGACGTTCAGAATGGCAATGCGACCCCCGTGTCCACGTACGTGCGCGATACAATCTCCCCGAGCATTCTCGGCTACGACATCTTCATGTCCAACGGCGAAGTGCGAATCTCGTTTTCAGAGTCCGTCAACGTTACGTCCTTCAATCCCACGGCGCTGTCATTCAACCCGTCCGCCGTGGCGAACAATCCACACAATCTCACTGGAGGAAACCGCATCACAACCGCCAATGGCCTGCAGTTGCACTTCACGTTCCGGCGCGACGACTTGGAGTTGTTCCGCATGACGCCAAACTTCCTGAACAGCGGTTTCAACACCTACATGAGCGCTCTGCCGTTGACCATCCGGGACATGGCGGACAACGCACTCGCGTTCTTCCCCTCGTTTGGACCGTTTGACGACCCGACGCTGTTCGTTCCGGATTCCGTCTCGCCGCAGCTGACGAACTTCTCGCTTGACATGGACTCCGGGCTACTGAACCTGACCTTCTCCGAGTCCGTCTCTTCCTCCCTGGCCCTCACGGAGATCACACTGATGGACTCGTTCGTTGGGAGCTCGTCTTTCACGTTGCGCGGCGGTCGTGTGCTGCAATCTAGCAGCCACTATGAACTGTCAGTGCTCATGACGCAAGCCGATGTCTTCATCATTCAAGCCGATGACACCCTGGCCAAGAGCCTCGACACCACGTGGATCGCTCACACCAGCGCTCTCACTCGGGACTCGGGCAACAACGACATCCGGCCGCGCGTCAACGGCACGAACGCCACCAGAGCGGGTGCGTACAACGCCGACGTGACCGATCCCCAAGTGTTTGTGTTCCAGCGTTTGGATCTGAACAACAGAGAGTTGATTGTGTTCTTCAACGAGCCGGTCAACATCACCGGAGCCAACCCCACCCTGTTCAGAATACAGCAGTTCTCCAACAGTAGCGGTGTGCAGTATCAGCTCACCGGAGGCACGTTCTCGTACGACACACGCTCGTCGGGGGTCCTGTTCCCTCTGCGCACTCCTCGCTCGGTGATCTTCCTGAGCTTGACGCCGCAGGACTACAAGTTCCTCGTGCTGAGCGCCCAGATAGCTACAACAACGACAGACTCTAATCTAGTGCTGCCCAAGGGTGCAATCCTGGACATGGCTGGAAACGACTTAGTGGAGGTGTTCTCCGCAAGGGGACAGCCCGCCGCCGAGTTCCTGAAGGACGAGAGCCAGCCGAGCTTGCAGCGCTTCGAGTTTGACCTGGACAGCGGTGAGGTGACACTGTCCTTCCATGCTGTGCTGGATGTGCTGACAGTAGATGCCAGAGCACTCATCATACAGGATAACACAACTTCCAGAGTGCAACACCAGCTGCAGGTCGGTAGCACAAACAGCTCTAATGACTTCACCATCGTTGTTCGCATGAGCAATGCCGACCTCAACGAAATCAAACGTCAGACGTCCTTGGCCACCGGCCTGGCAAACACGTTTGTTCGCGTCGCTGCGTCCTTCATCGACGGTGTCTCCGGCCGAGACATCATCGCAGTGACGGACGGTAATGCACGCAAGGCATCAAACTTCACCGGGGATACAACCGCTCCTCGCATGACCAACTACACCTTGGATTTGAACCAAGGCATGCTGCTCATCACATTCGACGAAACAATAAACTCGGAAAACTTCAACCTGACACGGCTATTCGTTCACAACCTGGCGGCTAATGCCACCGTATCGTATCAACTATCCGACAACAGCACACTGCTGAGCAACGATGGCCCGGAGATGATCATCTCGCTCAATTTTGTGGACCTGAACGCGATCAAGCTGATGACGACGCTTGCCACGGGCTATCACGATTCGTTCGTGTCGTTTGACCATCTCCTCGCCAAAGACATGTCAGGTAATGCAGTTATCGGCATCAGTAACTCCACAGCGCAGGGCATCATCGGGCAGCACATCCCGGACACAACGTCACCTCAGCTGGTTGAGTTTACTCTCGACATGGACGGCACGCCGAGACTCTCGCTGACATTCAACGAAGCTGTCAACACCGACACCCTGGACTCCAGTCATGTCCAGCTGCAGGAAACGATCGACACGCTCGGCGGAGGGGTTGTTGTTCTGTCCACGGCCAGTGTCACGATATCACCTAATGGTTACATTGTTCACATCGACCTGACCAGGTTAGCACCCACCCACACCCACACATACACACACACACACACACACACACACACACACACCATTGGACCATTGGACGCCCATTGCCAGAGGCGATGATAGCGATGCTACAGCAGAAGCCATAGCAACTTGTGCTGGGATTGCACCATTCAATAGCTTGCAAGGCTGAAGAATTGACCGCCACTATTCAGCCTGGTCTACACCACACAGCTATGAAGTGGCTTTTTCTGGCCAGTGAATCCCTACTTTTTGGTCTTTTTTCATATTTTTTCCACACACACATCACACCACATAAGCGGGATTCACAGAAGCTTTTTTGCGATGCGACACGCGATGCGACGCGATCTGCGACGGACGCGTGCGATGCGAACTCGCGAAATACCATTCACAGAAGAAGTCAGCGATGCGACAAATTTTTGCAAAGTCTTTCTGATTTGAGTACGTCACCATGATATTTGCGCGGTTTGGTACAACCTGTACAAATTTATAGGCAACTGTTGCACCTTTGTACAACTTTGCTGTAGAAAAGGTCAAAATCGTACGCCAAATCGCTTGTCGCATCGCATCGCATCGCAAAAGTTGAGCCAAGCTCAACTTCTGCGATGGCCAGCGATGGCCCAGTTGCGGCAGTTGCGTGGGGTGCGACATGGCTGCGATTTGGGGTTTTCCCGGTTTCGCGCCTGTCGCATCGCGTGTCGCATCGCAAAAAAGCTTCTGTGAATCCCGCTATACTCCGGCATGCACTGGCTGTTGGTAACCACCCAGGAGATTGAAAGAAAAGTCAGGAGGAGTCTGAGAAAGAGAAGAAAGACGTGTGTGACCATAATCGTCGGGAATCGAACCCGCAACCTATCGATTGGAAATCGCTGCACATACCACTGCACCATATGGGACACACACACACACACACACAACCACTGTGATGCCTGCTTGCAGTACTTTCAATGGACCCAATTTGATAGGCTTGGACTTTAGTGTGGAAGGGCTATTGTGCTGCAAGATATTTCAATTGTGCTTGTCTACGACCCAGTTACAATTTCTGAGGATCAGAAATTGTTCTTTCTTTCAAACCATTCAAAGGTAGAGCGGTCTGTCAATAGTGGCGTGTATTGAACTCACATTGGTGCTACAGTTAACTTCGCTTATAACGACACTCGGCGGCGGGGCATCAGAAAAGTGTCCTTATTCGCGAAGTGTCCTCATACCCGAAGTCTCATTACATGTATTACAGTTGGATGGGACTTTGCTCTGGGCATGGAAATTCTGTCGTTATTCGCGAATTGTCGTTATATCCGCAGTCGTTATTAGCAAAGTTGACTGTACTTGCAAACGGCATACGTGTGACGTACAAGTACACTCAAAATTTGCCAGTTGATTGCTTCATTAGTGGGTCTGGGCCTGAACATTCCTCTTAGAACAGAAAGAAGAGAGTTCGGTATGCATCATGTTGCCTGATGATTGCGAGAGCAGGAAACTTGAAGTAGCAGCAAACAAGCCTTTATTGTCCTTGTTGTTCTGTTCTGTATGCGTCATGTGTAAGGATTTGCTGTCCTACCTTTCTTTTACTTGGCTCGTGATCGGAGTGCGTTTTGAACATGCTTTGTCTAATGGTGTTTATCATGCTTGCCACCAGAGTGCTGTGTTCTGTGTTTTGTGTTCTGTTCATGGTGTTGGTGTGTAGGTCACCAGAGTGCTGTGTTCTGTGTTTTGTGTTCTGTTCATGGTGTTGGTGTGTAGGTCACCAGAGTGCTGTGTTCTGTGTTTTGTGTTCTGTTCATGGTGTTGGTGTGTAGGTCACCAGAGTGCTGTGTTCTGTGTTTTGTGTTCTGTTCATGGTGTTGGTGTGTAGGTCACCAGAGTGCTGTGTTCTGTGTTTTGTGTTCTGTTCATGGTGTTGGTGTGTAGGTCACCAGAGTGCTGTGTTCTGTGTTTTGTGTTCTGTTCATGGTGTTGGTGTGTAGGTCACCAGAGTGCTGTGTTCTGTGTTTTGTGTTCTGTTCATGGTGTTGGTGTGTAGGTCACCAGAGTGCTGTGTTCTGTGTTTTGTGTTCTGTTCATGGTGTTTGTGTGTAGGTCACCAGAGTGCTGTGTTCTGTGTTCTGTGTTCTGTTCATGGTGTTTGTGTGTAGGTCGGACTCCAATAGAGTCAAGAAATACCGTGCACTGGGACAGAACATCTCTTCCACGTACCTCTCGCTGAGCAGCGGTGTCATTCGGGACATGAATAACAACACAGCATCTGTTGCCAGCCAGTTCAGTGCCCGCAGAGCCACCTGGGTAGCGCTGGACCAAACACCGCCGAACCTGCTTGCGTTCACAATTGACATGAACACCGGTGTGCTTTACATGGAGTTTGACGAGACGATTCTGGCGTCGAGCGTACGGCCGACATTGTTCACCCTGTGCTCAGTGAACACAACCTCCATGTCTTCGCCGCAGTGTTACACGCTGCGGAATGGCACGGCGAGCACACAGGACTCTTTCAGAATGTCTCTTGCGATGACAGTAACCGATGTCAATGCCATCAAGCTGATGAGTAATCTGTGTACCGACCGGAACAACAGCTTCTTGGCAATGAGGCCAGGCGCGGTCACGGACATGTCTCTGCCGACGGCCGTACCTGCCAACAGCGGTGTGGTGGCCGCTCTGAATCACACTGCAGACCGTACGCCGCCGCTTCTCACGGGCTTCCAGACCGACCTTCACATTGGCATTCTCACGCTGTCCTTCAACGAGCCAGTACTGAGCGACAGCCTCGAACCCAGTCGCTTTGTCGTGCAGTCTCTGACCTCGGCGTTCCTCACCGACCAGACGCAGTACAGGCTCCGCAATGGCTCTACGAACAGCAGCAACGGCGAGATAATCGAGCTGCAGGTTTCAGTGGACGACTTGAACGAGATCAAGAAGCGGGAAAACCTACTGATTAGTGAGGATACGTCCTTCCTGAGATATGACAATGACGCTATTCGTGACATGAATTCCGTTCCCATTGAATCGCGGCCGAGTACCAGCGCGGACAAGACGGGATCCTATCGCAACGATTCGGTCAGGCCTCGCCTGCTGCGCTTCAATATCGACATGGACGGCACGCCACTGCTGGAGCTGCAGTTTGACGAGACGGTCGACTACACGTCGCTTCGCCTGCCGTCTCTACGCTTGCAGGCTAGCAAGTCTGCACTGGAAACGAACAGAACGCACGACCTGTCACTGGCCTCCACCGTATACCGACTAGACGACACACGCATTCTGATAAACGTATCGCTCGACGACGCCAACACTCTCAAGTACATGCGTATTGCCGACGACCAATCGACGGCTTGGCTAGTAATGGACGAGACGGCAATACAGGATCAGAACCGGCAGTACGTGCTGCCAGTGCGTGACACGGCGGCATACCGTGCGTTCAGCTACCAGCCTGACAAGACACCGCCGAGCCTGCAGTCGTTCGTGCTCGACGTGGACGGCAGCGGGTCATTGACGCTATCGTTTACCGAGACCGTTCATACGGGATCTCTCAACCACACAGCTGTAATCATTCAGAGCAGAAAGAATCACACCGGCTTGCCCGAGACATCATTCACCCTGTCCCCATCAAGTACCATTCAAAGTCTAGACCGTCCGCAGGTTGTGGTGTCGCTCTCCAAGCCGGATCTGGATGAAATCAAGCGTTTGTTCAGTCTTGGCAACAGCATCAACGACACATACTTGTCATTGTCACGGCATGCCATCGCCGACATGACTGCTAATCGCGTCGTGGCTATACCTGCTCACGATGCACTTCAGGCACTGGCTGTGACACCTGACATTGGACCGCCATCGTTGCTGAGAGCCGATTTGAATCTGACGTCGGAGCAGCTAACTCTGCTCTTTTCGGAAACCGTCAATGTATCATCATTGGTCATACCTCAACTTCAGCTGCAGAACGACTCAGTCCGTGCTGGCAGCACGGTAGCATTTACTCTGACCAGTGGCTCAACTCTCGAGTTGGGATCACAGCATGCCGTATCACTAACCATTGACCTGGGACGGGACGATCTGAACGAGATAAAGCGCCTGACTGAGCTGTGCACGATGGGCGCAAACTGCCACCTGGTCATCCCGGCCACAGCACTACTCGACATGGCTGGCAACCCTATCATCTCTGTGCCGGTCAGCAATGCCCGGCGGATTGCAAACTTCACCGAGGACCGCATTGCACCGGAGCTAGATCAGTTCTATCTGGACATGGACAATGGCCTGGTAACTCTGATATTCAATGAGACAATGCGAGGATCAAGTCTTCAGCCGCTCGCCATCAGTCTTGTTGGCAGCCAATCGTCGAGCACATCCCGGGTACCACTGAGCGGTAGGAAAGCAGGCACCATTCCTGACTACACTGTCGTGCAGTTCTTCATCACCGATGATGATCTGAACAGCATCAAGCGTGACCTGACCGTGGCCCACAATGTGACAAACACCTACATCTCATTCACCAGCGGCATGCTACAGGACATGAACTTCAACAATGTGCTGCAACGCCCCATTGCTTTAGCCCTGATGACTAGCAACTTCACTGAGGACAAGACCGCTCCGGAGCTTGTTGCCTTCGACTTTGATCTGCTGCGTGGATTTGTGCACATGGACTTTTCGGAGACGGTGCGCGGACACACTCTGAACATTGTGCAGATCACGTTTGTTAACAACGCAACAGTCACGACGGAATCGTACACGATCGCCGTGCCACGACCTCTGCCCCGCGACGGCACTCGGCTGAGCGTGCGACTGGCTCCGGACGATCTCAACGCCATCAAGGCAAAGCGACTGCTTCTCACGCACGAGAACTCGACGTACCTGCAAACACCCGCCGGTTTGGTGCACGACATGAACAATAATTCCATGCAGCCACTGTTTCCCGGTATGAAGGTGAGGCAGTTCACTCCGGACACCGCTCCGCCGTACCTGAGCGAGTGGGAGATGGACATGGATCACCCTGCCGAGCTGCGCTTAAACTTCACCGAGACCGTCGACAAGGACAGCTTCAGGGTTGACGAGCTCTACTTAGTCAGCGGTGACCAGGGTAGGACGTCAGCATCCGTTGTCAATCTCACTACGGCCGGCATGAGTAGGCTAGTGACGGACGAGGACACGCCAAGTCTGGTGGTGTCGCTGGGTTTCGGCGATTCAAGCCACGTCAAGCAGCTCACCGAGCTGTGCACGCAGACCGACAACTGCTACATTTCATTTAACACGACGCTGGTAACGGACACGAGTGGCAATGCGGTCGGCGAGATATTCTCCCGGCAAGCCAGGGACTTCATCCCGGACACGACGCCACCGACTCTGGAGCGCTTTGTTGTGAACATGAACAGCCTGAACATTACGCTCTGGTTTAGCGAGATCGTCAACTCTACGTCATTCTCAGTGGAGTACATCACACTTCAGAACGAGAGTGACTTCTCCACCACCAAGCAGCACTTGCAGCTGACCAGCGGAATGGTTGATCAGACAAACGAGCTCTTCGTCGATGTCTCCTTCGTGGAGGATGATGCCAATGAACTGAAACGCCTAGCCATGCTCTCCACAGAGCCCGGAAACACGTTTGTATCTCTCACGAACTTCACAGTTGAAGACATGGCCGGTAATGATGTTGTCGTGGTGCCTCAGTCCAATGCCACGCGTGCTTCGCTGGTCATACCGGACACTACGTCTCCATCGCTGGAGTGGTACAACGTATCCATCGACGCTGGCACACTGTATCTGTCCTTTGACGAGACCATCAACGCCACGTCGTTCATGCCGCGGCAAATCCTGCTGCAGAACACCAGCAACTCCACCGAAGCTACTTCCGCTAATTACCGTCTGACTGGTGGTGATTGGCAGATGGTGGACGCCACCTGGATCCGTCTCGTCTTCAGCGTCGACGATTTGAACAGCATCAAGCGCATGCGCGGCCTGGCATCCGATGGCAATGGCAGCAACACCTATCTTGCTTTCAGCGGCAGCTTGGTTCACGATATGAACATGAACAGCATCAATCCAATCTCCGTGACCAATGCACGCCGTGTGCACTCCATCCAGCTGGACAGCACCTCTCCGCAGCTAGTCGAGTGGGCGCTACACATGGACGACGAGCAGCTTCTGCTGACCTTCGACGAGACCATGGATCGGTTTACGCTGAACATCAGCGCCGTCACTCTGATTGGCCTTTCCAGCAATCTGACATTGTCAGGTGGCTACACTCCGTCATCGGATAACACAACCGTTGTCGTCCAGCTCACCATCGCGGACATGAATGAAATCAAGCTGCAGCGCGATCTGTGCTCTACACCGCTCAACTGCTACCTTCACCTGGACTCCAGCGTTCTGCTGGATATGAACGACAACATGGTCAACTTCCCGAACGCGTTTGAAACCGTGGACGTGTTCACGTCGGACCAGCGCTCGCCACAGCTAGTCTACTATGACCTGGACATGAACACGCACGCGCTCGTGCTGGTCTTCAACGAGACCATACACACGGGTAGCCTGGACGTGACGCAGCTATCGCTGCAGTCCGCTTCCAACCGCACCACTGCTGTTCGCTTCCACGACATCCTGACCGGCCAGTACAGCACGGACGACGGAACTGAAATCTTGATACAGCTCAGCGACCAGGACACAAACCTACTGAAGAAGTATACTGACCTGGTCGTCAGCAACACCAGTACCTATCTCAGCCTGACCCAGCAGGCTATCAACGACACAAACGTGAACCCTATCACAGCCGTGCAAGCCGACACAGCCAAGAGAGTGCGCCTGTTCACCGAAGATCGCGTTGCACCGGAGCTGCAAAGCTTTGACCTAGACCTGACGCTGGAAACGCTGACCTTCACGTTTGACGAGACCGTTTTCGTCAATTCCGTGGACCCACAGCAGCTGACGTTCATCTCGGACGAGAACTGTAGCTCAAAGTACACATTACAATTCAGTCGTACCCGAGTCATGTCTAATTGGACGGACTTTGTCATTGATCTAGACACTGCTGACCTGAATGAAATCAAGCGGCTGACATCACTGGCCATGGAAAGGGCAACTACCTTCTTGCTCTATTCGACAACATTCCTAACAGACATGAACAGTAACGCTATCAATACGGTGATCTCTCCATCGCAATGTGCTGGTCTGGCTGGTGGCATTGCTCAGGTGCGGAACTTCACGGCCGATTTCGTTCGGCCCAAGCTCCGGTTCTTTGACCTCGACATGGACGCAGCCGGTCTGGTCACGCTGGAGTTTGACGAGACTGTGATGGCGGCGTCGCTGAACGTCACTGCTCTTGTGTTCCAGGGACAGGTAAATGACAGTGCGGTGAGTCATCGCATCACGTCCGGTGTCACTTCCGAGCTGAACAGCACCGTACTGACATTCGTACCCAGTCACGCCGACATGAACGAACTCAAGCGTATCCGCCAGCTGGTCGACAGCGAAAACGACACGTTTGTCTCCATCGATGCCTACCTGGTGATGGACATGAATGGGAACGCTGTGGATCAGGTGAATTCATCCGACGCTCTGCGTGTACGTAACTACACAGCGGACACAACACATCCGCGACTGGAACGCTTCACGCTAGACATGGACGGCGGCGTGCACATCCTGTTCGAGTTCAGCGAGACCGTCGCCGTCGACTTGCTCACGGCTCAGCATCTCACGCTGCGCAACGCCAACAACTCGGATGATGTCAGCGAGACATTCAACTTCACCTCCGCAACGCAGCCCGTTGCATCGGCCACCGACGGTACGGTTGTTAACGTCAGCGTGGCTCTCGCCGACAGCAACCGAATCAAGCAACTGACAGCGTTGGCAACCAACACCACCGACTCGTTCTTCGTCTACAGCAGCCAGTTCATCCGGGATATGAACAGGAACAGTATCGTTGCGGAAACCCAGGGACAGCAGGCATACATGTACGATGACGATAAGACTTGGCCAGTGCTGGTCGCGTTCGACATCGACATGAACAACCGCACGCTGCAGCTGCACTTCTCCGAGACCGTGCAGCGCACGTCACTGCAAGTCACCGAGATCACACTGCAGCGCAACACCACTAGTCACGGCGATCACATTACACTCGGCGTGCACTCCGTCAGTACTGACCCGGACTTCCATCGCCTGATCGTGCATCTCAGCGATTACGACATCAACGACTTGAACCGCCGCCCGGAGCTCTTCATCGACTCGGCGAGCAGCTACCTGACCTGGTCATCAGGCATGGTTATGGACATGAACACAAACCCGGTGGTAGCGCGGCGTGACGGCAATGCCCTCGAAGTCACACAGTACACTGAGGATCGCACTGCACCGCGCCTGGTGAACTTCACCGTCGACCTGGATCGGCACGAGATCACGGTGTTCTTTGACGAGGTGGTGCGCCTCAGTACGATCCTGTTCCCACGTTTCCTGCTGTTGCAGTCGACCGCAGCCCTGCCCGGCGCACCGCAGTACTACCTGAAGAGTGGAAATACAACCGTCGACTACAGTGAAGTGTTCACTATCCACCTGGCCAGATCTGAAGTCAACGACATCAAGCTGCTGGAGTATCTGTACACGAACTCGTCGGACACTGTATTGCGCGTGGAAGCTGGCGCTATTGACGACATGCACAACAACTCCGCTGATCAGGTCACCATCCCCGTCACCGGTACTGTCGTTGAAGCCGACGCGCCCAAACTGGAGAGCTTTGCAGTGGACTGGACAAACGGCACAGTCACGCTCAACTTTGACGAGCCAGTGCGCCCCGACACTCTCAACTTCTCTGCCATCGTCCTGTATAGCAACGGTGATGATGTGAATGCGTCCTGGTATCAGCTCACGGACGGCTTCACGGACAGTCCAAACGGCCTGCAGGTCGTGGTTAACATCACCTACACGGACTTCAACAGCATCAAGGTGGACGAGACGCTGTACCGCTCTCGGGATACCAGCTACCTGCGCATGCACGCCGGTGCCATTGCCGACATGGTCTACAACCCCAGCGCGCAAACTCCCATACGCCAGGCGTCGTCGTATGTCAACGACACTCGCCGTCCAACCCTGGTCAACTACGCTCTGGACATGAACAGTGGTGAGATGCATTTGACGTTCCTGGAGACTATTGAACTAGCCAGTGTTCGTGTGACCGAGTTCTCTCTTCAGACACAGTCCAACATCAGCCAAGCTGAGGTGCTAAAAGCCCGTCATCAGCTCACCGGAGGATCGGCGCTGAACACATTCGACCGTGCTTCACGGCAGAACACACGCTTCGTCACCGTCGACTTCACTCTAGATGACCTGAATGACATCAAGGTCAAGGGCATTGGCAAGTCTGTGGACACATCGTGGCTACTGATGACCAAGGAAGCTGTCAAGGACATGCATGCCTTGCAAGCCGTGCCGCTGATGAACGGTATCAATGCCATGCAGCCCAGTCACTTTGTCAACGATTCCACGCGGCCACAGCTCAACAGCTGGAATATCTCCATGGATGTGCCCAGCCTGACGCTGTCCTTCTCCGAATCGGTCGACTCGTTTAGTCTGAATGTTGAACGGGTCTCACTGCAGAGTGCAAACTCTACACCCGCCTTTGTGTTCAACATCACCCAGTTTAGTTCACTACGCTCCACCAGTGGACCGGTACAGGTGATCCGCATCAGCAACGTTGACGCCAACGTCATCAAGAACCTCGACGGCCTCGCAACGATGCTCGGCAACTCCTTCCTGTCGATAGCGTCCAACTTTGTGACCGACACGGTCGGCAACCCCGTTGTGCCAGTGCGGCCGACTGCTGCACAGCAGGCGGTGAATCATGAGAGAGACTCGACGCCGCCACGCCTGGACTCCTTCACTCTGGACATGGATGGCGCGGTGACGCTGACACTACAGTTCAGCGAGAGCGTGAACGTGTCCAGTCTACAATCATCACAGCTGGTACTGCAGAGCGAGGTTGACGAGGAAAACATGACGACGGCGCTGTTGTTCCAATCCGTGCGCTTCACCAACGCGTACGTCACCTCTGCGAGTCTGAACTTCCCCACGATTGTGCTGGATGTGGCCAAGAACGATTCGGATCGTGTGAAAGTATTGCGACAGCTGGCGGTCTCCTCGGATTCATCTCATCTCTCCTGGTCGTCGCAGTTCATCTCCGACATGGCCGGCAACCCGGTCATTGAACGGAATCAGACGGCCGGCCTGCCAGCCCGGATGTTCTATAACGACACGACGCCACCGTACCTGCTCAACTTCACGCTAGACCTGGACAGCAACGACCTGGTGATGACGTTCAGCGAGGCAGTGAAGATCAATGACACACTGGACGTGACGCAGCTGCAGTTGCAGAACGCCGAGACGGAGGCCGTCGACAATCTCACAAAGCACAGCCTGTACTCACCTCTGCTCGTCGCACCCGATGGCAGCGTGTCGACGGATGCGGATGCATGCGTTGTGCGTGTTCAGCTGGGTGATGCCGACGTCAACGAGCTCACCTATCGACGGCGTCTGGCCACCGGCTCCGCCAACACATTCCTGTCACACACGTCCGATCTTGTACGTGATATGAACGATAACAACGTGGTGGAGATCAACGCCACCGCTGCAATGCTGACTGAGGATTACACAGCCGACGAAACACGACCGGCTTTGCTCAGCTGGGAGCTCAGCATGGATGGCACACCTCCCCTGTTGACGCTCAACTTTGGTGAAGTGGTTGAATCTTCGTCGCTGAATATAACGCAGCTCAGCATACTGAACTCACCGATTGCTAATGATTCGTATCACAGTCGGCCCTACACACTCACTCCGGTATCCTTCACGCGCAGCGACGATGGCATCTCACTTGTCATCGAGATCGGTGCGGTTGATCGCAATGAGATCAAGCGACGCCGTCAGCTGGCCATTGACAACAGCACAAGCTATCTTTCGATGACGTCGCTGAGCGTGGTCGATATGAACAACAACACACTGGTACCAGTCAACGCAACTGCGGTGGATGCTTACACAGCGGACACCACACGGCCGGTCATGACCAACTTCACCATCGACATGGACGACGGCAGCATGCTGATGACGTTCGACGAGACGGTGCAAGCGCTCACGCTGCGCTCAACCTACCTGACGCTACAGGACAGCATGACGTCAGCCAACACCAGCCAACACAACATCACCGGTGGAGATTGGACGCAGAGCGATGGCACGGTGCTGCGACTGCAGTTCACGATCTCCGATCTCAACGCGCTCAAGCGCAAGGTCATCTGCCGCGCGACGTCCGACTGTTTCATTCTGCACCGCTTCATGACGGTGGTGGATATGTCCGGCAACGAGATTGCGCTGCGTGAGGACGGCGATGGTCTACAGGCAGCGGGCCACCAGCCAGACATCACACGCCCTCGCCTGACCTCGTTCACTGCCAACATGTCGGCAGGAGTTCTCTGGTTGACGTACGACGAGACAGTGAACGCCAGCAGCCTTGCAGCCAGCGAGATCCAACTGCAGGACTTCTTCAAAGCAGTAAACTTCTACAAGCTGACGGGCACTGGTGTTCGGCAGCAGAATGACGACACGGTCATCCGACTGGAGTTCTCCTGGGATGACTTGAACAACATCAAGCTTGATCGCAACATCTACACATTCCAGCCCAACGCCTGGCTGACGTTCAGTGCTCTCTCGATCGCCGACATGGCCCTTGCTGCCAACCCGGTGGTGCCTGTGATGGACGGCGCAAGCTTCGGCAGTGCACAGTATGCCCAGCAGTTCACTGGTGATCTAGTACCGCCCGTACTGTGGGACTTTGACTTGAACCTGAACAATCACACTCTGACGCTGTACTTCAGCGAAACGGTGGACGTCGACACGTTCAAGATGACCGAACTGCTTCTGCAGAACGATGCAGCGCTGGTCGACCCGGCCGCCAGCTACCGCCTAACGCCCGGCGCTCTGCCCTGGTCCAGCCGTCTGCGCAGTACCGACGGTCCGACTCTTGTCATCGACCTTGGCCAGACGGACACGGACAACATCAAGATCATGACACGGCTGGCAAGCAATGAAAACAACACATACGTCAGTCTGACATCTCGGCTGGTGTCCGACACTGCACGCAACCCGATCGACGTCATACCAACGACAGATGCCAAGCAGGTCAGGATGTTTACCGAAGACCGTGTTGCTCCACGCCTGCTGTCGTTTGACCTGGATATGGACGGTCTCCCGCAGCTTACGCTCACATTCTCCGAAGCTGTGGACTCGGAGACTCTGGATGTTTCCGAAGTGTACATTCAGTCGGCATCGGACCTTCTTGCGCCGCACACAACTCTCTCGTTCATCGCTGGTCCACTGCCAACATTCACCATGACTGCTAGTCCCGACGGCAGAATCCTGCTGATTGATATCGGCACTGACGACAGCAACGCCATCAAGAAAGATCGCCGCCTCGCCACACGCAACACCACCACGTTCCTGTCGCTCAGCGAGTTTGCTATCACTGACATGAACAACAACAGCGTGGAGGCGATCGGCAGCACGGCTGCAATGAACGTGACACAGTACACGGCCGACACGACATCTCCACGCTTGCTCACCTACAGCCTGAACATGTCAAGCGACGTGCTTTCGCTGACGTGGGACGAGACCGTGCGCGTTGACACACTGCTGGCCTCCGACATCACCATCCAGTACTCGGCGTACACCAATCTACCGTCCATCATTCTCGTACACAGGCTGAGAGATGGGTCGAGTCGACGACTGGCCGACGCAAACCGTACTTACGTCGATTCCACCGTAGTCCAGGTCTACCCCAGTTCCAGTGACATGAACGACATCAAACGCCTCGCGGACCTCGCCACGCAGGAGAACAACACGTACATCACGTTCAGCTCGGCTCTGCTGAGTGACATGAGCGGCAACGAAGCGGCGCCCATCGATAACGGAGAAGGCAGGCGTGTCACAGCGTTCTACCCTGATCTCGTGGAGCCGTACCTGTCGTCGTTCAGCATCGACATGAACTCTGGCCTGCTGCGGCTGGTGTTCAACGAAACTGTCAACGCGTCAACTCTCGTCGTCGAGCAGATCACACTGCAAGCAGGTGCTCGCAGCTTCATGGGACGCGAGCGTCAGCTGACACCGCGGTCACGTGATATCCATGGCAACGACAGCACCGACATCACCATCCAGCTGGACATCACCGACCTGAACACGATGAAGAGCATCGGCGGACTTGCGCAACACCTGCACGACACGTACATCAGCGTCACACAACGCCTGCTCACGGACATGAACTCCAACAGGCTGCAGGCAGTCCGGGACGGTATGGCACGGCAGGCCGTTGCGTTCACTCCCGACACCACCAGTCCGAATTTGGTGAGCTTCGATGTGGATCTGATCATTGGTATGATCGTAGTGACGTTCGACGAGCCCGTCAACAGCAGCTTTGTTGATTTCACGGCCATCACAATCCAGAATGCGCTGAACGCCACCGAGAGTCACACGCTGTCGGCAGACTGCGACGTGGAGTCGGTTACGAACCTCAGCATGGTGCTCACTCTCAACCTGTCACTCGCTGATCTGATTGTGCTGCGTCGCAGCAACAACTTGTCCACAGCCATAGACACAACATACATGACTATCACTGCCCAGGCATTCCAGGATACGGCCACCACACCGCAAGATGTTGTGCCACTTGAGGACGGCGTCAGTGCTCTGCAAGTTCGCTCGTTTGTTCACTATCCCACGCCTGTCTTCACGCAGGTGCGACCGGTCGCAGGCCGATCTACAGGCAACACTCTGCTCACGATCAGTGGTGGTAACTTCGGTCCTCGCCCAGGCGTGCTCGGAGCAAGACTGGTGGACGCGTTCATCGACTCCCAGCTCTGCTTGACGCCCGAGGTGATGACTGACAACGTCACGCTGGAGTGTGTTTCCCCGGCAGCTCGTGCTGGACGAACAGGTCAACTGCTGCCGATCAGGCTACGCGTGGACGACAGCTCGCTGGTTGTGGATGCTCTGGATGTGTTCACGTACCTCGATGCACCTGTAATCCGCCGTGTTTTCCCTAACGTGGGCACGGTCAACGGGGACACGCTCGTCACTCTTTTCGGCGAGAATTTCGGACCGTCGTCGCAGTCCGGCGAAGGTCCCAATGTGTCGGTGACCATCGGTGGTTTGTCTTGCACGGAGGCTAATGTCACAACGCCGCTCTATCCACTGAATGCATCGCAGCTGACGTGTCGCACGCCCCCATTGAGCGTCCCCGGCCTTCACGATGTCATCGTGACAGTTGACGAGGTCGACTTCACGCTGCGCAACGCTTTCAGATCCATGGATCCACCGACCGTGAGCGCCGTCTCACCACCATCAACACATCGCTACGACAACACCACCGTCAATATCACAGGCACTGCGTTCGGGCCGACCACATCATCGGGCCATGGCCGTCCATTGCGAATCACACTGAACGGCGTACCATGCCTGAATCCCGTCATACTCGTTACAGACACGCTGGTGCAGTGCACCGCCCAACCTGCCCTGGGACCCAGCAATATCACCATCTTTGTTGACGATGTCGCCTCCGATCCCAGTGATGTCGTCTTCTGGCATTACGACGACGCGGGCCAGCTGAGCTTCTCCGAAGCGGTGTTCTTCGTGTCGGAAGAGGAGCTGATCGGCAACGTAACCATAGTGAGAGAGAATGCGCCACTGTATGCCAGTCCCGTCACCGTGACCATCTTGGCACGCAACGGCTCAACGGCCGTCTCCGGCAATCACTTTGTAACGGAGAACGTCACACTGACCATGGATGCGTTCGTCGACACACTCACCTACCCCGTGCAGATCACGGCGCGGGCGTTTGAAGCCGATCGCCTGCGCAAGGGACGCGACGACGACGTGAGCGTGGACGTGCGGCTGACCACCGTCACGGCGCGTCACGGCAAGGGAACCACGGGCCGCGGCAGCACCCTGCTGCGCATCAAAGCCATCTGTCAGATAATCACCTACTACTGTGTGGCAGACTGGACACCCAGCTCTGTGCTCTATTACAGAACAGATGAACTGCCAGCGGCATAACAGCATGAAACACACTTCCTTGACCCACCACAATTGATTTTGTACTGAATATCATATGGGCACAAGTTATGCGATCGAGTCCACCAACTAAATCGCATAACTTGTGCCCACATTTTTCCACGTTACAATTTTTTCCTTGAATATCATTTGCTCATATTCTACTGTTGTTTTGATTATCTCTCACATGTGTGCCATTGCCCTTTGTAACCGTACATTTCGTAATGATGTAGTATGCATGCTTATAACTAGGATTACATTGACTCAACGTGGCAGCATCACACTTGTGCAAGCTGCCGAGAAACACACACAACTGCGTTCGCTTCATCTGCTTTTCAATTCTTCTGCTCGCAGAATGATAGACTATGCTTTATTGTAGCTACTTGAGAACTTCTAATAAGGTGCTTCTCTAAAGATATAATGCTCCATTTGCTCTTCATTCTCTTGTAAGTTGCTCACACAGCGCTCAGCGGCGCTCATCTATGATACCGTGCTTAGATTTACCTGAGAGAATACTTTTGTTGACAAAATTCCTGGACTGCGGTGCTGATGCTGCTGCTGGGCTGGGGAGAGGTTGTGGTGGTACTGGTAAGACCAGGGAGTAGTAACAATAACCCTGGGACTGGGTAAGACTTTGGCATGCATGTCCCGGGGTATCAACTAAGTTTAAGCCAACTGATGCACCACACATAGTACATACATTACTTACAAATCGGAGTACTCTAATTTCAGAAATTTTCGGTGCTCAATATTTTCGGTATGAGGGCAAAAGGCCAGGTTAGGCGAACAGAAATTTTCGGTGCAGAGAAGCAGTTCCCTATTGGATTATGTGTGTTAGTGTCTGTTCGGTGTATTGAAATTTTAGGTATGAAACAGACGCACCGAAAGTACCGAAAATAGAAGTATACCGAAAATTTGTGAAATTACAGTATTACAACGGATGTAGAATGTTTAAAATGGCTGCACAAACTCAGAACATGCTATTGTGTGGAAGAGTCCGGAGAGAGACGGTAAACAGTAAAACCTGTCCACGCCGACTGTTCAAGGGACCTTACAAAAGGGCCGTGTGTACTAGTACTCCGTATCTAGCTAGGGTCATTTGACTGCAAATAGCATTCCTTGGTCCTATAGTCAGCTGTGACAGGTGGTCGCCGTAGCAGAGTGGTTGTCTAGACAAGTTTTACCGTACTTGAAGAAGTCAACTGTTCATACTTGTCACACCACTCAGAAGTTTCAGAAATACCAGTACATGTACCGGTACATGTGATAGTGCACGTGCAGCAGTCACAGAACAAAGCCAGGAGTCCAGGACTAAACAGCCATCCAGCGCGCACACACCAGAACACAGGCATACCATCCACTCACCAGCTCGGTGATAAATGAATGACTTGAGTCGTAAGCACTTCACGTAAAAACGCCCTGTTAGAAAAAAATTGAACCTTGCCCAATTCGCAGAGGAAGCTGCAGATATTTGAAACTGCACAGAGGGCAAAAGAGCAGATGCAACTGTCAAGCATTACAGAACAGGAATGAGCAGGTAGCAGTAATTGCCCTTTCATCAGTGTCCAAAGTTTTTTTTAAGAGATAAGAAAAAAAACTAAGAAACAGTTGAGAGCAAGCAGAACCGCAGTAGCCGACAAGAAGACAAGAAGAAGAAAGAGAAAAGAGGAGGAAGAAGAGAGGGTGCCATATTTAGAGAAGCTATGTTACAAGCCACAGTACCTGATCAAGCAAACATGACACATGAGTGGACATGAAAGAATTACCGTAAATTAACGTGAACAGCATGGCGAGAATGTGGTTGTCAGCCATGGATCTGCCAGATTATGTAATCACTATGATTTTTGTTCGGGTGACATGTCAAGAATAATAAAAGTAGGTGTGCCCCTGCATGTGTGTGCGAGAGAGAAGGAAAGAGAGGGAGAGAGAGAGAGAGAGAGAGAGAGAGAGAGAGAGAGAGAGAGAGAGAGAGAGAGAGAGAAGAGAGAGAGAAAGAGAGAGAGAGAGAGCCAGACAAAGTAGCCGTGGAGAGTTAAACCTTAAATGGGGGATGCAAGGCAAACTATCATAAATATTCGAGCATGGACAAGCACATGCGATGAGCTCTGTAAACATACCTCTGAACTATAATCTATAAGACCTTGGCAAGTTGCTATAGCTATTTTATATTGACTGAGGACTGTAACCGACTTACAATGGGCACCTTGTGCTGCTGCCGATACCTACACACACTACACTGTCTGTCTATAGTGTATTAACAACAACACACCAAGAAAACGGTACAATTGCAAGATCGCCTCTGTCAATCGCACTCAACCTACTCAAGCGTACTACCGGCAACAGTAACTCTCGGCCAGTACTCTCTAAACAGGACGAAACTGAACACACCCGTGTGGCAAGGTGAGCGAGGAGAAGCTCAGGTGGGGCGGTGGCAGCTTAGACACAGACGTCAGCCATGCCAGACAGCAGTCCACCCTATCAACTGAGTTCGTAGGTTCCGGACTTCGAAATCACGTCGACACGCTATATTCATCGCTGCTTCCGCTGACATGGAAAGCGCAAACATCATTATCACAAGCGAAGAACGATTGGACAATTGTCAAGTTCCTCATTGCATCAAAGGGAAACAATGTGCTTCGATGCAAGATAGCAGAGTGCACAACGAGTACATCAATCATGCACACATCGCCTCTGGCCAGACTTGCTGACCAGCTATGAATGTTCTCTCCACATTGAGATCCTGATCAAGGATAACAAGGTCAGCATCCTTTCCAATGTCAAGGCTTCCCTTCGATTCCAGCTTGAGTAGACTGGCTGGATGTGTACTGGCTGTTCGCAGTGCCTCGGCCTGGCTGCAGTGCGACGCTTCATGGAACCAACGCACGCAGAAGTCCAGCATGGCCACACTGCCAGCAAGCGTCTCTTGTTGATCGGCGAGCCGTGCGCACAGCAGCCCATCGGCGTCTTCCGTCATATGTACTTGAAGCGTTCCCAGCTTGTGATAGCCTGCGCCGAGACCTGCCGCGGCCATGGCGTCCGACACCAGTACAAGACCGTTGGGGTGAGAGTGGTACGCCAAGTGCAGCGCAGCCTTGTGCGTGTGCACACCATCGGCAATCACACCGTAGAAGACATCACCGGCGCTGAGCAGCCCGACCAGTCCTGGATCGCGGTGGTGGAACGGCAGCATGGCGTTGAACAGATGCGTGATGAAGCGCGCCCCGCAGGCAACGGCACCCTCTGCCACCTTCAGATCTGCTATGCTGTGACCCAGCGACACGCACACATTCTGCTCCTTGCTCAACCACTGGATCATGGAACAATCGCCAAGTCCATTCAGTTCCGGGGCTACAGTAACGATGCTGGCGTTGTCCAAGCTACCGTACGCTCCCTGCACCTCCTCCGGTGTTATCGCTCCCGCGTCTTGGATGAAGGACTCGTTGTGCGCGCCTTTCTTTTCTTTACTGATGAACGGTCCCTCTAGGTGGACACCGATTATGGCTGCACCATCAGCTCCGCCATCTGTGCGTTTCATGTGCGGCAGCAACTGCCTGTACATCTCCGGGGATGATGTCACAACAGTTGGGCAAAACGCCGTAACGCCATGGCGAAGTAAACGTTTTGACACCTGCCTCAGGGACTCACCAATGTTCGCAGGATCCGAAGAGAAATCAAAGCCATACGCACCGTTTATCTGTACGTCTATAAATCCTGGTGCTACTATTCCACCTTTGCAGTTCACCTTCACAGTTTCACGTAGTTTCTCATTGTAAAATAACTTCAGTGGATCTGCAATTTTCCCATTTCTCACCCAGAGGTCCTCTTTGACCAGTCCTTTCTCACGCAGCACATGGCAATCGGTAAACCTGATAATTTCGGCCATTGTGGCGCATCCAGCACCTAACAAACAAGAAGTGACGATAAGAATTCTTCATCCATCCACACAACGGCGACAAACTGGCTCAGCGATGAGCATCAAGATTATTGATTACGATTGTATGAAATTTCGAAAGCGAACACACTGAACAGGCAAAAATTAATTGAATGGAATGTTATTTTGAAAAAAATTAGGCAGTGTTGCCTAGAAAAATATTTCTGGGCAAAAAATCTAAAGCAGGGCCCGGCCGTACGCACGTACGATATGCGTACATACCCCGCCGGTACGCACAAACCAGCTGCAAGCTAGCTGGATGGAGCTCGTCGCTCGAGCACCATCCGCAATCGCAGCCTGCGCAGCTAGGTGGCTGAAGTCGTGAAGTGCCAGACTACCAGTACAACTGAGTAGTATTTATACTACTTCCTCTTGCAGCTTGCATGAAAGTCGAGCGTCCTTTTGAAAATCATGGGTCATGTTCAGATAACTCTGCATCCGATTGGGGTTAGTTTGTTGTTGGGGCTGATTTCTTTTTGCTTTTGGCCAACCTGCACAATGCGTTGGATGAGAGATGTGCTGGATTTCACCAAGGATTATGGTGGTCCTGCAGCCGGCACCATTGTGGCGGTGTATGCGGGCTATCGCCTCTTGAAGCGTCGCAGCCGAAAGAATGCTATCGCTGCTCGGGGTCAGGCGGCTTCTCAGGCTCGTGAGGAGGCTGAAAGTCGCTTGAAACAATCCGTAACGGCAGATTCATTGATGGCTGGCAGTGACCGGAAGATCGTGGATTTGCCCGTGGAGCAGCTTGCTGAAGAATTGAAGGCTGGAAATCTGACCAGTGTCCAGGTGTTACGCTCGTACATGCTGAAAGCTCTGGAGGTGTCACATGACTTGAACTGCGTCACGGAGCCCATTTCTCTGGATGGATGCGAGGCTATGGCAAACCTGTTGGATTCAAAGGTGGCCGAGGTTGACAGGTCAGAGCTGGGCATGCTGCACGGCTTGCCCGTCAGCATCAAGGAGAATATCAACGTAGCTGGCATGTACACGACTATGGGATTGCTGCAGCATGCCAGGACGCCGGCCACGCAGGACGCGGTCATCGTGCGCGTGCTGCGCGCGCACGGCGCAATCCCGTACACCAAGACCAACCTGCCGCAGACGATGGTGAGCTTTGACTGCTCCAACCCACTGTACGGCGTCACGCGCAACCCGCACAACCCGGACCGCACGCCGGGCGGCTCCAGCGGTGGCGAGGGGGCCCTGCTCGGGTCCGGCGGCTCCGTGCTGGGTATCGGTACGGACATTGGCGGCAGCGTGCGCTTGCCGGCGGCCTTCTGTGGCGTGTGTGGCTTCAAGCCGACGATGGGACGCATCAGTCACATTGGTGTAGAGTCGGTGATGGCAGGCCAGACTGGGCTGGCGATATCCGCTGGCGTTATGGCCAGGAGCGTGTCAGGTTGCGAGCTGCTCATGAAGGCACTCTGCTCCAAGGAAGCGTTCGATCTCGACGCCAGCGTCGTGCCGGTGACCCTGAACGAGAACGCGCTCAAGCCCGGCCGCAAGCTGCGCATCGGCTACTTCAAGACGGCCGAGTTCTTCCACGCCACGCCGGCTAACCAGCGGGCGGTGAGCGAAGCGGTCGACGCGCTGCGCAGTGCTGGCCACGAGCTAGTGGAGTTTGCAGCGCCGGATATGTACTCCATCATGGCCCAGTACTATGATCTGATCCTGGCCGACGGTATGGGTACCGTGATGGATGCTCTTGACGGAGACGAGTATGATCCCAGTATTGCGTATGGTGCCAAGCTCTACGGCATTCCCTCGGTAATCCGCAGAACGCTTGCCAGCGCGTTGTACTACACTTGGCGCCGAATGTCATCGTTGCTGTTCAGTGTGCAGGGAAAGTCCGTGCAGGAACTCTGGCAGCTGCAGAAGAAGCGCAGCGCCGACGCGAAGAGCTTCTCCAACGACCTCCGGGGCCACGGCCTGGACGGCTTGATCTGCCCGGCGCAGGCGACTGGTCCGCTGCCAATCGGTACCTGTGCAAAGCTGACAGCTTCGGTGTGCTACACGGCGCTTGCTAACATCTACAATCTGCCGTCCGGTGTGGTGCCCGTCACTCGTGTCACGCAGGAAGATGACGATGCAATGTCGTCGTACCCACACAACGATCTCTGGGGTTATCTGACCAGGAAACTGTGTAAGGGAATGGTCGGTCTACCCATTGCTGTGCAGTGCATCACACCGACGTGGCGTGACGAGGACTGCCTCTACATGATGAAAGAACTGGAGGCGAGTCTCAAGCACTGAGTATCCAGTGTGCGTTTTCCTTTTCCCACATGTAGTGTTGCTTTGTGGGTATGCGCGTGTCACTCGCCTCTGTGATCGTTTCTACGAACTGGGACGTATGTGCTTGCATTCCCCCCACTGGATCCCTGAAGTGTACTGGTGTGCGCACTGTCAGGGCGTATCGCCTCAGCTTGGCACTGTTCTTGCGTCAACTTTACTTTCCCATGGTTGACTTCACCTGGCGATGCCGCCGCCATTGCACTTTCTGCGGAGATTGGTCAGTCTTGTCAGTGACTGTTTTCGCCGAGGTGGAGTAGTTGAGACTACCCGCCAATGCCAATGCCCACCCACTCCTTCACATAGTTTGCAATTCGGCAAAGGTCATGCCGCTGAACGATCATTACGTGCTCCCCATGCACATGGTGCCTCAAGGCTCTGTTGAGTTTTTTTACAAGGCATGCCCACAAGAATTAGGAATTTGTTGGTCAGGAACGCATCTTCCACTGTTCCAGTGCCGTTTTGCACGCTGAAACCCTATTCTTGTCTTTTTGAAAAGAATTTTTGGTGGCTGCAGCGATAGTGTGCTCGCATAGTTCGTATTAATTAGCATTCCTCACACTTTCGAATATTCTTTTTTCTTCGTTCTTTACTCTTCTGCACACACACACACACACATGCTGGCAGTGTGTTTGTTCTACTCGTTTAGTTAGTTTCCGGCACATTGAACTAGAAATTGCCGTCTGTGTTTTCCAGCGTCTTGCCCGTCATCATTTCGTTTGAGTTTGACCGGTCCATTCCAAATATACCTTGCTTTGCCGCACAGCTTTTCCGATTTTTTTTATTTTGCTTGTGTGATTTATGATTATGAGTAATTTCGACTCAAACGTTATGAGAAAATGTCGTTCCAAGTTCGCATGGTTACCGGTGTTTACCAACCATGTCACGTTTAGAAAAATGTACTTTATTGGATTTCACACTAGATTGGCGCAAAGCTTATGTTTCAGGACTGGTCAAACAATCGCTTTTGAAAAGTCGTATACAATGTACTGAACTATACTACCCAAACGAATATGTACTCGTGATTATGATATTCGCATGGAGTTGGGGATCGTGTGTGCCCTCGTACCATGAACAGTGGCTGCACACTAGCGATGCCAAGTCACCACAAGAAGTCCAACACATGCACTAGTAGTTAGTATCTGTTGGCAAGCTTATTGGCATGCAAGTTTGAATTTGACTGCGCGGAAGGCGTGTGTGTGTGTATGCATGTGTGTGCATGCTCAGGACCGGAGGGACTGGCGCGAGCGTAGCCGTCGGAAGCCAGCCCCAACCAAGAGTGTTCGTCTGTGTCTGCGACTTTCGCCGTCCGAATGATTTATCCCGACACAAGGACTACTGCCTCGCCTAATAGCTATCATCGCCTTTGGCGATGAGCTTTCCAAAGGTCCAAAGTTGTGTGCATGCATGTGTGTGTGTGTGTGTGTGTGTGTGTGTGTGTATGCATGTGGACTATACAGTTCTGATGACCATAGGCCGAATTTCGAGCAGGACAACATACATGTACATTGGCACGTCGTCCCAACAAAACCAAATGACCCGCCCAGCTTGCTCTGGACCAGGGAGTAGTACAATACATATTACTGTACTACTTACTCCCTGCTCTGGACAGGTTATTAGTATATTACATGTACAAGTACAGTGTTCACGGCTCGCGGTGTTTTGTTTTTAGCCCAGATACACCAGGTTTATTCAGAATCAGAATCATGCCAAAGTCAACTGCACTTTCTGCTGTACTAGGATACTGTACATTCACACACCGCAACAACACAATCATACAGTAGCCTGCAGAATAGCTGCTAGGCTTGAGATACCTGACAAAAGACATAGCAGACGGGGGACGAAGAAAGACCCGGTAAGGACTCATCAAGAAGTCGATACTTTTCCAGGGGGGGCACTATTGGTGGGGATATGTCCAGAAAGTTCAGACACCACATCAGGTGCATGGAGTTTGATTTACAGGTCAAAAGTCCATGTACCTACAGAACGGAAACCTAGAATAGATAATTGTAAAATCCCTAAGCATGAGTACAATTGATGGCTTAAAAAAGTGTTAGCCAAGCTGGTTTCGGCACGGTTGACCAGTACCAAGGTCAGAGAAATACTAGCTTTGAACACTGAGCCATACACACTGGGAAAATGATAAGGTTAGGTGCGACCGGCTGACACACGCGCGCGCGCGCGCGCGCGCGCACACACACACACACACACACAAACACATTGGCCCGTACGTGAAGTACATACCAGTAATCGAGTGTATGTGCCGGTTAGGGATAAATACGGCCGGATGGGTGAAGGATCCTGGCTTGCCACAGCTAGCGGCCAAACCAGGGGCAAAACACCATAGCTCTGAAGTCAAGTGGTTGAACCGTTCAATTTGCACCCTGAATGCCACCAATAAGCTGGTTCACCTACAAGGAGAGAGTCCGGACAATTTGATTGACGACTGCTAAGTCCCGATCTCCGAGGATCAGAATATCATAGGCTTGTTCATACTTTCTCCTCAGCTCCTCATTGCTGGGATCATTGAGGAAGCCAACACGCAGGACGGTGAAGTGCTCTGGCAGGTCTTCATCTGCCGGCACCATGTGTGGATCGCCGAGTGAGTCACCGATCAAAACGATATTGTAGCGATCACTTGAGCCAAAGTTGCACTGCTGTGCCACTGCGATGGCCTTGTTGTACGAGTGAATGACCGGTTCGGAGAAGGCGTTCAGTACGCCCGCAGCATCAAACTTTAACTGGTTCGACACGACAGACATGTTCTTGAATTTGCCAATCTTCTGGTGTATGGCCTCGGTCAAGATATCAGCGATGCCGGCACTGACAATACACACTGGGATGGCCATCATCTCGAGGTAGTTGAGAAGATCCGTGGCGCCGTCGCGGAACTTCACGCGTGATTCCTGCACCATCGTTGCCAGGTGCTCCTGCTTCAGGTTGGACCTAATGAGTGAGTCGTGCGCCTTCTCCCACCATTCATCCATTAGGACGGATTTCTCGGCATGCGACAGCGACGCCGAGTACTCCAACGGGAAATAGTGGTCCTTTAGCTGTCTGGTTTCCGACCGATACCAGTCTGGTACCAGGTCGCTAGTCTCAATCACACCGTGACATGTTGCGTAACGCTCGCCGTCCTCGTCCTTGAAGCGCGTCAGGGTCATGTCAAAATCAGTAACTACTTGAAGGTGTTCCTTGCCGCCTCGCATGGTGCCGCTCATTTTGTTGGCCTTCTCCCATACGTCCCTGTGCAGGTGCACAAAATCCAGCTTTCCCAGTTCATATAGCATCTGGAGCGTCTCCACAAGATGGGATTCCTGATAAGGGGGCTTGCTTTCTTCCGTGGCAAGCAGGCGGTATGCTACATACCCAACGCCGCTCAAGGCTGCCACTCCCGCACCGCACACTGCAACATCTTTCCATGACCATGGTTCCACAGAAGAAGACATTATGTCTGCGATTCTGGTGATATGGACGATCTGGAATTCGGAAGTGTCCTTTCTCAAATTTCTAAATAAATATTTTCGAAATAGATTTCTGCTCAAAACGATTTTCAATACTCGACACAATCACCACTGTCTTGCTACCCAGGAAAGGAAGCAGACGTCTTCTCCGGACACACGAAAGCATAAAGGTGCCAAGCGAAAGGAAAGCAACAGGTCTGGCAGGATGCTACCAAATCAGAATTTGTGTTTTATAATCATTCTCAAAGTGACAACTATATTTTCAAAGAATGTGCTTGACGCGCGAAACATTTGAATATTCACTTCAATTATTTTCATTTGCCTGAAAAATGTCACGAATGGTAAAAGTATACTCGTACTGGATCCGATGGAGTCGTAGTGTTACGTTGTTGTGGGTCCCACAATGGCTCGTTTCTGTTGGGACTTTGCTGACAAGGCGAAGTAACTGTACAGTGTACTGGCTGACAGCCGCTGATCATGGTGGTTCGCGTTTCCTGGCGACGTGAAAATGACAATGAAGGTACAGTGTGTGGTTCCTAGATCCTGTGTGTGTACATGTACGTGTATAGGCATAAACATTTTAAAAACAATAGCGTGGCTGCATCGGCCATGGGATGTAGAAATGCCATGTCTAGTAGACATAACACATTGTATTACAGGAATTGTCCTCGCCTTGTAACATGCTGTCAAAATCGAAAAACATGTTAAACTACCAAGCAAGGCTTCTGTATATAGGAATTATTCCTGTAATACAATGTGCCAGTACTAACCTATCGTGGATTATATAATGTGTAGACAGGTAACCAGTAACAGTAGCTCGTCTCAAATAATTAGTACGAACACCCCATGGACCACAATGGTGACTACGTCCAGACATACATCACTGTCCTGTACTGGGAGGTGCCCTGGACTAGATTTCAGAAGACGACCATACAACCTTGCCTCAGAATCTGAATAATTGCACCCGACTCGGCGAACTAACTTGTGCTCAATGCAGATCAGGGTATCCGTTGTTGGGAGAGGTCCGGAAGGTTCTCCAGGGGCGTCGGAAGGTATTTTAGTGTGGTACGGTCAGCCATCTGAAGTACAATTTACTCGTCGGGGAGAGGTGGCTGAGCCGAAAATTTTGGAATTTTAGATCCCAGATCAGTGTATTTTGTTGATTCACGGGGTATCTGGGGCAAAAAAGCGGTACGGTCAATACCGTAGTGACCGTACTGTGTGCGCCGCCCCTGTACCTGTAGGTTTAGTGGTTGCTTCATCTGCGGACACCGGGGAGTCCTGACGTGCAGGGAGATGACACGGGTCACTGTAGTGCTAAATGGTGGTTACGGTTTTGACTCCGGGCTGCCCCGGTTACCTGGTTACCGTCGCCGTTGAGGCAGGAGTGATTTATACTCTGAACACACACACACAGGACAGAGGCGACTGGAAATTTTGACGATGCATTATGTATGTATCACTATTATAACGGACTCGGATGGAGAGCCAAGGATTAATTTATACAAAAGAGAAAGGCATTATCGCATGAGCTGATTGTTTAGTAACTGGTGGTGTTAGTGGACAGTGTAGCTTAATTCTTTGTTGCCATCTTCCATAGGTCCATCAAATAGTAGTAATAGGTTTTTCATTTGACCCAACGAGACCATACGACGCTTGCAGACAACAGCACGAACAGTTCACCAGCCACACTCCACGAAAGCAAGTAGTATTACTCCTGACAAGTCTTGTTTCGTTCCATAAAGATGACGGGGAACTCATCAGAGGAGAAGCAGTTGTTGAATGATGGAGTTAAACTGAATAATGTTATTTTAGGGGCCGTCCGTAAATATCGATGTTTTTTTAGAGACGATATTGGTGCGTCTGGGGGGGAGGGGGTTTGAGCCATGTGCGTCTTTTCGAGCATCAGAAAAATATCGATGTAAATATCTGAAGTTTCGCCGATCCCTGCACGCGGACGCGGACGTCTAAATGGCTATACAAGAAATGTGAAACCAGCTTCCGTTCGCGGAGCTAAAACTCGCGACACAAGAACAAAATCAAAAATTGGAAGCTGTACGCCCATGGCGAATTTCAAGAGCAAAAGAATGAGCTATTGATTGTGGAAATCGGCCGAACGATGCCTGCAGGAGACCTTTTTCAAGACGTAGAGGCAGTGCGAACAAACATGGACGAACTCCACAAGAGTTTCCAGTCTTCACTGTCTGAACAAGGATTTGAAAAAATTCAAGCCCGAGCGTAGCCGCTTTGGCTACACCAGTACACGATGGCTGTGAGCACTGCAGCGCCAACCCGGTTCGCTCCCCCCAGGCGATGCAGCTATTGCGTGAGTGCGGCGGGATTTTCACGCCTACACCGGACCCTCAACATCCTGGGCACTTCATGAGCATCCAAAAATATTGATTCCATGATCTAGATGTACATGTGCGTCTTCTGGGGAGAGGGAGGGGGGTCAAGGGAGAGAAGCACCAATATCGTCTCTAAAAAAACATCGATATTTACGGACGGCCCCTTATAGAGAAGATACCAGCGCAAGGTGTAAACACTCAACTATCTCACATATGTGACAAATAAACACAAAAAGGAATAGTGCAGAATGGAGGTGTTATGAACCCTACCAGACATAACTATCACAAGTGCTAAATCGATCACAATGAGAAGGAGAGGTACACAGGCATAATACTACTTGCTTTCGTGGAGTGTGGCTGGTGAACTGTTCGTGCTGTTGTCTGCAAGCGTCGTATGGTCTCGTCGGGTCAAATGAAAAACCTATTACTAGTGTAGCTTAACTTGTAGTTCCTTGGTCCTTTCTCTTTTGTATAAATCAAGAAACATACCGGTATGTAAAATAAGGACTTGTTTGCTACTGCTCATATCACCATTGTAATGACTTTGAAGACTGAAGAGTAGTGATGCGAAAATAGTTCAAAGACCTCTTCAATATTTCCAGTGGCTTCTGTGCTTTGTGTGTTAGTTTGTGTTCCTACAACAAAAGAATCTAGCTGACTTATACACGTTAAAGTGGAAGTTAAGGCAAAAATCAAAATTTCACCAGTTGTAGTCTTGGGGTGCTGAGACGAATGGTCTTGGTCCGAGAAAGCTGAGACGCTCCCTTCCTACTTGAATCCCAATCGAACTCGCTCACTTCCACCGAAACTGGGTGACTGCGCCCTACTAGTAGTAGATGAGGATTTGTATGCAAAATGTCACTAAAAGCGCCATTTCGTTCTTATAAAAAGCATGGATGACCACGATTGGCCCATATGTTGTAGTCTTTTGGACGCTGAGTCGACTGGTTTTGGTCCGAAAAGGCTGCGATGCAGCGTTCCTCCTTTATTCCCAATCGAACATGGTTGAACAAGCGGTCACTTGCTCCTGGGTGCCCAAATCACCTGGTCACCACGCCAGCAGGCGACAACTTTCACACCAAGGTTCAACTCGAGTGACAGGACTGCACCCAAAAAAGGTCAAACAGGCTAGTAAGTT